ATGAAGAATTACTTTGCCCCTTCTCAGCAACCATTGCTTGTTTATTTACCCCAAGAAATATTTAAGCAATGGTAAGAGAAGAAAAACATTTCATTCCAGTGCTGCTGGTTGTGAAAACTGTGGAAAACAAGGATCGAAAACAATGGTAGCACTTTACCAGTGAAGTATCCATGTCATCTAGATGCAGACAGATAATTAGGACAAGTCCTGTGTTTATCTAACTGTGACAGATTTATCTTAGCTATTATTTGATTTATATTTTAGAAAATATCTTTATATAGAAGCATACTTTAACAGTTTAAAAAAAAAGTGTAAAATTCATTAAATGAACTAAACAGAGCTCCACAGGGAAATATTAACTGAAAAATGCAAGGTGGCCTTAAAAGACTGAATTTAAACAAACTCTTGAATTCCAGATGTAAACTTGATCGGTCCTTAATCTGGTTCCAGGATTTTACCACATACTCTCTCACCTGAAGTGATTATCCAGTAAGGAGACAGGTATTTTGAATTTCTGAAGGGTTTACAGAATCTTAAACAGAATAATGTCTTTTATTTGGAAAAATTAAGCTTATTATGTTGAGTTCACAGTAAGTACTAAGAGCACTGGTATATTACTCATGTTGCAGATAACTATTGAACTGCTCAGACTAAATCACTTACCTTATAGAAATAAATACATACATTTTGTATAGCTATTCTCCTTATTCATTCTTGTTCAATGCATAGCCTAATTGTATGAAAAAGACAGTATCTCCTGATGTTTATCATTTGATCAATTTTATTATTTTTCCCAGTATGGCCAAAATCCAAGCCCAAATAATTCAGTAGTAAAATGACCATAAATTTCAATAGAATGTTTGTGCACGTCACCAATGAAATTAGTGAGATGACTCAGGTAACCCCATTTTTTTTGCTTGTATATACATCAATAGATACACAATTTTGACAGCTGTTAAAAGACTGCAAGAACAGTATTCCTCTTGTCCTAAAAATATTCTGGCTTACTATTTACAGCATGTATAGTTGAGTTGAGAGAGGAAAAGAAAAAAAGCCACCATATGTGACAGCAAAAAGACTGTTGGATAGCTTGATAAAATATCTTAATAAGACATACAAAATAAGAATTTACAGTGTAAGTTCTGCACCTGTGTTCATCTAGAAAATGTTTCCTTATGATAAATGTCTTCAGTACTCTCTACACACAGAGTAATTTCATTCAGCTCAATAAAATATAAACTGAGCCATGACATAAACATGCTCATAGTCTGCTGGAATGAAAGCATGAAAAAAAAAACTTCAATAAAAAACAGGCATTAACTAAAGCTAATTCAATTAAACATAATCAAGATATCAATAACTGATTTTGATCCTGATTTGAATTAAACTATCTGAATCTAGCTTTTTTTTCTGCATCAGATAACTCTTTTCATCACCCTGGAACAGTGACATGAACTGTTGCAGAAAAACAGTAACTGGAAGATTTAGGTTAAAACTGTAGCAAAGGGGATTGATGACTTTTCTGAACATTCTATGCGACCACCAAGGATTAATAATTTTAGATTCTGCAGAGCTAATCTAGAAATAAATGTCCCTTGATCTCTCTCTGTATTTTTCAATTGAAATTGTATTGAAATGAAATTCTTTAAAAACAGACATGTAATTTTAACATGCAAAAATTGCATACTGCTGTAGGATTAAACTTTAATGATTTGTTTTTTGAAGATTACCTTAAGCTTCCATGAATTTTAGTGGGATTTAGTGTTTAATCATTTTAAAATATGATGGTTAAATATTCCACTCTTTAATAAGTTCTTCAGATTTCACAACTGAAGTTACTACCGACTGATTTCAAATGGAAATTTTTTAGCAGAAATTAAGTAGAATGCTAAATTTTTCTTAACACAGAAATCGGAAATCTGCCCAACTGAAAAACTGAATTTTCTGTTGATTGTTTATTTTGCCACGTATGAATAAAGACAACGTGTGGGAGAAGAAACTGGTAAGACAATATGAACTCCAAAATCTTTTTCCTACTTACAGTCATTTTAGGTTTTGTGCAGTTGTACTTATGTATTTGTGTACCGTGTTTAACCTGTTATCGCAGTAAAGCCACCTTTTTCCCTATAGACTGTCAGACTTTGTGACAATTTTCATATAAAGAGATGACCCCTATAGCAAATCGAATGTCTCAAAATTTGCATTAAAGAGTATATGCCGTGTCTGAGGCAACATAACTACATCGTACCTTATCATCAAAAGTGGTGACAGAAAATATCTTTTTATAAATATACACCCATATATATTTGTCATTTAATTGCTGGATATTTACTGCTACTTATTTGTAACACAATCAGAATTTTATGAGAATTACCATGCTAGAGAGAATCAATTCTTAAATGGTTGTGGTTCCTATATCCTTCTGACAGGTCTTCCCAACAAATACTGGGGATAAGTAAAATCCAGGGGAGCATGATCATTTTAATTTCACACTTTGATATCAGAAAAATATTAGCTCCAACAAAGGTAAGAAATGCAAATCTGTCATTAAGCCACATAATTAAAGGTCTTCAAGGCAGTCTTGCTATGTTTATTCAATGCATCATAATGAATTGCAAATTATACAGTACAACTAAATCCTCATTGATTTATAATAACAACTTTCAATTGTTAAATAAGTCTGTTGAATACACCATCAATTATAAATAAAAAATGCAGCAGTTTTCTATTTCTTTTACTTTAAATATAAATTCCTTTTTCTATTTTTATTATACGGTTTTATTCATTTAGTCGTTAACATAGAAAATCTCTGTGAAAGTTATTTTTGCTGGTATATGCACGTGTTCAGCTGAATAGTTTGAATCTTGATTTTTCTTTTGTATTTAAAAGTCTTGCACAAACAATTAATTAATCCTCACAACATCCCTGTGAGGTAGGTACTTAGGATGTATTAAAAAAAAAAAAAAAAAAAAAGGACTCAAGAGAAACGCACTTTGTTTCACTGATTCAGCAAAGCCGAAACAGTAACAAAACAGTTGTACTTCTCACTCTGATTTGAGTTATGAAAATATACTGCCTCTCACCAGTTTCAGTAGCTTCTGTAAAATTTCTAAGCTATTTCATATGAATATCACTTGCTCATTGCCAACACAGCAAAATATTTTTTTCATGAGAAATGAGGATACAGTAATTATCCTGTACACAGGTAAATTTCCTTAAATAATGACCTCAGTCCCCAGATAAGTACTAACAAGTAGCCTTCTTGCATGAAATATTTGAGAATATTAAAACAATTAACCATTACAAAGATAGAAATCTATTATATAAATAATATATTTTAACAATAAGAATACATGTAATGGTTACATGGCTTTAAAAAGTTGATGACTGTATTCCTTTGAGCAATTCAAAAGCACATGTGCTTGTGTATCTACTTCACATATTTTAAAGCAGAATATGCTAATATATAGTTTTATTGATTTGATAGTAAAATTTTATAATGGATATACGCATCCTCTGTCATGGTAGGCGGTGGATGAGATAAAAAGCACATTGACAGCAGAATGTTTTTATATAAATTGCATGCACATTCTTATTTCTTACTTGTTTATCAAAGGAACAAATATATTCATTATATATATATATAAAAAAAGACTCATTTACAAGACAAAGTGAAGCCTGCTCTAGCTCCATGCCAATATAAACAATTTGCAACTGATTACATCCATCAACTTTAATATAAACCATAGTAATCTGAAAACAGTAATCAGATGGAACAAGATTTAATAACATACAAACCAAAGTTAATGTTTCTCTGATTGTTTTCATTAACTGCATAGCTATACCAATTGTTATTCTTATATATACATTATGTAACTTAGCAGTAGAAAAGTTAAAAATACACAATACACTCAGTACATTAAATAGAGGACTGTATTAACCAGAAGGTTATACATTATTGCTGATTCTTGGATTTATTTTTCTTTTTTTAAAAAACATAGTCAACCAGATATCCATTAGAAATTACACTTCATGTATTTAAATTTTAATTATCCTGTTAGTATGTCCCCTCTGCAATCTAGACGCATTGAAAAATAAAGAAAATAAAATTATGTTTTGTTCAAACACCCTTTTACCACTACCACTTTTAAGGCTACAGAGAAGCACATAATGCAACCACTTCCTTGACAGCAAATCTTATCTTTCTTCATATAAAATCAAAAGCCCAAAAGACAGCGAGCAGAGTAGCAAGAATGGCAAGGGAAAACTGCCATGTAAGTGCAAAAGTAATCTCTGGTAACCTTTTAAATGGGTTTTGATCCATGTTTTGATCATGAACCTGGAATAGTGAGTTTATTTCCCTTTTATTTATCCAGCTACTGCAGCATGTATAAACCAGTAATAATAATTATATTTTATATACAACTAAACAACTCAAAATCAGAAAACAAAAAGTTGGTTCATAAAATTATGTTCTCATCCTGTTAAATATAAAAGTACACTTTCTTGCAAAAAATCCTTTGCGAATTCAAGCATTTGAAGAAGAGGCCATGTATACATAGCGAAGAGATTTTTTCATCTCTTCCTAAAGTAGGTATAACGTATTATGGACAAATAAAAAAACAATTAAAATTGGCATGGGATGGGTAGTTTGAAAAAGACAATTTTTGCGTTTTACATGTTCTCTGAACAAAATAGATGCATGGCAAACTGACATTTTTAAACTGGAAAATGTTATGGAAAAATAATGAGGCAACAGAAATAAACATGAATTTTTCATTGCTGAGTTTTTTGTAATCGGCTGATTTAACTTAAGGGCAATTTGTAAGACCAAAGTAGAGAACTATTGTATTAGAATATAAAGATTCCCCCAATTGCAGACAATAGGGTTTTCTTATTAATATCTGAAGAGTTGACACTGACCCTGAAGCTCTCATTGTTAGTAGGATGCTGTTAGTAGTAGCAGTTGCAAACATATGGGTTTGCCAGTAACAACTCACAATTTGTGCATAGTTGAGTCTTCGAAACTGAGCAAATTTGCTCTCAAAATCTTGCCAGCGCTTGCTGAGCTGTATCAGGGTTGGCTCCACTGCTTTTGCAGCCCCATCCTTAGACAAGCGTTCAGCCTGCCTGTGCACCGCATTCAGATCTTCCTTCTTCTTCTCCAATTCTCCATCAATCTCCTAGTGAGCAAAACCAATACAGGGCCCAGGACAGTTAGCTAACTAGATCAAATCAACTTAAAATTAGCAAAATACTTCTGTCATAAATTCCATTTTATTGTTACAATTAAGATTTACAGCTATTTCATGTCTTATTTTACATTTAAACAAAACTAACTGAAATTGAAGAACCTTCTTGGAGATTGGCTGTAGAGATACTAACAGCTAGTACACACCGAAAACTAGTTAGCAAAGGCCAACAGTTTCCACTTCCAGATTCTTGCTAGTAAGCCGTGATGGGCAATTGAAGAAACTCTTTTCTCGATAAGGGTCAGCATATTCAGGACAAATAGTGTTCAGACAGCTTACAAATATATTATTTGACTCTTTCATGTATTACTTAACTCCTATTTTACTCTGTGGGAAACTCAACAGAGAATGAAGCAAAGAAAGACGATGCAAAATAAACTAGGAAAACCTTTGACAGTATGTAAATAAATCTATAGAGATTGACAGTGACATATGAATATGTTCTGATGAAAATGAATGTGCTAACATGAGATAGAGGTCATCCATATATCGGTAAGTCATTTGTTCATCTGGAACAAAGATACATAAAATCAATTACAATTTTTACTAGAAAACATTTGATGTTTCTTAATACATTGCACACTTTCTATATTATTGACGTAAAATTTTATTTAGTGTGTTCAAAATTATTTATATAACATTCTGTATAACAAACAAACATAAGATATAGTACAACTAAGATATGTCACTTTGAACATAGATAATTAGGGTTTGTTTTACTATAAATAGAAATAAAGAACTGAACTGATAATATTCAACATCTATTGGAATATTTGTTGCATTTGCTGTCTGTTAAATTGATAAACTCTCAAAAAGTTCTACCATTGCCATCCCAAAACAACATTACCTTTAGCTTCTGCTCATCTTTGTGGTCTGGTAGACTGGCTAACTTTTTCTCAATGTCATCCAGCCATGTCATTAGGTCATCAGCCTGCCTCTTGTATTGATACCATTGATGAGAAATCTCTAAAGCCTTTTTTCTTCTTTGAGATCTCAAGTCCTGTTCACAGTGCAGACATTATTAGAATACGAATTAAAGGCTTACAAGGTATGAATTGGCATGTGTGCAACTGAAGGGGAAAATAGTGCACAAGGTCATTATTTTTTTTAGGTAAATGTCAATACTTAAATCTAGTATACATGTATCTCAACACAGCATATTTTCTTCAGTTTAACAGATGATTTTTTTCTTTTAAAGGCGGTTACCTAATTCAGGGTTGTTCACATGTTGAATAAACCACTGAGACAGTCACCAATATTCAGAGAAGTTAAGACTCTTACATAAATGTCAATATCTTTTATAAAACACTTCTGTTCAGAATACTCACTGGACAGATGGAAAACACAGCCCACTTAGTATCTAGACACAAGTGGGCTTCCTGTGTTTTGTGGTCTCCTGTGAAATTCTAGCCTGCATGCAAACTCTGCAGCTATTTGAAAGAAAAGCATTTCAATGCAGAAATGTATGTAAAGACAGATTTCTTTTTCCTAAATTAAATACCCTTTATATAACAAATGTCTTGTGTTTATGACTCAGCTTTATAAAAGTATTAAAACTTCTCTTTAAGAGGAAGATTAAAAAATGTTATTTTATTTCATATAAATATTATTAAATATGAAAATAAAATATATCTGCATTTGTTTTAACTCCCTAACTCTGCTCATACAGAATTCAGAAAATATTTTCATTACTATAACTTCTTACTAAGAAGTAAATTAAAAAATTACTGGCACATTTTATATAAAAATACTCAGATGAATTTGCCTCAACAGTTCCTGAATTTTATTTGACAAGGTTGAATGCATTAACTGAGCCATCCAAAGGAAAAATCGGTCACTCTGTTTCATAAAAAAAAGCAGTAAGGATCTGGTCAATAGCATAGTTCTAGAAACACTTTTCTTGTTTCTCCTCCATAAAAATTATTAATTACTTCCATTTAACTTGGAACAGTCAAAGACACATCTAACAGATTTCGAGTTTCTTTTAAATGTGGACAAAACAATGGTACGTTCCAGCTATTTCTTTACTGAATTCAAATAGATCTGCAAAACTGTAAAACTTAGAATGAAATCTGAAGGAAAGGAAAGATGCTGCTTAAAAATAAGTAATAATAAAATGTAACTATGCCATGTTCCCAAGCCAAGAAAAACTTAATCAAAATTTTCAAAAGAAAGAAAAATTCTCCTTGCCAATGAGATGAAAAATTCTTTGACAGTAACCAGAGCCTATGGCTCCAGGCAGGTGACCAAGGTGATGTTTCCCTGGAAAGATGACACTCCCAATTATGACTAGTAGCTTGTCCAAACAGGACTTACTGTGGATGTGTCTAGGAACAGTATCATACACTTACACCTCCAGGAGTGTGGTAACACAGAATTTTGATGTGTAACTTTGGTTTTCAGTCTTTTAACTGCTAGGTCTATTGGTACTATTCTAAAGAGGCTGGAGCCACTGTTCCCACTAAAGAACATAGTCTGTAAATCTTTTACTAAAGGATAAAACAACTTATTCATTACAGAACTACGTTATAAAACAATGTAAGTTTGTGAGAACTGATTCTAACTAAGGTCTTGACTGCTGTTGGAGAAACATAAAACATGCATAATGTGTTAAAAAGGAATTATTGTCAAAGAAATCATTGTTGTCCAACTGGCAATCAGACGCTTATAACACTGAAGACAAAACAGTACTTGTTAAGCTGGAGAATCAAAATGTCTTTTCCAAGGTATCAAGAGAAGCATATAAGAAAATATATGTTTACAGCCAAATAGTCATAAATTACTCATCTCTAAATAGTAATGAAGATTCATTTAACAGAGCAACGCCCTGAACGAAGGGAAAAAATGGGTTTAGTAGCATGTGCTTATAATTATAGCTCCTATACCTTGAGAGCATTATGTTTAGTCTGCAACAGCTGTTGTTTTATCTTTATTTCCTCCCGTTTTCTCTCATCTGTGATCCTCTTTTGAAGTGTATCGCCTCTTTGCAGCAATTCTCTCACCGTGCTCTCATTGTCTTCACTCTTATTTAAAAAAAAATAACAGGTATAATGGGTGTTTTAATCTAATTATTACTTAAGCACGAGGAGATACAGACACATAAAACTACATTTCCTCTGCTAAGGTAATCATCTAACAGTTACTTGCAGTTCTATACTGAAAACCAAATAACTTGCTTTCTACAATACACATAGACACTTGAGGGGTACAAGTAAAACAGCACTTGAAAACCTACGGATGTTTGATATTAGATTTTATGCAGCATTCAGGATAATAGGATGAAAAGATTATAGGCAAAAAGGTAAAATATATTTTACTTTAAAGTAAAAAAGAATAGATATATCTAAAATATTCTAAATCACTGTCAGTAGTCACTGAAATTGCCAGTATGCTGTGAGGCCATGTAATTCCTGACCATTTCATATATCATCACAGTGCAAAATAACTATTCTGGCAGGGAAAATGATACCACTAAGTACTTTTTGCATAGAAGTTGAACCTATGTCACAGCTTCTGGGAGTGTATCTCCTGAACCACACTAAACATTTTATGTAAAAGAGAACAAAAGATGCTCAAGTAGTGGAAACTGCTCTGTCAAACTTGATTCACTCAGAATTTACCACTGGAGTACATACTGTCTTAAATTTTATTTTTCCTGCATTAAAAAAAAAAGAAAAAAAGTCCTGGAAAGATTCCTTTTAGCATTGATATAAATTAGCTATCTTTGAAAATTCCTTAAAAGAATATTGACTCTATACTGCTTTTGAAGAATTATGTATTTTATCTCGCTGAAGACTCATGAAGAGAGGGTCCTAAAGACGAATCTCTCTTATTGCCCAGCCAAGAAATGTCATCCCTCTGAAAGTCACTCTGGAGAAACCATACCACAGTGGCAACAGTAGCAAAGCACAGCAGTATTTTACTTCTCTTTTTTCCTTTTTTTTTTTTTTTTTTCCCCCCTGATAATATGCATAAGTGGCTTTACTACTTGCAAAGAGCAAACATGAGTAATAAAGTTTACCACAGCCACAAAAGCCATTTACAGTAATTGGCATGATCAGATTGGTTAAGAACTAATTGTCAAGCGGCATTTCTTTCAATGATCATTGCCTATCATCTGTTTTTAGTGAATGTGTTCTTTTACTATATTGCCCATTTAGATACATGATTCTGAGTTTTCTTGGTCTTTATATTGGTACAGAGATTTTAATACCCATTCCCCATTCTGTAATATTGCTAATACTAGTACAGGACCCATAGTTAACATTCCTGTTTTGCTTAGTGTTTTCAGAAGGGTTGAAAAATGTTTTCCTTATAAACTAACAATTAACATCACTAAAACTTCTAGTTAATGCTAACCTGGGATTTTCGACTGTATAATATATTAGCACAGTAAAATTTTGTCCAAGTCATATCTAAAGATCCTAACACAAATACAGAAGTTTCCAATTTTCATTCAGGTTTTTTTATCTCCCTATCTACTTCACTCAGACTTCCATTTCAAACAAATTACCATATCTTTACTGAAGTCCTCCTCTTTCAGATTCACCCCCTGCTGAATTTCAACCTCCAGTGGTTCAAGCATTTTTTGTATATCGAAGTCAAATTGCTCCAATTCCTTCAAAGGAATGAAGGGCTAAAATGGAAGAAATACAGAGATTATTTATTTAAAACACATACTTACTATTTTATTAGAAACATAAATGAAAAGAGACATCTATTCTATCCCATATTTTTAAAACAATGGTAGAGTTTCCGTCATGTGGAAAAATATCTACACCATACAACTCAAAGTACGTAAAGATACAAGTAAAGATAGGTATTTAACAATACTGTAGAATTTCTGTATAAGAAAACGTAAGAATTCTATGGTGAGTGAAAATAAAATAAAAAAAAATATTCTCACATTTGTGTGTAAGAACAGGTTCAGATGAACAGTGTAACAAAGATTTGTCTAAAAAAATTAAATGTTGACACTACTTGCCTAAATCTTTGTCAGAAATTACACAGCAACAAGCAATCCATTCAGTTGAAAAACCACGTGCTACTACCACTTGAGAAAAAATTCATGAGAATTTGTTTCAGTGTTTTGAAATCATTGTTCTCTCACAAAGAACAGCAAAAATGACAAGTGAATTACACAACACAAAAGACAGATAATCTCTGCATAAGATAGCCCCCTAAAAATATTTTATAACATATTAAAAAAATCAACAACACTTCACTAAAAGAGTTTGTCTTTCAAAGAAACCTCTACAAAAATGCAGGACCAAAAAACCCCTCAACCAAACAAAATAGACAATTCCTCCAAAATTAATCACAGTGTAATTATGGTGCTTTAGCTTAGCATTCAGCTTTAAACTCTAAAACAAGTGCCACTTATTAACAACAACACACCTTATCTACCCGATACCCAAGTGCCTATGAATAGTTTAATGTACAATATCCATTATATTTATTAAATGCATTGCAAAGGATGAACAAAAAAAGCTTTCTTCTTTCAAAGCTTTAAAAACAAGAGCAAGCAACAAATTCTTTATGATTCTTGCATAAAATTTAGATTTAAAGGTAATTAATGCTTTATGATCACAGAATCACAAAATGATAGGAGTTGGAAGGGACCTCTGGAGATCATCTGGTCTAACTCCCCTGCCAAAGCAGGTCAGCCTAGAGCAGGTCACATAAGAACATGTCCAGACAAGTTTTGAATATCGCCAGAGAAGGAGACTCCACCACCACCCTGGGCAGCCTGTTCCAGTGCTCTGCCACTTGCAGAGTGAAAAAGTTTTTCCTCATGTTGAGGCGGAACTTCCTGTGCTCCAGTTTGTGCCCATTGCCCCTCGTCCTATCAATGGACATCACTGAGAAGAGTCTGGCACCACCCTCTTGACACCCACCCTTTAGATATTTATAAGTGTTGATAAGGTCCCCTCACAGTCTTCTCTCCTCCATGCTAAAGAGCCCCAGGTCTCTCAGCCTCTCCTCATAGGAGAGATGCTCCAGCCCCTAATCATCTTCGTAGCCCTCCACTGGACTCTCTCCAGTAGCTCCTTGTCCTTCTTGAACTGGGGGCCCAGAATTGGACACAGTACTCCAGGTGTGGCTTCAGCAGGGCAGAGTAGAGGGGGAGGATGACCTCCCTTGACCTGCTGGCCACACTTCTTAATGCAAGCCAGGATGCCGTTGGCCTTCTTGGCCACAAGGGTACAATGCTGGCTCATGGTCATCCTGTTATCCACCAAAACTCACAAGTCCCTCTCTGCAGAGCTACTCTCAAGCAGGTCGACCCCCAACCTGTGCTGGTGTATGGGGTTATTCCTCCCCAGGTGCAGGACCCTACACTTCTCCCTGTTAAACTTCATCTGGTTCATCTAGACCCAGCTCTGCAGGCTGTCCAGATCTCGCTGAATGGCAGCACAGCCTTCTGCTGTATCTGCCACTCCTCCCAGCTTTGTATCGTCAGCAAATTTGCTGAGGATACACTCTGTCCCTTCATCTAGGTCGTTGATGAATATATTAAATAAGACAGGCCCTCGTGCAGACCCCTGGCGAACACTGCTAGTCACAGGCCTCCAGCTGGACTCAGTACCCCTGATCACAACCCTCTGAGCTCTGTCCTTCAGGCAGTTCACAATCCACCTCACTGTCCACTCATCCATCCCACACTTCCTAAGCCTCCCTATGAGGATGTGATGGGAGACAGTGTCAAAGGCCTTACTAAGGTCAAGGTAGACCACATCCACTGCCCTCTCCTCATCCACCGGGCCAGTCATTTTATCATAGAAAGCTATCAGATTGGTCAAACATGATTTCCCCTTAGTGAATCCACACTGACTATTCCTGATAATCTTCTTTTCCTCCATGTACTTGGAGATAACAGCCAGAACGAGCTGTTCCATCACCTTCCCAGGAACGGAGGTGAGGCTGACTGGCTGCTAGTTTCCCAGGTCCTTGTTCCTGTCCTTCTTGAAGACTGGCGTTACACTGGCTATCCTCCAGTCCTCAGGCACCTCTCCTGTCCTCCACAACCTTTAAAAGATGATGAAGAGCAGCTTTGCAATGGCATTCACCAGCTCCCTCAATACTCGTGGGTGCATCCCCCATAATGCTCTAGAAACTGTCAGACATAAAACTGTCTTCTTTCTAAAGACATAAACACATTATATTCTAATAAGTTGTGTTTTGCTCTTCCCTTCAGTACTATTGGTATTCATTATAAAGCAAAATTTTATAATGAAAATAGTAATAATTGAAGTTAATCAGTTAAAACAAGAGATACTGGACATCAACTGTAATCTGTTCTCAGCTGTTCCACAGATGACCTGGGAGACGAATTAGGGTAAAAATACCTTAATTGTATCTGGTTGATTGTTTTAATGACAGAGATTTTCTGTACTTATGAACATTAATGAAAATATAATAATGTACAATATTTATAGAGAATAATACCGTCCTCACAAATTTTCACCAAGATGTTCAGAATTACACTCAGCAAGCACTTCAACTGAGGTAGAAATAACAGCAAACTACACAGTAATTTCTTCTCAAATGCTCTCAAGGATGTGTTCAAAAGCACTTAAATCTCACTAAAAGACAAATCAACTAACAAAACTGGAATTTAAAATTACTAATCTCTGACAAATGCTAAAAACAATAACAAAAAGGAAAATGGAAGGAAAAAATCTAAATGAAATTCCAATCATTGAATGAGGTTCAAAGACCACTTGAAAATGTCACATGTCATTCTAGTATGCTATGACAATTCTGTTAATTCAGGACACAACAATTAGGTACTACCTTTTACTGACTCCACAGGTCATTTCTTATTTATTTCACTGTTGTACTGATAATTTTTAACATTTGAAAAAAATACAGCTAATTTGAAAACAAATAAGAATTGATTGAAAATAGATTATGAGATCTTACCATCCTCTTGAAATGATTTTTTAATCTGTTATTCACTGAGTGAATAATTTTACCTAAGAATGAAAAAAACCTAAAACACTTAGGAAGCATAATATCAGCCCATAAGAATAATAATTTTTCAGCCCACAAAGCTGAAATCATGACTAAGGGAAGTGCAGTTACTTATGATATACAGGTGGACAAAATGAGGCACCCAGCAACTTAGTCTTTTATTCAAATGCATATAGCAAGTCAGTAAAACTGCCAAGAATTCAGACAAACTTTTGCCTATCTTATGCAATACGTATTACTATAGATATCACAGAATCACAGAATGTTATAGGGCCTTTGTGCATCATACCCTAGCTGTCCATTCCCCAAGGCCCTGGAAAAGGTCCCCTAAATTCTAATTTACCATTAAAATTACGTGCTGCAGTAATGCCTCTCATCTTGCTAGGTATATAGTGTATAAAGCTAAATGAGGTGCTGCCATTTCACCTCATCTTGCCTATCCAATCTTAAATGTGAGAACACCTGAGAGAGAGGGTTGCTAGGTGGAAGATGTTGGCAGGCTCTGTTCCGAAGACAGTTCATCTTGATGAGCATCTTTTCCCCCTTCTTTGAGTGAGACCACAACATGCAATGCAATCAGTTAACCCATGATAAACCATCTACAAGAAGTACCATTTTCCCCTAAGACAAACAATAATTTCACCCAGCCCTATGAAAGGCTGCATCATCCCTGTGTGCTTACAGTGTTGTGGAAGTGCAAGGTAAAACTGAGAAAGAAATCCAGACTGCAGATAGCAGATGTTCAGAATAAAAACATCACATGAAAAAGTTGTTTGGGCTTTGTGCAAAGATGTTCTTTGTCTACAGTTTGTATTTGCGTAAGTAGTGAGAAGCACACTTGAATGGCTGAAGTACTACTGAGGGACAATAGGAAAAAGAAAAGATGACTTTATTCATAGGACATTTTCTTTTCTGTTCCAGAAATGATACCTAAATAAACTCAAATATCCACAAATAACGTGCCTGTTACACAGGATACTGAACCCTGCATAAACCCCAAACGACTCATGAAAAATATGTCTCTCTGCTCATGCTTTTTGCAAAGCTTATTTCCTGCTCTGCCACTGATTCTCTATGCATTCATTTCCAGTGCTATTACAGTAGCCAGCAAAAATAGTTAAGATCAGGATCCATGCATTCCCATTACCCTATATACCAACTTACATGGCTGCCTGCTTTAATCTGCTGAATAGCTCTCTGCAATAAAGGCAGCAAACACAATGGAGAAACTAGGTGGCTTTTACCCTTCCTCCCTCATTCCAATTCAGAAGTCACAACTTGGCTAAAAATTACCTAATCTGTATTGAATTCAGATTCTGTAGTCAAAATAGTTGTAAGGATTAGTAGCTGAAGTATAATTGATATAATCTGTATGTATATATCTATCTCAAATCTTGGTGAGTCACAGCCTCACAGGAAAAGACTGAGTGCATTTAATGAAAAATTAGCCCTCAAAAGCCAATCTATACAAAAAATAAGGCTATCATACTTTGAGAAGATTAAGAATCTTACTAATTATCAGATGTTGTTAATTATTTATGTTATCATTGATACATTCATATAAAGTCAGTGAATATTTCTGCTTGTGAAACACTGAAAAACCCAAACCCTCACACTTTTTTTAAAAAATAAATTCTTAGGATCTACATGTTTTTTCCTTTAAAAACCTAGGTTTTTGAGAAACTGCAGCCCGCTATGTAGTTGTAATTGTGTACCTTATATAAATAGCACTTTGTATGCATCTCCATACGGAAGCAAGGCCTCCTACCTTTCCACTCTTAATTCTTTGCGATACAGTTGCAAATCGCTGGTTGAGCTCTGACAGTTTAGGCTCTATTACTTTCCTGCAGTGATCTCCACGGTTTGTCATCAAGTCTACTGCCTGGTCACGCACAGAGTCCACCTTTGGATGCATATCATTCAGCTCAGCCTTTAAGCGCTACAGTCCGTGAGCAAGAGACAGGGCTTGAAGTTAGTAATAAATGCAGAGAGAGAGAAAGAGAGAGAGAGAGAAAGTGTGCAAAGGAATAGGGAGCAAAACCACAAAGCAAATTCAGATAATTATGCATGAGTGTGTAAATCCGGTAGAAATACACTAGTCAACATTCCCATTCATACCCCTCAAATTGCAGGAATGTCTCTACATATTTGTTTTAATATCTCTAGAGGACATTAATGGTGAACATTATTTCTAGGCAGGTTCTTATCTTTGATAACACAATCCTCAGCATATTTCAGGATACACTGAATTATTTTATGATACTAAAGCTAGGAAGAATTGCTAATGCATGTATCGTGGAACTGGATGTATAGCTGTTGCTTTTATTACTGTTCATGTCCATTGTTTAGGCAGGGAAAAACGACCAGGTGAAAAACAGTGGGAATTTTCTCTACAAATCTATCATAAAAAAAAAAGAGGGGGGGGGACACACGACACGGGGAGGTCAAGGCCAAATAACTTCCTCTGCAATAGTAATCTTAACAGTAGATCCCAGTATGGGCAGAGGCCGAAAAAGATAGCCAGGCATTCAGGAATCATAAATGCAGTTGGGCATTAAGAATTACATTTCATTGTCTGTATGAAATGCCTTTGTGCGATGCAAATACATATACCTGTATTGATGGCAAAGATAATCATACTTTGTATCTGATGGTGGCAAAACTGTTCATTCAGCAAGAAAAGTCTGCCCCATAATCCTGCTAAGATCAATAAGGCATTGACTTATGCTCTCCCTTGGAATTTGAAAAGTTTTACTTTAGTAAATGTTATCATTATGTTACTGTCAGCAATATGATTCTGATTTTGATTTGCAAACTGTTCCTCAGATAGTATGTAGTGACCATGGAGTTCAATACAAAGTAAAATTTCACACTGATTTCAGAAGAAAAAAAATCCATAGATAATTTGAAGATACTTTAAAATTCGCATCTATCTTCCAAGTTAATTTTTCATCAGTTGGTCAAATGACGTAATGGGCCAAATAAAACTTTCTGATCAATACACTAACCGATTATTGTATAGATAGTTCACCATATAATATTCTTGTCTGTAGTGTTGGTCTGACATCAACAAAAACAGTGTTTATAGAATTAAAACAATCATATGACAGAGATATCAAATACAGATACCATAGATATCAGAAAAGTATCACAGAAAAACAGAAAAGCAATCAAAAATGAAGAACACAGAAAAAAAGGATTTTGTTCAATCAGATGTGTTTAAGGAGTATTTTCCAACAAACACAGGTTTAATAAGCTGCTGGTTTATGCACCAGGAAGTCCCCAAGACTTGTAACAACATATCTGGTTTTATTTCTACAGGGATTTAACTTTTGTGATGCAGTGCAAATTTATTAAATAACCTACAAGCTGCCAGAGGGTAACTTTACCACAGAAAATAGAAGGCTAATCAATTTGTGATACCTTTCAAAATACGTTAGTTTTGATACAGTCTTTTTTAGCATAAAATTAATGCTTTCCAGAAAATGGCATTTTTTTACCTTAAGAATTTCCTCTTTTTGCTGGGGTTTTTGTTTATCAGATTCATCCAACAGTATTTCAGCACGATACATCCAAGTTGTGACATTAGCTACATTCTGATCAAAAGCCTCCATGTGCTTTTGATATTCCTGTATGTGGAAAAGGTAAATACTGCATACAAAAAAAAGTAATCAGAACTGAAATAGCCATAACTATGCCAGCTGTGGCAAACATGCACACATTATGAAATTAAACTTGTTTATTTTACACAGTAACTGCTTGTTTTGTGAAGGATAGAATCTGCTGCTTGTTTGCCCTCACTTTATCTATTAAGTTTCTTTAAAAAGACATTTGAGGAGAGAGAGAAGCTTCCAAAGTGACAGGCAGGAGGGTGATAAAGTCACAGCAAGACACAGGTGTCTTCAGCCAGGCTGCTGAGAGGAGCAGGAAGCTGATAGCCAGACCTACCGGAGGTAGAAAGAAGAGTTTCCCAAGAACCAGGTACAGAACTCATTTTGGAGAGCCACTAAGTTGATTGAAAACTCAGATGGTAACAAGAATGCACTTGCAAAGTCACAATCAAGAACGCAAGTGTGGTAACTAAAACTCTTATTTACGTGTCACCTAATTTCTCTGCTTCAAGGCTCTGCTTTTTAGAAAGCTATTCTGGCTGATAAATCTTTTTTTGTCTCCTTAACTTAAAAACATTTTGTCTTTTTTGGTGAGCTCACTGGAATGGGGCCTATGCATATCCACACAATACATATGTGTACCACCCATGTGAAATCAAAGATTTTACTAGTCCTTTTAGCCCCTACATACATGTACCATTATTTTACACTGTTCTAAAATCAGTAAAAGACCAACTCCCTCTCTTATACCTTTTTATCACAGGTTCTGTTAAATATTAACACAAGAGAATCCAAAGTAGAGAAAAAGTAGAGCAATAGAAAACTATACCAGTCTATAAACTCCATGATATGTTTCTTATAATCAGTTCCACATTGAAGCTGAGCACCTACATCACACTGAACGAAATGCTTATGTTTTCCGGATAGAATAGACACAACCAGATGCTTTCGCTTGTAAGCTGCATACAGCTGAAGAAGCCCTATCATGACACTTTATATCTGTTGCAGGAGTATTCATGATGTAGCCACACAGACTCTAGTGAAGCTCTAAGACACTGAGCTCTGAAAAGTCAAAATAAAGGCTAACACACCCTTGAGAACCACTTCAGTTTCTCCAGGTTGAAACTGCATTCCCATGCTCTCAGCAACTGGAACAGCATACAAGATTTTCCAAAGCATTCTGGCAGCCCAATGGTTAAGACCCTTCTGTCTTTAAGGGTTCAAGCTGTCATCTCTTCATGACAGAATGAATTTTAATGGAGAATATAGTTATTTGACTATCAGCAGTTGAAAGTATTTGGGTCTGAGGCTCCTGAATCTGTATTAAATGTGTATTAGGGATTTTACTTTCGACTAGGCTTAATCTGGTCCCCTTAAATAATTATCCTCACCAAAACATGCACTATAAAACTATCCAAAAGGGGATCATGCAGTTCTGAAAGAACAAATCATAGTCCTTGAGCAAATCAGATGTGCACCCTGAGCAGAGCTCCTGATTTAGTTGCCTCTGAAATGAATCTAGTTCACACACACCAAAGCTACCCTGTAGACCAAACCTACATGCGAGCAGGGACTTACTTCCCAACTGTACTATTCCAAACAGAAACGCTAATGTAGCCAAAAGCAGCTGATGTTTTTGGTATCAATACCAAGACTTACTCAACTTATTTGACTATTTCTTTCACTTGATTTGTATTCAAGTAGTCCAGATCCTTGGGAAGGAATTGCATTTCATTCATTAGGGGGGAAAAACCCAAACAAAACAGTCCAGGAACTACTGAGGCAGACAGGAACAGGAAACGCTAATAATCAAGACTCCACAGAGCCGTAACTCTGTAAGAAGTCAGATTCTTAAAATATACATAATGTACTAAACAATCATCCTGACTGTCTGTGTACCTATATATTCAATAAGCATAGTCCAAGGCACCATAAAAAGCACTCCTATTAAGGCTGAGCAGCCACAACTGAGCACTAGCATCTCCTCTGTGTGAACAGATGCACTTTCCTTACCAGTAACAGATTGAACCATTCCTCAGCGCGTGAAGTTACTGCTATCCAATTACTGTTCAGGAGGCTGAGTTTATCCTCCACTAGACTTTCCTTTCCTTTCAGCACTGTCTTCAAATTCTCTCCTAAATCACTGATGTTCTTAAGATGGACCTGGCGTTTCTCAATCTCCTTCCGTGTTGCCTACATGAACAGAATAAAAAATAACAGTTCAGGAAACTAAAAATTCTCCACACTAAGAACATGAAATATTAAAACAGCCAGTAAGTTCATACGAGAACACACACTCTTGCTTCCTGTAGGAAGGTAAAGCATTCTGTGAAGAGAAGTAAGTAAAAAGCAAATTATTCCTTTTTAGTGTTGATAAAATTGTAAATGTCCTTCATACTCTCACAATCCTTTCTGGTAATAGTTTAACTTTTAAAAGTGAGAATTATCTCTCCAGTGTTCAAAATACAGTTTTAATATATAATTATTAAACAAGAATCCACATTTACAATATTTATATTGAGATGTTTAAAGTTACTTTGCATATAAAAAATGGCATAGTTATCAAATAGCATATAAAGCTACACAATAAACGGAACAGTAATAAAGCATCATGATGACATCTTAAGACTTAGAGAACTTCATTGAAAATACTCTAGTGAAATATTTTAATATTCCTTTAGTATTTTTCAATGCAATCTTTTTTCAGCAGAAACGGTGTTCTTCTCTCCTGGTAGATTTCTTGTTTCCTAGCTGTAGAAATGCATGTTTTCATTACATTCACTTGGGATTTCACTCTGCGAACTAAAATACTAAAACAAGCTATTGTCCACAGAACCGCTAAGCTTGAATGACTACAATACATATGCCGTGCTACAAGTTCAGATTTCCAGCATCTCCTGCATCTCCTGCCTTACCTTATATAAATAGATTTAAATGATATGTAAGGTCACATAATTTACCCATTATTCTTGCTTTAATATATGTTGCAACATGCAAGAAGTCTAACAAAAGGAGCAAATCCCAACATATTTAGACAACATGTAAAAAAGCAGGAATTTAATACTAAATTCTGAGATGACAAACTGCAGAGTATAACAGTCTTGCTGAATACTCTAGGAGAGCACAAATTCCTTATACCTAATACCACATAAAACCAGTTTTATGAGAAGTTTGTCTGAGCTCCTTGGCACCTAATAGAAATGATCCAGGCATATACGATCTCTGCTCATAAAATAAAGCTCCACTAGAAGTGGTCCAAACTGAACACAAAGAGAAGTAAGACAGGAGAAAAGTAAGAATCAGTAGTCTAGAGAAACATTGATTTCTCACAGATAACTTGAATATACTAGAAGAACCACCACTTCTAATCAAACCGCAATCACAATTCTTCCATCTGAGGATCAACACTGTTACTGCAGTAGAACTACACCTTTGTTACCTCTACACTATCACACCTCTCATGGTCACACATCAGTATGTATTTGTTGATAATGTGTTCTTAGGGAAAGTAGAATTTTCAGTTTGCAGCAGAGACTGAATAGAAATTATTCTTTTTGGTACAACACAATCTTAATAGTACCTCCAACTTGGTCTACATTTTGTTTAAAGCAGCAGCTTGCTTCCTATGCTTTACAGAATTAATGATCCGATTTTGCAATGTTATTTCACAGAAAAGGTTTTACACTTGCATTTCATGTAAGTATGAGAAATTTTCCACATTCTATCAATGTGACAAAAATACAGAGAGTTGTAATAGAACCAAGACACGATTAATGCAAATTATTAACTATAAACTATAAAATTACTGAATTTGAAACAGAGTTTCAAATTACAACAGGTTCTTATTAGATTAAAGGAAAAACATGCCCTCTTCTAGTGAAACTTTATCCATTTCACAGCAGGTTCCAAATGTCATCATAAAAAATAATAAGACAAAGAATATAATTTACCTCCAACTCAGGATGGAAAACTTCGATCAACTTTATTAAATTTTCTGAACAATTTACTTCCATTTGTAAAAGAATCTCTGAAGCTTATTTACTATGAATTGTGTTTTCCTTTGTATTTTACATGTATGAAAACTCAGACTAGTCTTGGGCTACATATATAAAAATTAGTCCCAACTAGAAATGTAAACAGACAGATCGGATAACTAAATGTCTATTAAATAAAACTCATATCAAAAATCCGGATGTATAATTACCAATATGTAACAAAAAGTGTGACAGCACTTTGCCTGATCCCAGGAGTTGCTCTTTTCAAAGTAAAGAAATAATGTAAACCAAAGACTAGGTGACCCTCTGGGCAATATGAATATTAACACTCCTGTGTATTAGCAAGTAAGGGACATAAATAACCAATGATACAATAAATCAATCACACTTCCCCCCATCTTTTTAACAAAACAACCTGACGTCTTCAACACAACATCAAAGAGAAAAAGCCATCTTCTGCAATGCTTAAATCTCAATTATTCAAAGTTCATATGTATAAAATCCGGTACCCACTGAATACAGAAGAAAAACTAGCAGGGTCTGTAAAGACAGAGGGTTTCCACACTGCATTATCAGCTAGGACCTCCTCTGTATGATATAACCTGTACTAGGTAAACTAACAACTTTTTCTCAGCTCTTTCACAACTCTGTTAACACTTTCAATTTTTTTTAGTTTGACACTTCTTCCTTATATTCTTCAGAATTCTCTTTCTCTTTTCAGTATTATTAGACAGTGACAGTCTATATATACTTCATCCACTCCAAGATAACAGATAGCATTGGTAAATTTTCTGTAATAAAAAGACAAAAGGATTGCTATTAATTTAACAACACTTTCTAAAATAGATAAAAAATGGGTCATGATCCCAGGCTATAACTAGGATTATTTAATTAAAACTCAGGCAGTGGTTTTCAAAATCTGCTAATTTTTGAAGAGTCATTTCCAATATTCAATGAACTGGCCTTCACTCATCATCTTTCCCTGCATGTTCTAGGGAAATAAAAGAGAATATTTCAAAATTAAGGGGAAAAAACCCCAACCTTGCTGAATTGGGTTTTAAACACCCTTCTGGTTGCCCTAACATCAGATTGCATTTCAGCTGTGCAGTTTATTTGAAAATATGTAAGAAAGATGTAGAATTTTAATTTTACCTACAGAATCAAAAGTGCTAGCTCTGTAATTTAAGAATGACACTTAAAACATCTGATGCTTTAAAAAAAAAAAAAACCAAAATCCCAAACACCACCACAACGGGTACAGTATAAAACATTAACAAATAAAGTGGTGAGATTCTTCCCAGAAGGAGTAGGCAATTTATACATTCTGATTTTGTGTGTTTATAAGGATGAAACTATGTAGCGTAAACAAAATATACAAACATGTTAGAAGTTTGGAAGAAGCTAATTTTCTCATGCAGTCTCACCTGGCATTTTTGAGGAACTAAAATATGTAAATAAAAGGTTAAAACTATGCATCATAACACTCAACTCAGTTGTAGCCATGAAAATTTGTCAGCAACGTTCAACAGTGTTTTAAAAGAGATTACAGTCACTCTGTTATTTGTCATTACAGTGAAGTTATTATATTCACTTTTTTGTTGTTGTTATAAAACAAAAGTTTATTCAAGTGTGTATTACCTGGAAGACAAAGGTTTCACAAATAATTTCAGGAAAGACAGCTCCATTGAAATGTGTATAGAAATTATACAGTTATATTAAGGAGATTATATATATATGGTCATCTCTTCTTTACATATGCCTCCAGATAGGATCACATCTACTAGCAGATACAAGAGGTAAAGAGGATGGCAATCTCTCCATTCAAATTGCTGTTTAGTTTTCTATTAGACAGAATTCTGAAATGTCTCTTTGGAAGAAACTCTCGTGCTTCCACTTTTTTTTGAAGTGCCAGTTATGGCTATTTGCTACAGGATACCACAACAGAAATTCTTTGACCCCAAAAATTCGTTCATATTTCACTGAATGAAATCTTTCCTTAGCTTTTAAAGGAACCATTATTTTTTTCTCACTTGTGTTTCTCAGAAAAAAGCGTGCCTTTATCAAAACTGGGAGATCACATCACCACTGCACCCCCAGAACCTTAACATTCCAGCAGAAATGGCATCTAGATTCCCAACACCCAGGAAATTAAAGCAATCAGACAGATCCTCCTTCTCTGTTACAACTCTGCATGCAGAGCATGCCTCAGGACCAGTTTCTAATACCCGGCCTGGTAACACCAGAAAGAGGGGAGGGAGACAGAGAGGTAAGAGCAGCTGAGCCTTGCTTATACCAGTCCCTACCATTGAAACCTCAGGAAAGAAGTTGTAGTGTAAAATAAAAGTTTTATATAAGAAAAACAATTTTGGATGGTTTGAAACCCGGGTGGAAGCCAGATTATTCTGCAGTGTTGAAAGGCCTGGGGACAAGCATTACTGAGAATTCACAAGAAGTTTCTAGTTGCATATAATAGTATTTTACCTATTTAACATAGGGATCCATAGGATGACAGGATTAATTGTGTTAGTACAAATAAATGCACTTCCCTGTGCAGCCCTGTACACTTTGAGTGGGGTTCACATCTCCCTCTCTGACCCCACTGTACTGTGGCATACTCTCTATCTTTCAGTTTACTAACAAATACTATCGGTTTTGTTTTGATTTTTTGATGTTTCATAAAGAAGCAATATCATATCCTCCTTCATGTTAGCATATACTAACTAGAAATTAATTATGTTTGAAAACAGAAGCTACATAGGAATGGCCTTTTCTGAGGATGTGGTGTAGAGGGTTTCTGAGCTATACTTCATACTGATAAAACTACCATGTATCAAGTTGAACTGCTGATGGTCTTTTCAAACAAACCAGAATTGTAAATAAATGTAGAGGATAATATTTCAATTGTGCTGTTCATTAACTTGTGTAGTTTAAAAAAATTCAACACCAATGAATGATTGAAGAAAAATTCTGTGTGCCTCCACGCTGCCCGTATGCTGTTGGTTACTTGGAAGTAATCTTTGCAATTTGAACCTCTCTAAAAGAAATTAAGTGGCTCAGCTCTCATGGACGGGATTACAGAATTAATCAGAAGCTGACATTATGGCCTTCTCAGTGGGTGATTATACATATTTTTCTGTTTATTCACAGCACATCTTTTATTTTTATTGCGTTCTGGCCACTGACTATGAATCAGCTGACACAATTATCAGATTATTTTCTTTTGCTGATTTTACTGACAGGAAATATGTTGCTAAATGTGTTAGCTAATGTAATTCTAAGCACTTCAAGTCAACTTAATACTTACTGATATTATACACTGTGTTAAAATAGAACATTAAAACACTGGCAGACTCATACTGCTCATAGTAGGTAGTGATACAGAATTTTTCCTGGTAATACCATCTGCCATTTCCTTTTTGAGAACATGGTTTCCTGGCATTCTAATTCTTATCAAGTCAGTTCCTGATTAAAAGACAAATAAACCCCCCCATGCTTAGTGTCTTCAGTGATAAATATGTTCACTAAATCAGACTTCTAATTATAAACGGATTTCTAATATACAATGTTTAATGACTATCTTTCCACCCTCACATTATTTTTCTTATCTACTATAACAGAACTGAATTAAAATGGAACGATTTAGCTTGTCTCTACTGAGTAAAAAGGAAGGATTTACAGTCTTCAGTATATTGCCCATCTCATTTCACATAACTCAGCCAAGGTTTTGTTCCATCCTTAGAGAAATTCTAGACATGAACAAATAAATAACACACTTCCCTTCATGTCCAGATTAATACTATGTTTCATTAACGTAATTTCCTACTCAAGAGGGACATTCCTTTTTATTTCTAGGTGTTTATACCTTGAAAACGATGTTATGATTTTTTTTTTTTTATTCTAACTTCTATAATTATCTTTGAAACCCTCTGAGTCCTTTTCACTTTCAAGAAGTCTTGGGTACTGAAAATGAATTAGAAATAAGTGCAATAATAAATATAACTGCTTCCTTGTGCTGTGAAAAAAAAAAAAAAAAAAAAGAGCTTTCTGCTTAGTTATATCGACAGCATCACAAAGTTCATTCACACTATTGAGTACTCCTCGCTCCCCCTCCATTTTCCATCTTAGTTTTTCTGCAGATTTGCCTCACAATGGGAATCTGCAGGGCTTAATTAATCTCCCAGTGCATTTCATTAGATCTGTTACTGTGTTCGGCAGCCTACTTACCCGGGAAGTCCAAAGCCCAAAGCTGTGACATTAATCAGATACTGTGAGGCCCTAGTTCTGGGGACTGAATTATTGATGTATCATTTTGTCTGATGCCTCAATGAAATACACATAGGAGTATCAATATTGTAATTATTTATGAAGTCCTCACAAGAATTTTAAAGTGTCCAGGATAACATGCAGCAATTCCTGCCTCTTAGTGGGAACAGATACTTTAGGAAAAAGTACACTCGATTCAGGTAATTTCTGCAAATACTTACATTTGAAAGGCCAGGATCTGACACCTATATTATCTGTTGAATTGGTCAAAATTAAGTCTGCTTATAATTACGTGAATATTGGTGTATCTTTCCCAATCTTAATAAAGGAATTCTGAAAGCCACTCAGTATGTACATACTTCAACAAGAGGCAGCTGCTCTCATCCAAAGTTGTTTGTTTCTTCTTAATTTCAGTAATGAACTGACTGAAGGTGAAGATCTGAGGTACTGTATGTGGTTAGACTGAAATGAAGGCTTTGGGCAGGGTTTCAAGCCAAAATATGCTTTTTACCAGTTTTTTCTGCAACCCGTTTCCTTGTGGGAATTCACAATACACAATGACATTCTTTAAGATTAGTAGGTGGAGTGGTTCCCATGTGATTTTTTTTTTTGTGTTAACATTTCTTCTTTTAATTAGCTCTTGTTACCTTTTTTCATTGCCATAAGATAAAAATATGTTGTACTACTTGTAGCAAGTGTGAGACATAACAAGGACTTCCCACTGTGTAACTGCACTAATCATCAGGCTTTAGGTTCTAATTATGCAACTTCTGAAACATTAAGGTTCATATCTAACAATTAAATGATATTAAGGACAAATCCTTCTATTTAAACTGCTGTGAAGCTAAATACGCCTGGATTAACTTTCCTGAACATGCATGCAGGAACATACAGTGTACATTTCTGTTTCAGTAGAACTGTACTGCGTAGTTTTACACCACCAAAGACGATTCTTATTTTTATGGCAGGTAAATGGACTGAGGAACTGGCAGGTTAGTTTGGAGGCATTAAAACCATATGATTGTCTGACCCATCTCTTAAAAATATGACATTTGTCCTTTATTATGGGTGTTAAAATCACAACATCGATCAAAAGTAATGAGAGGAACTGCATAGACTTTACTATAGGAAAAGCAGCAATGGAATTTTAGGGATCAAGGTTTTGATTTGAAAGTCGAAGTGATATCTAAATCTTTAGGGTTGTAATGCTTAATTAATTTAAAAACTAATTGATGTAAAGCATGTGGGTAAACAGTTCTTGACTAGACAATGGGACAGAAGGAACAAACAGACCTAAAATCAAGAACTAGAAACTTTAGTGTGCTCATTGTCCAAGAAACCTGGCCAAATTGCATCCATCAGTTGAAATCTTGTCCTCTTGTTGAATTTATAGAAATCACACCTCTAGAAGTCAGGATATCCACCTCCACCCACTGAGCTTGCACAGTAGAATTAAAAATTGCTGTACCTTTAAATAAAGGGAAGGTAATTTACACCAATCAACTTTAAGATAAGGAATTATGATCACCAGTGAAAATCTGGTAAACAATGAATATGTTAATTATTTAATTTACAATGTATAAATGAATGACTGTTTCAATGCTGTGTGTGCTAGCTTTGTGGAAATATCCCCTAGCCCCTTCTGTGCAGAACTGCTAACTAATAAATAGCTAATACCTTGACTCTGTGTGTTATTGGCTTGCACACCGGGTAAGTGATCCCATGAGTTTAGGGACAACAAATGCAACAATAGTCAAAGCAGTAATTTTAAGATAATAATAATAATAGCAAAAGTGGATCTTTATATAGTTTTGGACACTACTTTTAAGATATTGTCATTCTTAGAGATTGATGGCCAAAAAACCCTATTCCAAACCTCACAAAAATACTTGTAGCCTTTATTTTTATTGTTATTAGTTTGTAAATCATTAGTGCATTTCAATGCTAAAGACATTTTATCAAGCTCAGAAGCTTGAAAGGGACAGTTAAAGAAAAAAAAAACCAACAAAAAAAACAACAAAAAACAAAAAACAAAAAACCAAACTGCAAACCAAATTTAAGTCCAGTACCTTTAATCTGCACAGCCTTGAAAAAAGTTAGTAAGGCTGCCTATGTATTATTCATGACTATTTCTATAATGCATGGTGAAACTGGTAAAATGTTTAAATGATTCTTATTAAAGAAAGCAGAATTGGTAAACTTGCACAAAAACCCTATACTGTTTAAGTTTTTTTGTTGTTGATGTTCTGTTTTGAAATTATATAGCAATACATCCAAAATGCTGCTGGCTGCACCTAATTACTTGAAATTTTGAAGCTTTGGATAACGTTGAGCATAGTTTCCTCTAAAGCACAGATTTTGGTATGTGTGTACAACGACTACTTGGTTTATGTTCTCAGTTAGATTGGATTTTTATTATACATGTAGAATATAAACTAGATTAGCTACTGTTGAAAGATACTGTGCTAAGCCTTAACCTCACACAGAGATACACAGTTTGATGTAGAACTTACGCATTCCTCAGTGATTCTGGAAGTTATTTGTCTAAACTATGGCACGTGTAGTAATTTCGAGAAAAGTTTAATTTTAGGCTTTGAGTTTTAACCTAAAACAAGAGTTCAAGGTCAAGTCTCATGGAAGTAAGAAGCCCCCAGAATGAAAATGAATGAGCTAAAAACCCAAAAGGGTAAGAAAACAAATATCCTACCTCCTAGCTGCTATCTAAGCATGTGGAATATATAGTATTCTGACATCCTTAATCTTTCATCCACTTGAGCTGTTTTACTGTCCAATACTTTCCTAATCATGAGTAGAATGGGATGAGACAGACAGGGATCTCTGTTTACATGGATACTGGATGGACAATTTATAGTACTCTGAAAAATGAAATTCTAACTGTAAACAATCTCAGTGAAGAACACTGCAATATGAAGGTGAATCATGCTATTGATATATGCAGAGACAAAATGGTTTAAGCTTTTCTGAGCATTAATGTTAGGGTGAGATAATGCTGTAACAGTTACAAAGTTCCACTCATTAAAGCAACATAATTTTTATTCTGTTTCTTTATCAAGAAAAAAAATCTGTCTGTAATATGCATAAACTGAGATGTATAAAGGTACAGTGTGTGTTACATTGTTACCTTGCCCCAGGCAATTTCAGCATCCAAATTCCTAGGCATCCCCTGAACAGCTGATCTCTTTGTCAATTCTGCATCTGTCGCTGCAAGCCATTCTGTCATAGCATTAATTTCTTTTCGTAGCTTCCGGGACAACTTCAAGCATTTCTCTAACTCTTGCTTTTTTTCTGTCACCTGCAGAAAGAAAATGTGTTTCTCAACTCTTCAGTCAAACCGTTTTAATGACTTTAACATACCATTTTTTCATATGCCACTTGTCTATAAAAGCTTAACTTGCAATTTCGCAAGCCGAGTTGCACTTTTTCTTGCCTTAATTCTCTCAAGATCTGTAGTTTTGCTGCTAGAAAGCAAACACCTACACGAAAAATATCTGTGTAAAGACACATCGAGTTTGAACTAGAAGCAGACCTCTGCAAACCTCCTCCTCTGTTTCGAAGTCACGCATAGCAAATTAATTTGGAACAATTGAATTAACAGGCTTTCCTTGAGACACAAAATAGATCTCAAAATGCTTCAAAGAGTGTATTTTCATATAGATGGCCTTACAGTGATACTGAATCCTCAAGGTTTTTTTCTATGTAGCTACACTACATAGAAGAAAAAAATTCTTTGCCAAAGAAACCCCAAAATCTTGAAACACAAAAGTCACTTAATGATGTCAAACTAAGGCAGAAAAGTTAACTATAAGTTTTTAATTTGCTGAATGTTTTGGACAATCTCTGTTTCGTTTGTTAAATTCTTTAAAGTATATTATATGGCACCTGGAAGGAAGGCTGAGTATGTTGTCTTTGCTGCCTTACACTGCATTTGGGTGGCTGGTGGAATAGGGGAAGTACAATCTTCCCTGCAAGTTCCTGAGCCTGTTCAGAGGGAGAGAGAAGGTTCCACATTTTTAGCAGAGAAGGCAGAAGAGTGAACGAAGAAATCTCAGATGGGAACCTACACCACAATAGACATTAGGCAACCAGTAGGTAGAAAATACAAATTAATAAATTATGTTGTGCTGAAAATTAAAAAAGCCCAATCAAAGAAGGTTGATTAAAAGTGTTACGTAGGTCACTAATATTTAAAATAAATTGCTAATTACCTTGCATGTCAGTTAGTAACCAAGTGCGATTGTAGCTACTGATTTTTAAGTATTTTTTAAATAGAAAAAAAGTGTCAACGGTAGTGTCAGTATCCAAAACTGGCATCAGTATCTACTAAAACTATTTTGGGCTTTGACCTAGTGGCACAATGATCAAATTGATTCCTAGCTCTACTGCCAAGGAGAGTTTAGGGTTTTAAAATGTAGTAAGATGTTACAAGGTTAAGTACATGGCTTTTGCTATCTATGATTGAACAGATCAGATTTGCCTAGGGAATAAGCAATAAAGTATCCCTGATCATATATTCTCACTCTGTAGGGGCTTACTACTTAAATCTCAGAACACTTCTTCTTCACTGAATATGCCTTATGTGCTTCCTTGTATGTCAAATTTATTAAATGAGACCTCAGAACTTACAGTCAGGCCAAAGGGTAAATCCCTGGGTAGGACCATAAAACTCAGCTTTTTAGAGTTCCATTCTCATATGGAGCTGGGAATTCACACGTTTTTCACCTCTTCTTCTGATGAGTATTACTAGTCATATAAAGTAAATAACTATTGCAGGTACTTAGCAGCAATACAATACAAAGTATTCTAATACTACCCTAAGCGTGATTGCCTATGTAAGGATTCTAAACACCTGCTATACGATAAAATGAAGTTACTGATACATGCCCAAACACAGAAAGAATATTTGAGTTGTTATATGCATCTCTAAATTCTATATATACACTACAGTATTTCCATATACATTGTATATATACAGAGGTTACTGATTAATCAGTTTCTGATTGTACTTCAAACGTAAAGATGCATTTCTAAAGAAAAATAGGAAATAGTGCCCTCTAAAGGCCTTCTGTATCATTAAGTGACATCGAACTTACGATGGCCGTAAATTTTCTCTATATTTTAAAGCTATTTTAGCTACGTTAAATAGTTTACTCACAAGAATTCTTGGATGTAATAAAGAAAAGTAAAGTAAGAAAAGCAGGTATTTAAAGCAAAAGAAAGGTATTGTACAGCCAAAAATTCCTGTGCAGCAATGAGATTGTGAGGAAAGATATGACCTTGTAAGTAATAGCCCCCACTGCATGCAATGCCCTTAGGAGAGCAGCAAGAACATTATTACTGCCACTTTCTTTTAGAGTCCAGCTCCCTGTTCTGATGGATTACCATAGAGAGATTTGACAGAAGTATGCTACAGACCTACCTCACAGCCACTCACAACTAAAAAACTGCCTAAGCTGTAAAATAGTTTTTTGCGTACATATATATATATATATGTACATGCGCTTGTGTCAGAGAGAGACAGAATACAGGCAAATGAATGCATAAGCAAGCACAGGCATGGAATATTTACCATAAATGCAACCGTTACACCATGATACTCAAATGATTTTGTTTTCTTGCAATTTCATCTCAAACCTATTTACACTGAGGCAGCTGCTAAACATTCAAAATTAATGTTCATGCTTTTAAAGCATATTTGGCTAAAAGTAAGAAGCAAAACTTGATGGTCTGAACAGACAAAGCTTATCCCTAGACCAAAGAGAGGTTTAAGGTCTGATACTACCTAAGCAATTAGGAATGTTCACAGGTATTTGTATCCATATGTGCATACGTTTAAAAAAAAAGAAAAAAAGGAACAAATAAAAAATCCTCACTTCTTCCCCTTCTTCTTAGGAGGAAGATTGTCTAGATTTAGAGAATCTAAAGTTATGTTACTTAAAATACATAGAAAAAACAGAGTATGTGCAGAAATTATCAGAAATTATAATATTTTCCTATCCTTTTGAGAGCACAACAGTTAGGCATTGTTCAACATGTTAAATTAAACCATTCCATATGCTTAGAAGTACTTAAGGACTGTTTTAAATACTGGGGGACCTCCTGAAGCAGTACATATAAAATCACACAGCTGAGTCTACACTTGAAGATGTCTCTGTCCCTCAGACTATACATTTCAGTCCTGAGAGTTACTTTTAGTTATAAGAGTTATCAGTTTTCTGTTAAAAATATCTTAACTCAATGCACTCAATTAGGGCTGATAATGGCTAACTCATTCTTTTAGTTCTATATCTCTGGGCTTTGAGCCACTCTCTCTAAAACTGTAACTACCATGCTATGTAAAAGTAAATGTGAGAAATCACATCTCAAACAACAAAGCTAAACGCAGCACTGCAGATTTTTGAGACATTAATTTGCAATATGGCTCACTTCATATCACTAATGGCTTCCTAATTGCACATTTTTATACCTTCATTAGTTAAGAGAGGTTTCCTATAACAATGGCACCTGTCTGCTGTTACGTAAAACATAATGTACAAATGCTACAGACCTTTCTAAAATAATGGAGAAAGCAAATATATTATCTAATCTCAAATGATAACTATCCACACCTTAATGAAGCAGACTCTTCGGTTTTCTTGACACTCAAAAGATTGATGTCTCTTAATATCTCTATTTCCTAGCAAGAGAGAACTGTTTAATTCAGGTTCCCAAGTGAGCATTATCTCTGTCAAAAGTAAAAGAACTCTTTTTTGGTTTATTGTATTGTAGTCAGTGGAGCTTGATTATCATTATATGTTTAAACCATATACTGACTCTCAGTATTATCATCAGCTCATTATCCTAGCTAGTAATAATTTATGGTTTTAATAATTTATAATCCGACCAAATAAAGAATTTGCATTCTGTCCTGTTTTGTATATTTGAAGTGTATAAATTTTAGAAAGAAACAGACAGCTCTATCTGTCATTCACCATCTTCATTCAGCCAGTTACAGCACCAAATTTACCCTAATCCTACAGTTTTTAGAGATCCTATGAAGAGTTCTAATGAGGGCAACAAGAAGAAAACATAGTAACGAAGGATAGTTTTCAATTTAATTGTTTGTGTGAAGTTTTGTTTAAGACAATGCCACAACTCCTCTTCAGAGCTCAAAGGTCCTTGCAGAGCACTGCACTTCAGGAGCATGCAACACACTCCATAGGTAACACAGACCCAGAATAAAAAGCTTTTAGGGACTGACTGATTATTTTTTTTTCAATTGCCATCTTGTTAATATTGGTTTGTAGTTGTCTTTTCTACTGTCTGTTTAGTTGACTTTTAAGAAAAACTGAGTAAACAAAACGTTTTTCTGTTGCAAAGTGTATATGAATCCATAAACAAATAGATGATGTATAGACGAAAATTTTACACAAGGAATGACAGTGCTTGGGAAAATAATAGGGATCGATTCTACAAGGTTAATGATATATAAATAACTTCTCATTGGCATCATAAGGTAAAAGTCTGCCACATTTTAAGAACTATTTGTCTTTTCCTGTAGCTGAGATTATATAAAAGAATACTGGAAAAGTATTCATTTAGTCCTCCAGTCTTATGCCACCATTCACTAAGTGGTCAAACTGAGTACTGCATAAGTATCAGATTTAAAACAAACAAAAAGTCCTATTCCAAGGCAATACATTACTCATTACAGAGCTCAAATGATGATGATTTACTATTGCCCAACATGAAGAAATTTGATTATCCTTATGGAATGGAGGATGACAAATGACTAAATTCTAAACAAGGGTTCACTGGTATCTGAGATGTATAACAATGAGACAGTTATTCCACATACTGATAACAATATTCTATATGGCTTATATATTAAGATACAGTGAAAAGGTAAGTCAGGGTTGTACATGACATTTAAACTAGGGAACGGTTACAACAATAACTGAACATGTGTAGTCAAGAGGGCAGAAACAGCAAAGCAGAGTGATACGCAAAGGCCTCCTGTGGAAAGCTGCAGTAGCAAGAATTTCTGGTCAACAGGTTTTTGAACAGTACATGGAAACAGCTATATTTAAAGATATGTATAGTCAGAAGTAGAAGGAAATGAAAAGGTAGAATTATGTCTTTTATCAAGTAGCTCTTTAAGTAAAACGTGAAAAAAATGCAAACAAAATCTAAGTTTTTTTCTGACCTGAAATGTTTTGAAACAAGTGACTGTCTGAGTCATTAAAATGAAACCACATCCTCCTCTGACCCCTAAAAAATAATGAACTGGTAGAATAAAGTAAATTAAAACATTAAGAAATTATAATTTTAAATTGTAATAAAGGAATGTTATACTTTTCTAGAAGATTATTTTTTCTTGGATCAACTGAATAGCCATTCTGATGATTGCTTTTGTCTCCATTCTTTCTGTCTCACTGTTTAGAAAATGTGAGGGCCTTGAAAGGAACCAATAAAAAACCCTATTTACTTACCACACCAAAAATTATTCTTCACTTTTTTAAAGAAGGGCATAGTTTTGTATTAAAAACACAGAACTTACCTTTGCACCTAATTCATTATATTGCAACTTCAAAGCTGTAAGCCTTTCATCCAGTTCTTTTGGGTTCTCTGTCTGCTGCTTTTGAACAATCTGCCTCCCGGTTTTTATCACTGTTTCCACTTCAGACTTCACCTCACTCAGGCTTTTATATAATTTCTAACCATATAGAAAGTGAAATGCCATCATTAAGATAAGTAAAACAGAAAAGACCATTAAAGATGCTATAAAGACACACTAGAAGTCTTTCCGCTCTTTGCTGTTTAAAAACACCATCATGCATGACTCACCACCTTCCACTCCCATTTGAAAACTAGAAGTGGTACGTGACCTAAGGGTACAGAAAACTCACCCTGAGTGTGTGTATATTAAAAAAAGTTTATCAGCAAAATTCATCAGTTTCTAAATCAGAATTCAAATTAACAGTCAGACCAGCCTATCTTTACTAATATTGGCTTCAAAGGCTTGTCACCAAAATCAATGATAGGAATGTTATAGATAAGAAAGTACATACCATCACTAATTGTTCTAAGATATGACAAAGGTTGTTTTCAAACCGATTTAGATAATGTAGTATTTAAAACAACAAAAGATGTCTTCTGACAAATTATACAGCTTGTTGGATGTATTTAAACTACAAATAGCTACTAAACTAATTTAAAAAAAAAAAAAAAAAGATAGTTTTATATTACTAAATTAAGAGACTTTTAGGATAGGATTTCCCCTAAATTTACCAAGTGTAATACTGTTCAAAAAATTAAATAATTAAAAAACTGCATGAAAAAGTAATGTAATGGGGTTAAGACAAAATGTATTCCATAATTCACTGCATTTTCTTGCACTATTTCAATAACTACGCAAAAAAAAAAAAGGATAAACAGCTATTCTGTAAGTGACAGCATGCAAGCAATCTGTAAACACAATGCATTTCCCTAATACTTCAAATCAGTGATACTAAGAAAAACATATGTTCTTTCTTTCCATATGCAGAAAGTTGGCATCATCATCTAAATGTATGACTTGGTAACTCAAGCCATTTAACAGCCACATAAATGCCCGATTAACATTCATGTAAGTAGAGCAGAAGTAGAATTTATTTTTCTTTTTTAACTTAAGAATAAATTCTTCCATTGCGTAGAAATTCCACTAAACTCCATAGCGGAAAAAGACTCCACAGAGACACACAAGTGTCCATTACCACACAGGTATGTGAAGAATGGCAAACATGAAGCTGTTGCGAAGCTTTATTGAAATCTTAATTTTCAGCTATTGAGAAAGCTTAATTCTTTGCCTTCATGTGTTGCAAAACAAATTTACTATCCTGTATACTTAGACAGAACTGCAAAATAAATTACACTGTACTTTTTTAATCTGGAATTTTTTGAGCTTTTCTTTTAGTAGTGGTATCTCCTGCAATGTGAAATCTGGAGAGTAAAGACAAGACTTTTTTTTCCAGAAGATCTAACAACAACAACAACAAAGTGCATTTTCTCTATAATCTAAAGTTAATTACCAAGCCAATTCTTAACATGGTTATTATTTTATTTACTTAAAGGTAGTATGTACATAAACCAACAGTTTCCTAGGTGCTTAATATGCTAAATACATACTTAATCAATTAAAACCTGTCAACAAATTAGGAAACTGTCGTATGATGTACATTGGCTAACATCTGATGGGATACTATGACTAGATCTTTTAAATAGAAACATTATGAGATTCTTTGTAGATAAAGGTGCTCTAAAACCACTGTAAGTTTGCCACAGAATATGATAGGGCTGCAAAAGCTAGCTGCTAAGTGAAGAGACCTTAATTCAGTACAGGGCAGGATACTTTAATTCAGTACAGGGCTTCTAATTACCATGTCATTCTGATAAGAATGTGAATTAAAGGGTAATCGCATTTAAGAAAAACCCAAGATGCAAAGAAATAACATTTGACTTGTCCCATGCTTATTTTTTAATTTAAATTCTTACATTCAGATCTGAAAGAGGTTGAGAGGAAAAAAAAAAAAAAACCCCAAACAAAAACCAACACCAAAATCTTCAGGCATGTCATTGCCCCATCAAAAAAAAAAACAACCAACAGCTGAAGACAAGGATCTGATTGTCCTGATTTCTGCTGTTAAATTTTTTTTTTTTTTCATCATGCATATGGTTGCCTTTAATATTAAAGGGGTACAGGATTACAGAGATATTAAAGGGATACATACAGATTTTCCTCATATTCTTTGATATTCAGGTCATCTTTTGCTCTTGAACTGTAAGAAAGTCACAGCATGCTTTCTCATGGAAGCGGTAACCTACGGTTTTCCTTTATGTTTCGTGTTTCCCAGCTAGAATAGACTTGTGCATTGCAGTATCTCTTTTGGTTACATCACAGAGTTCCATGACCATAGCATATTGTGGAAAATAGTGTCAACTCATATACAATAAAGGAATGGGGAATTAGAAAGTTATCCTGGCCTTCTCACGTAGTGAAAGTGCATGACCATTGTTTGAAAGTTCAATGAAATTAGAATGTTTTGGGTTGTTTGTTTTTTTTTGCCCCAATTTTGTGAGTAACTGATACTTTGTTTCTCATCCTGAATTCAGAACAACATTATGTTATTTTTAGCTTTCTCCACATAAATCTGTATTTCCAAAATTTTTCACTAATTTATTTAGCATTCCATGTTTCTGAGAGGTCTTTGCCATGACAGAAGAAAACAACATACAGAAAGGAAAAAACTACTATAAGACTGTTAGAAGTATTTCACCGTGTTATTATACCCTGGGAAGCTTTGAAATTGAATACATTTTCAAGTGTACAATGTCCTTTTAACCTCATATGCAAACAAGAGAAGTAGAAAAAGGAGGATCAACCCCTTCTCTCTATCCTCTCCTCAGAAAAAAATAAATTGAACTTTAACTAAAAAGATTCCTATAACTTTCATTGTGTAACTTAAACCTTTCTCAGAATCTTTTCTAATATCTTCCAAAGAAATACTGACATTGTCATTGAAAATACTTTAAATCTGAAAGGTGGAAAAGGCAGGAAACAATCAGAGAGACAGCATCTTTAAATATTCACCATGCAATGATCCAACTGTGATTGTACTACTTCCTGCTCAACACTCTTCATCTCCATCTTGGGCACCTGCAATTTCACTTCGTCTAAGATTCTTTTACATTCTTGTAGGCGCTGTTCAAAGTTGGCTGGCTTCTGAAACAATCGAAACTTCATGGAGACATCCTGCAGCTTTTTCTGAAAAGTAAGCATGAGTGAGTAGTAAATGTGAAATCAAATCAACACTGAAGACAAGTCTTACACCTGGTTCAGAACCCTTAGAATCCATTATTAATCAGCATTTTCCTATTTAAAGAATTTAAAATACCAGCAGCAAAGAATCTTGGTCTTCATAGGAGGAAAAAGTTCTTGTATCATTCAGGGCACTGGATGAGGCAGAGCCAGTGACAAAGGAGCCCATATACTCAACTGAAGAAAGGGACAGTTTTGCATTTTCCAATATGCAAAATGTTGGGGGGTGAGGTGAGAACTGAGCTTTAATGGCTTGAGCATAACACATCCACATTCCACAGTGGACGCTCATCAACTCTACCATGTTGCTGTTTCTTGGTATGAGGAGTGAGTCTTTTAGTCCCCCAAAGAAACCCAAATAAAGTGACTGGGCAGTAAGTAGGTCTAGATTTAGAGTATAAAACCTGAAATTTAGACTACAAAATTGATTTATATTTGAAGTTTAAAAAGCATAACCTAGAGTAAAAAGAAAGTAATTTGAAGGCAGAAAAATATATGACAAGCATGGTTTCTAATTTCACAATTTTCATAATATGTTATCTTTGTGCATATAATTATACTGCTGGCTCACATGATCCCTACCTCAAGGGGAGCGGAAATAATTAAAAATAAAGCAAAGAAAGGGCATTTTAATTATCTACTTGAATAAAAACTAATTTCTCTGTAGAAGTACAGAGCAAAGTACTAGTAGAATAAGTTTTTCTAGTGTTTGAAAAAAAAAGAAAGAATGCCATTAAGAAATGGATAAGTAATTAAATAGGAACTCAGCATCTGCAAACACACTCTTGGTTTTTTTATCTTCACATTCTGGACACTTTATACAAATACAGTGTTATCTGTACTATACAAACTTGAGAAAAACTGTAATAAGGAATAGAATTAGCCTATACATAGGCATTAGTAAAAATGCTTCCCACATCTATCAGGTTTCTGTGAAGGAGGCAGGAATTATAAGCAGAAGACAATTTTGGGTAACACAGAAAACTGTAGATTTCCAGTAGCTCCTTCCTCATTAAATACTCTTAATGAAATCGAGCCCCAATGGGGTAAGAAAGTAAGTCTTTCCCTAGATAAATAAGCGAACAATTGAATAAAAATAGGAAACAAAAGGTAGGAATAAGTGGTCTTATTTTTCTTCAGTGTGTTTGCATATACTAACTTCATACTTAATTAGTTTTCCATTCTCCTGTGACATTTCAACTTGATGAAGATCAAGTCCTGTGGGTAGGTTGCAATGCCACATCAGTATCTGTTACAATTTGTGTTGGTCAATACATTAAAAATGATCTAGAAAAGAGAGAGAATTACATTATTAATGGCAGAGAAAATTAAAGCTATCTGTAAGAGTACTGAAGGATCACACAGTACTAAGAATCTGTAGGAAAAAAAAAAGCAAATGATCTTTAATACATCAAAAAAATTAAGTAATGCACATCACAAAAGAAACCATATACAAAAAGTGGGATCTAAATTATCTATTAGCACTCTTCCTTGAGTTGTAATAGATGACCATAGCAGTTATATTATATACTTAAATTTATCTCTAACAGTTTTAAAAAGTATCAGCTCAATTCTTAAAAGCATCCAAACAAGCAAAGTGGGTATTTGGAGTGACTGGGAACATAAAGAAAAAAAAAGAAAGTACCTGTCACAGTATAAAAGTCATTGTATAATGCTATGCTGCGCCTGATTAATGTGTGCAGTTTTGATCACCTCATTTCAAAAACCTTATTGTAAAACAAGAAAATGTATGAAGAAATGACAGGGCAAACAAAGCTATAGATCTAAAGGTCTCAGTATGATTTAACATACTAGTCAGTCTGGAAAAGAGACAACTAAGGAGGATTAAAATTAGTGGTAGGCAAAAAGCTGACTAGCAAATGATAGTTAACTCTCAAAACTCATGAAGAAGCTGACACCAAGTTAAACTCTTACATAGGGAAACCAAAATGAACAAAATGAGGACAACTTCACATAGCATTCAGTTAAATTGTGTAACTAGCTATTAAATGAAGTTGAGAAGTCCAGAAATTTACAGGATTTCAGAAAGTGAGCTTTTAAATATCTCTCACCCGGAAGTTGCTTAGCTCCAAATCACTGGGAAGTATCCCTAAATATTCACCTTACTGTACTTTGTCACTGTTTTCTGGCTATTACTAAAGATACAGATTTGGGCTAAACAGATCTTTGGTGAGAAGTAACATTAGAATTCTTAAATACTTAAAATGTGTAGTCAGCTGAATTTACTTCACATCAACAGTTGAATGACTGGCAATACTCAAACTTCATGGTCAGTAGGCAAACCTGTCTGGCCGGGGTAAAGAGCACAGCAACAACTGATGGGAGAAAAGGGACGCACACAACTAAGTCAGTGTCCTTCATTTTTGAATCAAGGAAAATGTCTTATTTAGAAGCAAAGTATTTGTAGTTAGTCAAAAGCAAAACTATAGGTAATTAAATATTTTTAGAGATTTAACATTATTTTTTATTTTATTCTATTAAATAATGTCAAAATATCACTAGGAATTCGTAATGCAGTAAGGGAAGGGAGTCAACTGAGTATCCTTTTGCTCTGACAAGTGTGTCTACCTTAAAAGACACAAGAAAGTAATAAACAAGAATGTCATTTGTCTGCTGTATAACTTCTTCCCCCAAAGAATTTACTATTGAATTTCCAAAAATGATCCTTCCTCAGAAAAGATTTCACTTTCATGTAACAATTCTTTGCCTAGTAGGACTAACTAGGTCTTAAATCACTATTGCAGAAACAGATTTTTATTTTGCTACCATCCTTTTTCCCTTAAATTTAAAAATCAGAACCTTCAACCTACCGTAATCCAAAAGGTCAGGACAAATTTTGTCACTTAACAGTTGTTTCACAATCTCATGTCAATTAATTATTTTCATAATTGTTTACTTTTTGTCTAGGTAACTGAACTAATATTAGAATAAATATATGTCAAATTAGAAATATTACTTAACGCAAAAAAAGAGAAATGGACACGGTATTTATTTGTAAGAGAATGCTCTTCAGGTAAATAGCAAGCAAAGACAAATCTTGTGAAATGTTATTTATCACTAGAGGTACGGCACAATGACGGAAGGGAATTCAAAAGACTTCATCGGCCTAAAATCAATTACAGTCATACATATTTGGAACAAAGGGTCTAGATTTTATCCCTTTTGGCAGTTGATATTTACATTATGCATGTAAATTTGCTATTTTTTGTTCATATTTTATCTAATGCAAGCAAAATAGATTCTCAAAGTTACCCCACCAATTTATCAGAACTCAAACTGATGCATATGGTCATCTAGAGAAGCCTTTTGAAGAAAAAAATGACTGCGCAAAGATGGGTTAAGGGAAAAAAAAAACAACAAACACCTAGAAAGGGTAGTGCTGTCTCGCATGCTGTTGAATTTATAAACATTTAGATACAAAGTCATCTGATGCCTGCATTTCAGTGATGAAATACAGGCAACATCACAGCGGCCGTGGAGATCATCAGAAAGTGAATTAGTGTGAAGGAAGACTGAAAAATAAGGAAACATAAATATTCTCAAGAAAGAAAAGCTAGTCCTGTAGATAAAAGGAAACATTTAAAAATAATTCAACTTGATAATTTCAAATTAATTAACTGTTAAAAAACTATTAAATTTATCCATGTTAAAATATAAAACCAAAGCTAAGATACCTTGAAATATTTGACAGAGATGAAGAAAAAGTTGGCCTTGTTTACTGTTAATACCATAACTAAATTCTTTGCCTTTCCTAATGAATTATGACAATTTCTTTTGTAGCCTGGGAAACTTTGGCACTAATGCCAAAAATAAAAGCAGAAAACCAGTCAAGAACATATCACAGATTAATGGGTAAAAATGTGTATTGTTCCTAAGTGTTAATCAAGTCGTCTTCAATTTCAAACAGGTCTCTCTCTGTCTATTAAGCTAGATGAAATAATGCATTAGCTTATTTCATTAAAATAATTTTTTAATGAAAGTTTCATTTTAAATTTATGACTACAGTGTACTGCTCAGCATAGATTTCTTTCAAATGCAGTTCTACCAAATATTTCCAAATATTTTTGCACGCTTTTAACTGTAAATATTTTCAAATACCTCAAAAGGTACACCAAAAAGCCTCACTGTATTGTTATTTCTTGCAACTCCATCAAAGTCAAAACAGCCCTTATATAGTGTCCCTACCAGTGGTTACGTCAGCTCTGCGTACCCTAGAACGGTCGCCAATTAGACAGGAAGGCTGCAACAGAAAAATGAGCAGTAAGAAGATATGGATGGTATGCTTTATCCACTCTAATTTCCTGGCTAGAAAGGAGCAACTAAAACATAAGAGATACCTTAAGAACACTTCATACTATAATAATAGTACTACTAATGCTGTTAGTTCACACGAGTGAAGTAAAAATGGAGGAAATAAAATTTGCATACCTGTGCCACATCAATTTGGGAAAGCACTCTTTTGGCAGCATCTTTACCCCGGTTTCGTTTCTTCATTTCTTCCAAACTAATCTCATGGCTTGTTAACTCAGATTGTATTTTCTATTGAAAAACAAAAATGGTAATCAGCAGGGTTTGAAGAAAATGTTTATGTTGTTAATATTATTGGAACAGTCGATTTTGAAAGATATTAAACAGAAGTACTACACGATATACTGGATCATTAGAGGAAATCATTCAAAGAATTACTTGTTCATCAGGCTGTAAATTATTCAGTTTAGTTTCTCTCAATCATAATAAAACCTTCTTCTCCTGCTCAAACATATATAACTCTGACATTGTAACACTAATGACATAATCTTGCTAAGGAAACTGTGACTAAATCATAGGCAAAAAAAAATAGAGGATTCTTTCTTTTGAAGGAAAGCAGCTATTTACATCGGGAAGAAAATTTAAAATGAATCATAGAAAAGAAAAATACAAATAGAAAAGTTATTTGCTTCACTATTCTTATTTCTTATTATTTTCACAGTATCATTGGACAAGTTCAGAGAAAACTGATCAAAGTATCCTGTATGTATAACACCATCTCACAGAGTGGTGTTGTAACTAAAACAGTATTCAATTTGTGGCAATATTACTGACCAGAAACTATGTTCGGAATCTGTAGATATGCTAAATGCATAATGTCATTTAGCACATTAATACACTAACTTAATCCATTTTCTAACACAAGTTTCTGGCTATCTCTTTTGGCAAAAAACAGTGTGCAATCAAATCATCACAAGAGAAATATTGGCCTTGTTGGTTCACCATAAATCAACCTTACAAGAAATAATTAACTTAAGCAGTGTTAGCTAGAGTAAAGTAATGGAAAAGAATTCCCATAAAGTATATTGATACAATATAATTTAGAGTGATTCACATATTTTTATGTTTAAATTGTTAGAAAATGAGAAACTGTTATTAGCACAATTGCTAGACAAGTACTACTGAGAGAAATTACCCTATGAAATAAAGACAAAGAAAGGCATTTGAGGCCATTATTCCTGCATGAAAAAGTTATTTTAGATTCAATCTTTTTTCATTCTACGGTATACAAGCACTTCTCAGATACTCTAAAGACTAGTTATAAGCTTAAATATATGCACATGCATTTATCTTACACTACAGTAACTTGTAAAATATGAAAACTGTGTAGTTCAAAAGACTACAGAGAATTATGCAAATGAAGAGGGTTTTTCAAATTACAATTTGAGCCTTTAAAATTTGATTAAAAGTAAAAATGAATATACAGGTATCATTTTTTCATAGGTTATTAAGTACGAAGCTGTTTACATTGTATGCTGTTCCCTTTACAGGGATATTACACGGTTACAATGACGTGTATGACATTATAATGTCTTCTGTATTACAAGACTACATCAAAAGCAATTTTTCAAAAGTTATATTGAAAATGTATTAAAGTAAATTTTAAGATAAAAAGACCTATGAAAATACAGAAAACTATTCAGTCATTACTAAATTTATTTGCAAAAATATATTTACTATATTTACAAGTCTAAACTATCCAGTACTATTTAGAGAAATAAAATATTTTTCTGAGGCAAAGCATTTGTAAAAGCAAAATGACTGACAGAAAGCTGTCAATTTTTCATTTAAAATGATAATAATTGTACATTTACTAGTTTTCATATTTTGAGTTCTCCTTATCAAGGCTATTCACTGAATGGCCAGCAGTATTTGGAGCAAGTAATAGAATTTTTCTACATGTCATATTTTAGTTTTGAGAAAACAAACACAGTCTATTAAAAAGATGATGCAATCAGGGAAAGAAGGTTTATTTAAAAGTTTATTTTGGAGTATTTATTTTCTCCTTGTCTAAGTCTAAAATTTTTCCCTTTAAGTGTACTAGAACTGTAACAGGATAATCTTCTGTGTTTGTGCAGCACACAGACTAAAACGTCGGTGCTGACTTAGCATTAGTTAGCTCCTGAAGCCAAACAGTATCTTGATGTCTTGGATCAGAACTGTGTATATAAGGAAGAAGCAAGTCTGAATGTTAGGCAAATATACTATATCACATCCAATATTTCAACTGTTTCCTTCTGCACCTCATCAATTAACCGATTTTTGGTTGTATTTTCCAGCTTACTTTGTTGAATCTCAGAGTCACTCTGGAAAGCATATAATTGAACAGTTCTTATCTGAATAGGTCAGAACAGCACAGCACAGATAAGAGTAATGTTTAAGCAATTAGGTATTATGGGACGTTGTATGGAGATTGTTCTATCTTGCTTTTCTAAATTGCTCTGCAGGAGAGAGATGAAGCATCGCCTACTCTGACACAGAAGTGCAGAATTAGAGAGAACACACACATTAGAGGAAAGCTTAAAAAAAAAAGGAAAGTAAGGATTATGCAAGAAAAGACTTTTTTGTATTTGCCACTGCTGCTTACAAGCAGAAAGATTAAACCAGTCCTGAGCAGATACCAGAGAATTTATAACACCTGCCTATGATGCCTCTTTTAATTCAATTTTGACATGACCATTTTGACTTTTTTGTCTGTTTTGACTCATGAACTAACCACATTGACTTCTAAACATCCACAAGAAAACACTCATTTTCTTTTTCAATCTATATTACTCCTACCTTTGCTTTTCTCAGTGATTCCTGACGATTTTGTCTTTTAATATAGAGTAAAAACTGCCTTCATTTAATTTCTAGAACATCACAATATGATGTAGTGTATGTAACTAATAAATACTTCTGTGCATGAATTACAGTGTCCTACATGCCAAGGATTCTCATTTGTCATCACTGGCATTTTTTCAGAAAGTTTATTAATTTGCAAAACTTAATTACTAGTCTTAATTTTAAAAAGATGAACAGTGAAATGCAGAAAGCCTTGCTACATATGCAAAAAGCAGAGAATTGACAGTGTAGCAGCTTCTTGGAAAAAACCTGAATCAGAGAAAGGAAAGCAAAAAGAACCAACATGACGCCTTGTTTCATCTGGAAATTGTCACAAACCTAACTGCAATCTCATGCTTCGAGAACAGCATTTAGAAAAAAGGTAACTGGGTATAAAAACAAACTCTGTAACATTATTTGCAACAGAAAACTGAACTAGAAGGCTTGATTATATGTCACTTCCCATCAATACCTGCTACCATCATTAGAAAATCAGTCATCATGTTTACCAAAAAAAAAAAAAAAAAAAAAAAAAAAGAAATGCCAGTCAGCAATTTTCAGCAAAATGGAGAGTATTTTTGGGGAAAAAAAAAAAAAAAAATCAAACCAAAACCCCCATCCTTGTGTATTTAATTAAAAGGAAGTGATTTATTTATAATCAAAGGATAAAAATATAACCCCATAATATATATAGAACAAATACTGTGGAATAATGTCTGAAAAGACAAGATCAGACGGAGTGCACATCTAATATGCAAACACATATTTTAGTATGAGTAACACTGAAAGGACTAAGCTACAAAAACAGCTGGCAGTTGCAGTTGATATACTAACAGGAAGTTGAAAAAAGTCTGAAAGACATTCTGGAAAGTATACTGGTGAAACTGCTTTATCATGGCAGGTCAGTGATACCATCTTCCACCCCAGAACTGGGAGAAACTTCTTGTCTCTTTTGACTGTTCCTTAAGAAGGTAGAAGATTCTGTTGATTGAGTTATTTCATGAATGGGGCAAAGTCACAAGAGATGCATATTATAGTGCACATTATGCTCCAAGACATCTTAATTTCATGTTGCCAGACTTCATTGTAATTTTATTGTGTTAGTTGTCAGAAATTCATAACACAGAGAGGACTTACTTTGCAGTCAATATTGACTATACTACCAAGATCAACAAATAGGTAAGTTCTCAAAAGCTGGATAAATCCAGAAGAGGAGAGATACAAGTGATACTTGTATTAACACATTCCAAGATGGGACAGGGAACCCTGAGGTCACCTGAACTTTGAACGGGTGACAAATAGGTGAAAGATTTCCTGTGGGCAATGAGAGTGTCGAATTTACTTTTCTTGAGATTTCTCTTTCTCTTTAAAGACTATTGCAGAAAAATGATTCACTGAATTCCTGTTTACTAATTAAAAACCTTATTTATGAAACCTGTTCCTGTACAAAAAGGTTATTTTCATTCTGTGACAAAAAAAAAAAAAAAGGCCAAATCCTTAAGGAAAACCATGTCCTATTTTCTCCATGGGAAGCTTAATGAAAGACATCCAAAGGCTTTCCATTTTAAAGCAAAGATCTATGGAACACTAGATGATACACTAGAGACAGGTAGTCTTAAAGACTTAAAGTCCTTAAAGAGAGGACACTCTTGGGTTATACATAGTAAACAGAAAGGCCTTTTTATACCTGTCCCTGACCTTGCACGGTTGGTCCTTTCCTCACAGACTTCTTTGCTGCCTAGCAACTTCCAGCAGCATGCTGAGCTACAGGCAGAATCTATGGTAGGCAGACCTCAATAAGCCCTGAGGACTGGCTGTGGCACTGTCCTCTGCTCTCACAGGTGCTCCTGCAGTGAGAGGTTGCATGCCCCAGCCCAGGTATGATGTCCTTTTCTGTCCCACTGGGCTCTCAGAAGCTGCTCCCACCTGAGCATATTTATTTGCTCTCAGATAGAAGGTTTTCCCCCTAGTTTGGAGGAGACCAGAAAATAAATACACTGCTCCCTTCCCAGAACATGCTATGCAAAACACATTATTCAAAATAAACTAAGCAGTTATACTATTCCCTACTACATTCATGTTCATTTCTCCATATTCCACATCTTCCAACAAAATACATCAGGCAATACCAGCACTGGGCAATTGAACACTGTTTAATTCTCAAGAACTGAAAATTACATAGCCAGAGTAGTAAATCTTTCAGCTGTGAGTGCTGGATCTGAAGATAAGGGCAATTACAATTCCTTAAGTTTCCTCCACTGTTTGTTCTATGAAAACAAGGTCTAAATTTAGCCTAGAACATCATTTTTCTAACACGGATTTCATTAAGAACCACTCCATAAAAAGGCCATAGTGGTACAAAAAGATGATCATGAGAATATGACAGGATTCAGACAAAACAGTGAACTTCTAATTGTTCTCTACTTTTTTATAAACAGCACCCTGGCCTGTATCAGAAATAGTGTGGCCAACAGCAGTAGGGAAGTGATTGTGACCCTGAACTCAGCACTGGTGAGGCTGCACCTCGAATACTGTGTGCAGTTTTGGGCCCCTCACTGCAAGAAAGACACTGAGGTGCTGCAGCATGTCCAGAGAAGGGCAACAAAGCTGGTGAAGGGTCTGGAGAACAGGTCTTATGAGGCGCGGCTGAGGGAACTGGGGTTGTTTAGCCTGGAGAAGAGGAGGCTGAGGGGAGAACTTATCGCTCTCTAGAACTACCTGAAAGGAGGTTGTAGCGAGGTGGGGGTTGGTCTCTTCTCCCAAGTAACAAGTGACAGGATGGAAGGAAACGGCCTCAAGTTGCACCAGGGGAAGTTTACATTGGACATTAGGAAAAATTTCTTTACTGAAAGAGTGGTCAAGCATTGGAACAGGTTGCTCTGGGAAGTGGTGGAGTCACCGTACCTGGAGGTGTTCAAAAAACATGTTGATGTGGCACTTTGGGACATGGTTTAGTGGGCATAGTGGTGTTGGGATGATGGTTGGACACAACGATCTTAGAGGTCTTTTCCAACCTTAAGGATTCCATGATTCTCTGATTCTATGAATTTATTATGAACTCAAATTATACTAGATTACTTTTGTAATTAATGATTCCTTCACATAACTCTTACACCAAAATTACCTGGATGTGAATTTGCAGATTTGACTTTCTTAAACTGCACAGAAAAGCTTGACAGCTCTTCTTGGCGTATTAGGTTTTCTGATTCGTAGCTCTCTAAATACTACTTAGCTAGCCTAACAGCTCTCAAGAATGGTACTCAGATTAACCTAATTTTTTTTTTGCTTATGTTTGCGATTGTTATCAATGCTTCAGGAGTCAAATTTCAGTTTAATATATGGAGAAAATTAAACATTTTGAGCTTATGCTGGTAAGTTAATCTTTATAAATGGAAAGATCATGATTCTAGCAGACATAAAAAACATGTCTGAAAATTTCGGAACTGTTACTGGTTGCCCTTGAAAACTGTGAAAGGATAAACAAAGTACCAGAAGATCAGAAAAATAAAGTTGAAGCACCTGTACTTAAAAACAGAAAAAGACTATGTGCTGCTGATGTCACACCTTTGCAAAAAAAAAAAAAAAAAAAAAAAAAAAAAAAAAGAAGAAAAGCAAATAAGACATATAGTAGATGATGTTATAGCAGGACTGACATACAGGTAATTCTCACCAAGAACAGCATACTTAGTTTTGGACACTATTCTTCAAGAAAGATTAATTGAAGAGTCCGAATGAGAAGAGCAAAACATCAGAGAATAGAAACATGATTGGCAAGGCAAGACTGAATAAGTTGGACATGACAAATGTAGTTTGTGCAGTTAAAACACAGTTAATGCAGTGTTCAGATGCTATGGAGATGTGTGGAGTGTATGAACCTGTATAGTACAGAAATTTGCTTAAATATTCAAATTCAATACAAAACAAAATGTAAGCTAATACTCTGAATACAGCTTATCAGCTGTTCCCTCTTTGGCCACTGATCTTACACATGGTTGAACAAAATAATTCTCACAATTTCCAGCAGAAAAGTAAGTGTAAATACCTTTAACATTAGACACTTTACTAAGTGGACAACTGTGAATTCTTTCTCCCAAAATCTTAGTCTGAAGTCAATGAAGCATGGCATTATCCTTGTCAAGTAACACACTGCACAACTGAGCAACTCTGCCATTACATCATCACATTAACTTTCGTTTTGAACATAGCACAACGATATTTTGAAAACAGATTAATAACCATCTTCACTTAGAAAATTGTCAGGCATGTAGTGCTTATCACTAGAGAACTGAAATTATTCAAGGAGTTTATTGAACAGGCAAAGTATTTCTTTTGTTTTTACGTAAGTCTGCAGCGAGAACAACAGACAAGTGATTTGTCACACGCAGGTGAGGAGTGAAATAAGTTTAGTTTTTGTCTTATAATATAAAAACTCCCATGTAACCGCTCAGAATAAACAGAAGAACAAAGTGGAGACTGTCTCTCCCATCAGAAGTTATTAAATAACAAAGCTACAAATAATGATCTGAAAAATATTTTATCATATAAATGTAATGTTTTCAGTACCGATTTGCTTTCTCCCTGTCGGTTAAAGAGTACTTGAAAAAAGTAGCTGGCAAATTCTTGTGATGATGACTTCATTCCCTGTATTTTCTTGGTAAATGTAGAGAAATTAAAGAAACTTCAGTTGGGATCATGAGATCAAGCATACAAACAAACAAACTTCCCTTCTGCAATATTGTTTTAGACTTTACCAGCTTTTTTCATCATTACACCTTGAGGAATTTGAACTGATTTATCTCTGTGGTTGCTGCTAGATTGTTTTGTCTTAATACAGCATCTTTAGTTGTACTCAAAATGAGTTGGGTGGCAGTGGCTCTCTAGCATTAAATTCTCAGTGCCACATGGTGGAGTAAGAAGCACACAGAATTTACATTCAAAAAATGATCCAAAGGAGTTGAACAGCACATACTTTCTTTCTGACAGCTTTCAGAATAAACTAAACTGATCATTTCAGTTAAAAAGAGAAATGTATTTTTTTCTCAGATTCATTTCCAATCAGCTCAACCAGTTTATTCCTCCTACCAATGCTCTAAACAGATTTGAATTTTTGAAGTAAACATGCAGATCTCCTAATCCCTCAACTGCTTTCTGATTATAAATTCTCCCATATGTTCTTCTAGAAATGCAACACATATTGCTGAACAGTTTGCTAAATCCCTCAGCACAGATAAACCGACCGCTGCTCAGAAATTAACATCATTAACTGAAAGATTCCCATTCCAGCTGTGCAGACACTATTGTAGGATATCTTATATGAATGAACTGTTTTCAGCTCGTCAAAAGAGCTGTGTCAGCACAAGCTCCGCAGAAGATGTGGCCGTTCAGTATGTGCCTATTCTGCCACCAGTTGGCATGGCCGTTCACTGAAGGAATGACTCAGTGTATTTACCTGCGTAAAATTGATGTTTATTCCCTTCCCCTCTAAGGATTTTAAAGAACTTCATGACTGAACTTCAGAGAACTTCAATATTTGCATTAAACCAGTTCAGTTGCTAATTAAGTTTTTTTCATTAGGTCCCTCTGGCATCTTAAAATAAAAACATTAAAGGGAAAGATTCAGCAGACTCTATGCTGATTTTCCCACAGTGGATATAGTATAATCGGTGAACTTAACATCAGACAATAAAATCTCAAGAACAGAAACAAGTTCCGCAAAAGCACTGAGCTGAAATTTTCTCATGAAAGTGCACTAATTAAGGTTGGTTGAGTCTTGAGCTGCTTCAGTTATCGAAGTTCTCAATTTCTTCCTGTTACACAGTCTGTAATCATCACCAGTGTTTACATGAAGACGCACATAAACCAAATGCAAACATGGGATATATATGAAGCAGCACTGAAAATTACTAGAATGTAAGGGTCCAAATACACCAGAAAAAAAGTACACTTTCATATCAAATTTTTCTTATGTATTGGAGTTACATAATTATGAGATGAGAAATTAAACTGATACTTCTTTAACAAATGTTGATTTCTAACCTATTTAATAAAAAATGTTTACATTATTCATATTTCAAGGAAGAAAAAAAAAACTATTCAAGAGAGTCAACTGATATCTAACATAGCTTACGATTCAAACTAAAAACAATGAATCTGAATCTGATCCTATTTTTATACTGATGTAAGTTAGAAGCAAATAAATTAGACTCAGTTTCAAAATAAGAATGAATGCAAATATGATCCCATTTTCTAAATATAACTGGTTTAATTCATATATACACACATAAAAATATCTGCATGTACCTACAAGCACACACATACACACACGAAAAGCAACTGAAATGTACATCTATCTATGTTTTAATTCAAAAGGCATGGAAATCTTTATTTTTAAAGGAGAGAAAACATGATTTTCAGGGCTACTTACATGTAGCTTTGAATATATTTAAGAAAATCTAAGCTACTCCATACAAGACACTAATTTTTTAGAATGATTTAAACTCCACAGGCATGCCAGAAAAAACACAATTGAATGCCTCTTCTAAAACCATTATAAAGCATTTGTTTTCAATTTCTCTGGATCTATTTTTTTTTTTTTAAATTTTGTTATCTGACTTCCTAAATCTAGGTGGAATTTACATAAAAGTTGCTGCACATAATAATGTAAAATATTAATAATTTTATACCAGACATGTTTGGTTTTATTTGATTTGTATTCTTACCATTTTAATGCAGCAGTAAAGCAGAAGTTATGAAGAAAGAATGAAAGAGTAAAAATGAGAATTAGGTGTACATTTTTATTTCAAAGGCTCCATAAACCATTTCTAAAGAATGGGAAAAACTGTTTCTGTAAAACTTACATGAGCTGTAAAAATTGAAATATAAATACATTTACGTGCACATCATGAAATAACTAACAATGTTGTCTATGTTTCAGTAGTTTAGTAACAATCCCTAGGCCACATAATCAACTTTGTAAAAGAGCCATCTAAGAGTAGTGCAGATGGTGTATTTCTTCTTTCTAGGATGGGAGTTAGAATCTAAAGAGTCACATTGTTTATCTTTGTCATTTTAAAACTACTGCAGAGTCTACCATGACATTTATAGTTCTTTACAACTTCTGGACAGGTATATAAAATAAATCAGAAGTATAATATGGCTTTACTAGAAGATTAGCTTGAACTTCTCAAAGTAATCCTGCCTAAAATTTACTTGCACTTGATCAAGTTGCAAATCCCTGTTATTAATATGAGACTGAGGGACAACCAAACACTCTTGTTGAATGAAAAAGCCAGTAAGCACATCAGGTAAACCTGTATATAACTTACCTGTGCTTCCTGAGGGACCTGTGCTGCATCAACTCTGTCTGCAATGTAGGCTGTCAGCTGTTTCTCAATAACAGCAAGAGACTCTTGGATTAAGCGGAGGGTTTTGTCAGTCTCCTGGGCAGATTGAATACTCTGTTCAAGACTCTTTTGTCTTCTCACGGCCTAAAAACAATGACAATGTTATCAATATTCACAGTAATAATGCATATAATACATTTTTTCCAACTATTTTTTTTTCCAAAAAATGCAGGTTGAGAATCAAAAATAGTACTCCTAACTTGTGCTCATCCACCTTTTTGTATGATAAGTTGCGCATCTTTCTGCCACCCATTCAGTTCTTTTTTAGTAAGAAACAAACAAACAAAACCCCAGATTGCATAGACAAGTTCTAAAACTGTGCAACCCTGAAAAACCAATGCATGCATTGAGGATTTCTATACAGAGTGAAAGTTGGCAAAGCTGCATAAGAAAACCATCCTGATCGTGCAGTCTTTCATTCTGAGGCACAGCGGTCCTCCTGATCTTATTATATAATTCAAGAGATTTTGTTTACTGAGAATAGGGTTACTGTCAACACAATCCCATCTGAGACAATCCACTTCAGTGAGAAGGATAAAGACTCTCTTGAGGAGGAGATCTCTTACATGAAGTACAAATAGCTGTCTGGAACAGAGGCAAAGTCTACTCTGGGGAAAAAAAAAAAGAGATGGATCCTTGTCTGTGGATTTGCCCAATCTATTATCACTCTAACCGTAGTCTCTTTTATAGCCTAGGAAGTTGACTCTTGCTTCTACTCCGCTACTAGTACCACAGTGGATTGCCTACTATCACCTTTTATACAATCCTTTTATTTGAGAAGGATGCTTTCTTTTCAAAAGAACTCACTTTATGGTTTACCAAATCAGAACAACAAATTCTTCTTCTAAGTTGCCTTTAAAAGACACATACATTTAAACACTTGACATAAATGGGTTAGCTTTAACTTTTATTTGTAACAGATCAGTATGTTTCTTCCATCTGTCGTGTCCACCTGCAGACTCATGTTTTACTTAGACTACAGCTTCTGCCTAACAGAGTTTCTGCTTTATACAAAGCACATAATAATTACCAACAATCTTAAATGCAATAGCTTTTCTCTGTACAAGCCCAGCCATACTTCTGACCACAGAATAAGTGACTACCTTTCTTTGACATGAATCAAAGGGGGAAGGAGAAAGCAAGCAGTCTTTAAATAACATTGCTAGGTGTCCTGCCATTTTTCAAGTCAAATCACACTTTTTCTCTTTGGTGAGCCAGCTATACTTTAACTTGATTTCAGTCCTATTACAAAATTCTCTCCTTGAACAAAAATATCTGTCAGCAATTCAGTGAGAACATTTGATATATCTTTACCTTCTTCACATAGCTTGGACTGTTATAGAGGTTCACATTTAAAAAATGAAAAAGATTATTTCTTGTGAGGATTCTTGTTAGTTGTTTGACTTAGTTAAAGTATAGGGATCCAACCAGTATTTGCTATATTTGTGTTTGTAAGCTGCTTTGTGCTATTTCAAAACAGCTGATCAGATAATCTTGTATGACTGTGAGTTCCAGAAACCTTCTGTGGAACTGAGCAGCTTTATGTATCAAGCCCACACTGTCAGTGTTAATGGAAGCTCCTGAGCCACTAAGGTATTATTACCTACCAAATGAACCATTAAAACGGTGTAACTTCACAGTACAGTACAAAGGCTTGCTACTTAAGTGACTTTTACCTTCATCTGATTTGAGATTTTACGTTACAATGCTCTCAGCCTGTTCAAAGCAACGGGGTTAAAACCCACAGCTTCCACTGACCTTGGCATTCTTACTACTAGTTTGTAAGCCTGGCTAAGATACAGTCGCTCTCTATCTTTTCATTTGAAAGACACATTAGATGAGAAACAGGATAAGTAGCTTTCTGCAGCCCACAGGGTAAGGGCATCCTCCTGAAGCATGGAAGGAAATCTCTCTGCCTTTACCAATCTCTGGTTAACTAGTAGGACTAATCTACATGCATATTCCATTCATACTGAGGGCTGCAGTGTTCTGATAATTTAAAATAAGACACTGAAAAAGTTCCATTCTTAATAGCCATTAAAATAAGTGCCTGCACTTTCTGGAGAGTTCAATATACTGGACACAAATTTGGTCCTAAGTCCTTCTGAAAAACTACTTTCATAGCAATACTTGAAGCTTTGAACCTTTGTTAAATGCTGACTCATGCTAACTACTATTTGCAGCTAGGCGCTTGCTTAAGTATAGATAAATTTGTTGTCAGCCTTAGGAGCAGCTCGAGCGCATACAATGAAGCAGTTATCACTGCATGGAAAGTCACAGAAGTCTTAAAATTGTATCACAAACATGTAGTGATTGAAAAATTGTTTTTGTGCTGATATTTGTAGAAATTATGTGTATCAAAATCCTGGTTTAGAGTATAACTGAAAAAATTAAAACATTCTCAAACTCATTGATCAAATATTAAAGCAGATAAAGTTAAGAAAGAATTATAACAAATCCTTGCCTGAGTCTGACTGAATCTTTACGCCTGGATTTCAAACAAATATGAAGTCAGATAAATATATATGCGTGCTTGTCGTATCTTTATGTGCACACAAAGTAAGTACGTACACACACATGCACAAAGACAAAACATTCCCCCTTCATTGCCCTCAGCAGGAGTTTGACTATGGTCTGAGAACCTGAGTGACATCTTGCATCTTCCAAGTGAACAAAAGCACATCTTTTCCAAAAAACGTGAACAGTTTAGATGAATGAATGGATGATATCAGACCAAGATGTGAATACATTGGTGCAAGAGAGGAATTATTTTGGCAGTGGGAGCAGAACCACAGAGCCAAATGCTGGGAAATGGCACCTTCACAGTTGTGACGATTTTCTGGGATATAAATGGGTGCTCCTTTAATTTTTTTTTGTCTGTATTGCTTACTGGAAACAGATTCCATCCTGCACACTCACCTCAAGTCAAGCCTCTACCCTGACCCTGTTCAATTCATACAACAAACCTAACGAAAATCTTCATAATAATCTTATAAAAGGTACAATACACTCATGTAATGCAAGATATTTCTCCAGCACACAACAGTTGACCCGAAAACATAATCCTGTTCACTAAGTAGGTCCCTGACACTACCACTGGCATTGCAGAATACTTATCAATTCAATCGAGGGGAATGTCAAAATATGGAGGAGGCTTCCTCCTCTCTTTCAGTAGAAAAGAGAGTTACTGATGGAGTTAAATATTAGAGGGTTTTACAAAAAGGGGCAGACATACTGCACAGTTACATCTGTGAACCTGACTTTCAAATTTGTCTTTAAAACTCATAATTTTGTGCATGTGAAAATCCATATATGCATATTTTTAAAAGACATGTGAAAGTTGAAATTTACATATCTATAATATACAAACATTTTAATGTATGATGTCCTGTTTTGGGTGGTTTTGTTTTGGATTTTGTTCCGTTTTTGTTGGTTTTGTTGGTTTTTTTTCTCTGAAAATTACAGTTTTTCTATTCCTCCGTGGAATAAATCGATTGTTTAACATCGCAGTGTATAAACGGGTCTGAAGACGTAACAGGAAGCTCTAGCTCTGCTATCAGATCATAGTCAATAAAGCTGAAGGCTTTGGTCTCTAAAGGAAAGTGTCAGACAGTTAATTGCTAAGCGGGAAATCTCAGGAAAATAACCAACTGTTTAATTAATTCTGAGCTAGGGAAACGTTGACAGCTGTCAAGGAAAATAAAAACAAACAAACAAAAATTCTGCTGTTAGGCACTATCAGAATGAAAGAGAAAAGCAAAAATATTCATGGAATGGATTTCTTATTAAAGCCTGTACAGGTTTTTATAGATTTTTAGTTACTTTTTATGATAAAGCATAACATTTCATTTTTATGAATTATAGTATTGCACAAATCTGTTTACAATTTAACAAAGATCAATGGCAAACACAGAAGATGGTGACATTGCATATTATCCACACAAAATGCCATATTAAGGGAAAGGCTGCACTGAGAGTTAGTCAAATATAAGGAAAGTTGGAGGTGCTCAAACAGTTGATTATGACTATATCTCATTCTTTGATGTTGAATGCTATAAAGCTATATTTATAGACATTGCCACTTTTTCCTTAAATACATTTCATGTATTTAATGACATTAGTCACACATGCAGTTACTAAGATGTTGGTTAGAGTTTTATGGTTAAAACCAAGTAGAGTTTTGTTGTTGAGGCAGTACTCAGTAGTTGTGCTGTGGGGAGAAAAATAGAACAAAGCCTTTCAAAAATTAAAGTATTTTTACTACACAGTGTGTTTATTTTAAATGCAGAAACAAATACATTAATTAGCTTATAAGTTACAACTCATGGAAAGGGGGTCTGTTGAAAAAATCAGAAATATGTTAGCTTTTCTTTTTTGGCTCAGTTACACTCTAATTATTGAGAAATGCTACCTCAGGGTAAAGTTTAAAAGGCAGAAAACTTTAACTTTAAAATTCCTTCTTAACTTGTTTAACTTACTTTAAAATTTAACTTCATTCTTGGTGTTATAATGTTTGTGTCTGAGATATATCACAACATCTCTGTACGTTTTGAATCAAATTGTTAACGTGTTAATCTCCGTTTTTTTGTTTGCATTCAGAGTGGATTAGTGTTTAGAGTTAAACTAGAAACTCCTTTTCTAACAATCAAAACATTCATTTTGGGCCCAAGAATGTTTAATACCCGCCAAGCTAGGGCTAATTTTTCTGCAAATTCTAGTAATATTTCACAGTGCATTCTTAAAGGAAGTGGTTACAAATATTTGACCTTTCAGCCATAAAGTGATATTCTTCTTTGATCAACTGTATTCCAAAACTGTAAACTATACCAAGGAGGACTTCTTTATCTCTTTAGGTTATCACTGCAGACAGATAGTGCCTCAGAACTTCTAAAAGCAGCCCTCTTAGCAGCCTTTAAAGCAATCACATAGAAACAGGGCATGAAGAATGCTTTCTCCTCTTGAGAGGAGAAAAAAACAGAGAAATTGTGTCAAATGATGGATGTGTGCTCTTTGAAAGAAACAAAGGGTAATCATGAGGGGAGTCCTAAAAGAAATTAAGAGACAGTCCCCAAGAACAAAAATTGAATCTAGTGTAAAGCCCATCTGAACAATAGCGCTTTGTACAATTTTTTGCAAACACAGGCTCAAGAATATCTAGCTGACATTTCTGAAGCTAGCTCGACAGGATGTAAATAACTTTCAGCATTACAGGCGATGATAGCCACTTGCATTAGCTCGAAGTTCTTCAGACAACAGTGTTTTTTAGATCCACTATATAGAGTTGTAAGTGAATCAGTCCTTGAAAAGTAAAGATAGGGTATATGTTGCTTATCGATCAGCCCCAGACATTCAAAAGCAAACTAGACACACTCAGTCTTTGTTAACTAAAGATGATAAGGCATACAAACATAAAGCCATTATCTGCTTCTAAAAATGAATCTCTATCTCAGTAGCAAGGCTGTATTGTCTCGCAGCATCATTCATATGGCAATGGTTTGGTTAGGTTGCCCTGTTAGTAGTGAATAAATATTTCACATATCAGTTTCTGCCCACATGAGCTTATTGTCTTGGTAATTACCTGCACAATTATTCAAATAAAAATAAATAACTTAACCACATTAGGACAGCCTATTAGTCTGTCTGAAATAAACTGACCTTGAACACAAGCTGAATATGTTATGTGCCTGCAATGTACTTTTATGCAAGGAGAGTGCATGCTGTTTGGATTTCAACAGGGCTACACAAACAGCATGGAAAATTCAGTGGCAGGAACCTATGAAAAAAAGTGTGTGAGACTTCAGTGGAAAAATTAATACAATATTTTATTGTAGAAAACACATACAGTAAAGAAGCGGCGTGGCTGAATCACTTGTGATTGCAACAGTTTCTTTACAGCACTTATATTCATATACAGACCTTACCATTAGTATTCAACTACTAAATATCAGATCAAGCTTTCAAGGAAGAGGGGCGGGGGGCTTCTCCCCTCCCCCCCGTTGCCTTTATTTAAATTAAATTGGAAAGCAGTAAATACATTTCTAATAAATTTTGCTTGTATACTCATTCAAATTGTCTGCAGAATTTCACACATCTTTACGTTTTCCACATCTAACCCCTGTGGCTGACATGAATTTTGATTTAATGTCTATTATTATGAAGACTGAATAGTATTCACCCACCACTCAGTGAGACTATTTGAAAGTCCTGTTTTCACACACTGGAATTCCTCTGTATATTCCTGGTTTTCTCCTCCAAGTCAGGAAAAAAACAACTGATACCATGAAGCAAAATTCCAGGGAATGTATCTGATTTCAAACAGAACTCAGATGCAAAAGAAAAAAAAAAAAAAAGAGCAGGTATACAGAAAGTTATGTTTACTTTTCTGTTATGACACTGTTCAGCAATAATGGGACTACGTGAATGCCTGGACTGCACCAGGACTACTACCAGGTAGTTAGTAGAGAGAACCAGGTTCTTTCTCCCCCCATCCTTCAAGTCTAAGCTCAGAAAAGCTGAGGACCTTTCCTTAGTTTTTACTGTAGTGTTTTTATTTCCACTTTTTTCGAGATTAAGTAGTTTTCAAGCACCATGAAAGAAACAAAAATGTAACTGTCATGGTAGATTGTTTTCATTCTAACACAGCTTCTTTCAAAAAAATCTTTACTTGTCCATCGTTGAATGATATCATTGAAATTGAGTGACTTTCGATCATCTTTGTAGTTCATCTTTGAACATGTTCTGGTTAATCATAAAGAGGGCCTCTGTGTCCATTGCTAGGTCTTTGCCTAATAATTCCCTTCTGATCTTTACCAAGTACTGAGCTAACATCTACCTGCTATTTCTCTTCATAACTCCAAGATTTTCCTTCTGAACAGTATGTCAGCTCAAAAGTTACAGTTTTGTGTATGAAGTCAGAACTCCTCCATGAGTATCACTTTCATGTATTTGCACTGAATACTTCTGTAATTTTACTGCCTTGTTACTTTGTCCTGTAAGGTTGTTCTGTGTTTATTTAGAGTTTGTCCCCGTCGTTCTTACTAGTAAACTACTAGTAGCTGAGCTATTTCCTTATGTATCCATTGGTTGCCTTAAAGTCCTTTGGCGAATCCCATTTGGTCCTGTCATTATACACATACACACATATTTGTATTAGTATGCACACAAACATATGCTAAATAAGCTCCTAGTATTAAAAGTAAATATTCATGCACAAGTTTTGCACTGACTCACCAGCAAAAAAGTATACTGTCCCACTAGCGGTATCAAAGAATTAGTAAAATTTTCTCCTTGGAGTCTGTGGCAAAGATTGCTTATCTAGCATACTGCAAGATTTGACCCCTCTTGTGCTAAACATGTTTCTATATTGAAGTGTCTTTATAAAATCTTTCACTGATTCCAAGACTCCTATTTATTATTTAGTAAAGAATATATCTGTAAGATAATGTTCCTTTTATATTTAATTTTGAAAATAGTTTCCTTCTCAATAAGAGTTTTGTCAGAGAAAGCATCTCTAAATATGCTAGGACAAAGGATGGACTTGATGATCTTGAAGGTCTCTTCCAACCAAAACTGTTCCATGATTTTATGATTCTATGAATTGAAGATTAAATCCACTAGATGGTCACTTCAGTTTTGGAATTTTAGGGTTACCTATTTTACTGGTTTCGTCTGGGATGGAGTTCATTTTCTTCACAGCAGCCCATATGGTGCTACGTTTTAGACTGATGGCCAAAACAGTGTAGATAACTATTATGTTTTAGCTATTGCTGAGCAGTGTTTGCACAGTGCCAAAGCCTTCACTTTCTCACTCTGCCCCTCCCAGCAAGTAGGCTGGGAGTGGGCAAGGGGCTGGGAAGGGACACAGTCTGGACAGCTGACCTGAACTGACCAAAGAGATATTCTGTACCATGCAGAGTCATGCTCAGCCATAAAATGGGGCTGGGGGGGGAGTTTTTACAAAATTGCCACTGCTTGGGGACTGCCTGGGCATTAGTCTCCTGGTGGCAAGTGATTCATCTTGTACCACTTGCTTTTTCCCTTTTTTTCTTTCACTCATTAAATTGTGTTTATCTCAATCTGTGAGTTTTCTTGCTTCTGCCTTTCCAGTTCTCTCCCCCATTGCACCAGGAGACATGGGGACTGAGCGAGCAGCTATGTGGTGCTTTGCTACATACCAGAGTTAGCCCACTACACCTACACACACCATCCACTTCTAACATGTCTTTGTTTGTGTACCGTTTAGGAACTACATCAACAAAGTAACTTCTTTTTTCCTTTTTTTTAAATGGTGCTAGACTGTCAGCTCTTTAATGGGAGGATAGCCAATTATTAAATATACCTTTTGAAGTTCTTCCCATCGAGTATTGAACTTCTCAAGTTTCTCATTGATCAATTCATCCAAGATTCCACCATCAGTTAAAGTCTGAGCCAATTCCCGAATCTGATTGCGATTGTCTTCCGGATGTCTCATTAAACGTTCCAAAGACTGAAACAAGGTCAAAAAAGTAGTTTGTTCTCCTTTCTGCAAGTAAGATTCTACAGATCAATCCCAATTTGCCTCAAAAATGTAAGAAACTTCTCATTTCATATACAATCAAAGTCGAGAGAAAAGAAAAATATCTATGCCTCATGTCTTGACTACTTATTACCAAAAACAACTAAAGATTTTTTGCAAAGCAATAAATTGGGTACTCAATTTTAAACATATGGACTATGCCAAATGAGTTCACTGGGAGTATTGGTGTAATTAAAAATAAAAAATTTGGATGAATTTCAACAGCAAAAATGCATTAACAACATAGTGTTTTGTATTTTGATCTATTAATACTCTTAACTTAAATTTCTGCAAATCTGAAAGGTTCCATGAATAAAAATTAAGTAATAATAAACAGAGTTGCAGTAATAGGAAGAATTTGCTCTCTCTGAAGTCCTCAACATTTTTTGACTGGCTTCAGTGAGGCCACATTTTTTAAGAACGTGTATTTTATTGTCACTAAAAATTGTATATGATATCAGGGATAACACATTTCATTACTCTATTTCACTTAGGTGGATTCAAATTAAGAACCTCATTTGTTGAATCAAGGGAGAACATAGGACTTTCCAAATACTCTGCATCTTGCTCGTGTGTAACGTTGTTTCATAATTTGTTTGCAATGCAATGTGGTTTACAATTCATCAATACATGTAATTTGGTATTATTTAAGTCAGCACTTACATCTAGAGACTCAGAAATCTCTTCTGCACCTCCCTGGATATTTTCAGTTGCCTTGAGTTTCCGTTCAACCTCATTCAGCCATTTGTTTTCTGCATCCAAATAGGACAATAATTCACGCCAACATGCCCAAACCTCCTGATGGAGAGAAGAAAAAAAAAGTTATTGAGACTGAAAATCTCACAGCCAACTTTCACTTATTAGAACATTCAAAACATTGCATGCTACATTCTCCAAACAACATGGTTGATATCTGATGGTTACAGTGCCATAGAGTTGATTTTTTCCCCCAGTATTTATATGTTCTGAATAAATATAATACACAAACAAACCATTTTGATTAAACAAAGTAAAACCAGAGAAGATGACACGAAAAAGTGAACATTTCTGCGAAACACAACTTGAATCTTCTGTCTCATGAATTATCCACATTATAGGCCTTTCTGCAAAATTTTCTTGTAATACATAAATATACAAATTATCAGAATTCTTAAAGACACATGTTAGAAGTTTATGTCTTTATTGCAACATGTAGTTCTGTATATTAATTACTTAAAGCACAAGTTCATAAAATGTCTAAAAACACAGCTTTCAAGAATTCTGACTGAAATCTCTACGGAAATTAATTCTAAACCACATTTAGTGCAATTTATAGACCACTTAAGTGCTAGAGCACTAAACATAATGTTATAAAATGAAATTATGTGCTTATTCTCCTGGAATTAAATTAATGTCTAATATTTTATTTTTACAATGCCTGAAGATACTTAAATAAGCAGATAAAAATGACACTTTATCCACAAGCACAACATTTAAACTCTCCATAAATCATCTTTTCATTGTTCCTTTTTTGTTAGTAGAAGTTAAAACAATTTTATTGAGATGCATTAGGCTGTTTGTAGATCAAGCTTCCCACAGTATAATTCATCTCACCTAACTTTGGTCATATAAAATGTAAGTGTCTGGTCTGGGAAGAGGTTATAGAGGGATATTACCACACAACAGCAACATCAGTGATCAGGGGAAAAACAGATTACCATCTCAAGACTACACACCTAATTTTCCACAGTGAAATTTGGAGGAGATAAACTTTACTCAGGTATATAATAGTTCTGTATGCAGTTGGCTATTGTAATTTAGTTCACAGCAGAAAATCATACCTAATTCATTGTGACCACATATAATATGGCAAGAATTTTAATGGAGTTGGCCAAAATGACAGGGTCAACTCAAAATGCATGAGACACACTCAGCTTGCCAGCAGATCAAATGCTGTTCCCATGCTGAGATAACAACACCTGTCCAGCTTCAGGGCCATTTAATCAAAATCCTTAGCCAAGGAAGAAAGAAGCCTAGAGGAGACGGTGAAAACAACATCACAGGGTTGTTACAGAAGCCAGATGCTTTGTTTATTCTCATGAGGGATAAGAACCCTGAGCAGCCATTGCTGTCTCCCATTTAAGAGCCATGTCTGAGGCTTTTCTTTTAATATGACTCTCCAGCATATATGATTCTCAAAAATATTTATTTATATATCTCATACCATGTGGTGTTTGGTATATGGCTCATAAAGCGAGGACAGCCTTGGGCTACTCATGATCCCGTATGACAATACATCTTTGCCTTCTACCTTACTTTTGGAGTTAGAAGGGCTATAAACACAATGACTGACAAGATATCCAACCTCCAAAGTTTTGCACTTTCCATTCAGTCTGCTGCAGAGTCGCTGGTAGCTGGTAATTAGAACATCAAGCTCCTTTTTCAAAGCCTCATGAGCTGCAGGTGGAGCCTTTGCTATAAAATTATTCACAGAATCAGTAATAAGCTTCACTTTCACTTCTTTCTGCATGGCTTCCTCCTTCGCTCTCTGAAAACAAACAAACAAAAAGTTGTAGTACTGGTTTGAGAAGGAAACTTATTTTTAATAACTGTTAGAATTCTCCCTGACAGAATTTTGTCAGAGAGGAAAAAAACCCCAAACAACTCCACAACAACAAAAAAACAACCCAAGTGCCATTTAATTATCAGACTTTCTGATATAAACTTGAATGCATACAAAAAACTTTTTCTCATTTTGTTGCCAATACACGATATTTAACACAATTTAACATCTCACGACTATTTAGTTTTCTGTAGCTCTCAGAATAGTAAAACATTTCAGTATTTTATTTTTTTCTTCTCCAAGAAATGCTCCATACACCTTTGCCATAATACCTCATGAACCACAATGACAAAAAAAAAATCTGTTGTGTTACAAATGTGCACAGGTTTAAAGGTACAATAACAAGGAGCAAGAGAGAAAAAAGAATACTTCTGATACTTCTGACTGATTTTCCTCTCCTTGCCATTGTCATTAACCTGCATTTAAAGAGAAATTCAGAAAATAATTTTTTCCAGTGTATATTTCACACCTCTATCAGAGCATTAATGTTGATTTCATTCTCTCAATTTACAGAGACAGAAAAATCAGTGTCATTATTCACCACTGCTGAACATTGACCTAACATGAAGAGAGGAAAGAACGAAAAGGGAGCATTCTCCTAAACAGCTCTTCTGTGTTAGACCCTAGGCAGACAAGTTTAACAAAGGAGAGACATAAGAAATATAAAGATCCAAGGGACACAGAGAACCGCTAATGGATGGTGAATTAAAACCAATAAAGTAACAAATCCTATGTAAGTGATCTGGAACCACCAACCTGCCACCTTTTCTCTGTTTTAGCCTATGTAACCACAACAACCGATCAATTCGATTCCCAGCTTTCTTCCTTCACCTCTTGCTACTCTCCCCCTTTTTATGCTGCCTCATTAAGATACAAGATTGTCATACCTAGCATTGTTTACTCTGAGTGCTCCCAATAGGATGATGTCACTCAGTATTGGAAACACAGTGATTGTATACATAGTGTCATCGGTGTGTACTGGTCTTCACAGGAATTTAAGATAACTCCCTGGGCCAAAAACGTTAAACCAAAATCTTGTTCCTGACAACCTTCTTTCCCTCTGGGTCTGAGGAAGTCATTGAAGCAGAATAACTTGGATCAGGCTACCATTGCCAGAGAAAGTTTACTAGGTTGCTTGGCTTTCCTCTTCCCTATCTGTGGGAAGAAATGGACTGCAGGATGAACAAAGAATTCTGGCCTAGATTTTGCCTGTGTGACAGGAGAGGTGGCTGCAAGCCTTCAGGGAAATGACCACCAGGAGCTGGTGAAGTGATACATGACAAATGATCTGGTAATCTGCATAGCTCGAGGTGTCACAGTTTGAATGTACCTGTACTTCAGCTGGAAGTACAGAATATTCATTAGAAAATCCATAACGGGAGTTGTGTCTAAAACTATATGTTTTACCTGTTTTATTATGCAGTGCAATGTATAAATTTCAGTTTTGTTATTTAATTACTAAAAAATAACTGTATCTCTAGAGCAGATTAATATTTTTAATGTATTTGTCTCATTTACAACGCATCAAACTTGTTCCATATATTCTGTATATTCTGACTGGCATCAAGTCATTTCTGTCAGTAAATGAAAAGATCATCAGCTGCATGGTCAGATACTCTCAAACCAGCAAAACCCTATGGGCAATGAAAAGTTTGTGAACAAAGTTTTGGATAGATTGTTCAGGCCATATAATCTGCCTTCCTGAATAGCACAAGCCAAATAATTCCTCTATGAAACAAAAATCAAGCCTACATCCGGTGGCTAAGCAAGGGTATATTTAAACATGTATCACAAATTAATCTTTTTATCCAAAGGACATATTCATTCTACATGAAAGAAACAGCATTAATTGAGACTGAAATATGCTGTTCCTACATTACTATAGTAAAGAAACATGCATCCTGAAGTCCTAAATCTCCTCCCTCCCCATGCATAATATAAAGAGAAGAGATAAAACTGATTTCACTGTGTAAGTTAACTGCTGTTAACAACCGATTCTTGAGAACTATTCCTTAAGTTAAAGAATGTTGAAGCTGCATCAAAATCAAGTATCCAATAAAGCAAAGAGAAAAAAAAACAGCTACGCAGTATTGTGAAAGAGTATCTTCCAACATATTCTGAATAGAAATCAATTCAAGCCAGCTACTACTTTACATTTTAGACTAACAAGTAGATCTCAAAAGGCACCTTCCTAAATAAAGGGTAGACTTTTTTTTACAATGAAAGCTTCAAAAAGAACTTTGAACACAGCTCAAGGAATTAGTTAATCTTTTACCTTCAGTTCCTCAACAGCTTTCTGTAATTCATCAGGTGTTTTATACTCAAAATCTCTTTCCAGATATTCTTCTTCAGCTTGTGTTATCCATTCATGCATCTCTGACAAATCCTTTCTGAGACTCACAGTCTTATCCAAACCACCTTTTAAAGCTGCCTTCTTAGCATAGGCCTTTAAGAAAGAAAAGATTACATGGTACCTGAAGTAAGGCTACTGTACAAACTTGACAATAAGTGTACCCTGAAAAGAACAAAATTAAATCCTATACTAATAACATTTCTGTAATTAGGCTGATGATTACAATTAATTAGATAGATATTAATCATAGGAAATCAACAAAGTATTACACATGTGCATATTTTCTTTTTTAGCAAGTCATTGCTCTGCAGAATGAGTTTTCAATGATCCTAGCACACGACTCCACACCATATGCTGAGGTCATCAGATAAGAAATCTGAAAAAAATCTATTACCCAGGGACTACCTTCTAAAAGATGTAACAAGAACAACCACATGAGACCTTGAAAGTGCATCCAGGGGTGAAAGTGAAACCAGAGGCTCCTGAACTATAAAGTCAGGTGACCTTCTAACCAGTTTGAATGCAAATTGCTAGAGAATAAATTAATATGCTTAACTTCTACTGATGAAGTCATTATTGAACCTCTCAGAAAGGTGTATATCTAAAAAATAGGTAAGTAAAAAAGGAATCTCCTACTGGAAGAAACTACTTATCTTAAAGGGAAAAATACTTTCGCTACATCCTTTGTCAATCACTATATAGGGATCATATAACTTATGTTACATAGCTCATACATAGAACTAGATGATATTTAAGGTCCTTTCCATCCCAAACCATTCTATGATTCTATGAATTGTGTATCAGCCTATCAAAATTGCCCATAACTGATCAAGCCCTTGGCTGAGCCATCTTTCAATGGTATAAAAAAGTCTGCAACAAAACCAGTTAGTAGCCATTTTTCAGAGTTGGGCTTGCAGAGCTGATCGCTCCAGTCTCCTGCACTGTGATACTACTTCAGTAAACGCTATTTTCAGTAACATCAGGAGGAACTGTGTCTTAGTATTTGGTCTTAGTTTCTGACTGTTACTGGTTTTGTTCTTATTCTTGACTGGCTGTTAAACATAAATGTTGTTCTACATAAACATTGTTTTACAGACTGAAACAGAGTAACAATAAAAAGTTGATATCAAACAACTGTAAAAGCAGAACCATACGTGGCCCTGCAAAATTGCCTTTTCCTCAGTCACAGCACCAGAAGAGAGTAATCTCCTGCCACCTGGAAAGTGTATGTGAATGCTGTTAGCTCTCACAATCATATTAAGTGCATGTATATCAACTCAAGCTGACTTTTCCAAATCCTTTCAAGAAATCCCCACAGATCTTTTTATATTTATATAAACTGATTATAAATAAAATAATAAAATATAAATACAAACATAAACAGATTTTTATATTTATACTCATGTGTTTTAATAGCTATTACTGAAGAAGTTGTGTTAGAAATGCCCACTGAGAGGCAGTAATTTGTGCTGTGTATTGAATAGAACTATTACAGGCAGTTTTTTGGGGGGAAGGCAGAAGAACACTGTAACAGACTTCTAAACTCATAAGGCATTACTTGAATTTTCTGTGAGAAGTACAAAGATATCCAGCTTGTTAATATTACAAAAATAAGCAATTAAAAACTTCACGTCAGTTCAAGTGAAAAGACTACAGAACTGGATCAATAAAACGTTTTCCAGGTTTCAAAGATAAACTTTTTGATAACTATGTATAGCAGAAAAATATACAGAGGCTATTTTTCACATATAAACTGAAGAATAATCATTTTAGAAAACATTAGATGGCCTTGAAAAGTAATAGTTTTGCTGTTATGCAAATACACATTAAAAAAGTAGACAACAGATGAGCAAGTAGAAAAAAAAGTAAAAGTAATATAACACGAAAAGTTTCCTTTGAACTGTCACAAAGAATGGAAATCCAAATGCTGTCAATGAAATATCAGTATTTTTTAACTTCCTTAATCTGTAAAATTATTTATTAAGAATGTCTTTAATTAAAACAAAAGAACTGTCCTTTCCTGTTATGTCTCATTCTCTCAAATGCATATGTACTATATATACACACATTGGAGACTGTAATTTTCACACATGCATATGTGCACATACTCTTAATTCCAAGTTACTGAATTTTGAACTCTTCACTGCTTTAGTGTCTTATTTCATATAGAGTACACATGAGTACAATGACGCAAAAGAAAATGTAACTCTAAACACAGAACTTGATTTTTTGGCAAACGCCTGTATAACATTTTCAGAAAGCTAGGAGCCATAAATTATATTGCTGTTAAGATCTAAGATATTAGCATATAACTTTGTTATAAAATAGTAAGATATTGTATTGTAAAGAAACATAATTTACATGTATTGTTACATGCTAAATCAAATTCCTAAAACAGAAGTTTAATTAACATGAACCAAACGTCTAAATTCAGCTTCACATCTACTGGATATGCACAGAAGGACAAATTCTGCCAATCAGAAAAGTGATTATTAATTTAAAATGAACAAGTCACAGCAGGAGACTTCTTACCTGTTGGCAAATGTGTTCCCATTGAACATTGAGATCCTTTAGTTCTGTCTCTATTTTGGAAGCAAATTCTGGCTCTGCTTCACTCTTCATTTTCTTCCCAACCTCATTAACACTGTTCAAACTGGGCTGGATTGTCTGGATATCATTTACTAAAGCCTAAAGGAATAGCAGAATATTAGGCAAGCAGTAGTCACAGAAATTTTCAGATACTCCATCCCTATTAAAACATGCCTACATGAGATTCTGACATGGTCCAGATCTCCAGTCAAACGAGCACAATTAACAGACTTAACTATGAAAATAAATTTAAAAACAAACAAGCAGCTGTAATGTCGCAATCTGCCATACCAGAAAAAGTTAATTTGCAAAATATATATAATGAGTTTCAAATGTTATGTATATACTGTATATACACCCATATGTAATATTACATCTATTGTATCTATTACAATGCCTAGATATTCATATTTGTGAAAGTGCATCCCATCATAATGGTGGAAATTTATCTGTGAAGGCATGTTATTAACTATGTCAGCATCACCCTTGGGTTGGTAATTCACCTGATAACTTCCTTAAAATTATCTGAATGATGACATTCTCTGGTTATATCTAGTTATTAGAATTTTATTTGTGGTTGAACATTATTTAAGCCTCGAGGTAGTTCCAAATTACCACTTCCAATTTTATTTCCTAAGGCCTTCTTCAGTGCTGCAGATGTTACCTGGGCTTCCTACACAGTGGAAAAGGCTGGAAGTGTAAACACATAAAAGACGATGAAGATTTTGGTAGCTTTATTATATATTTGCCACTAATGGCTAATACTTGTGCAAACTCTTCATAAATTCACATGACAGATTCTAAAGGAGTTACATGTAACTTACTACTTAGTAGAGATAAGACTTGTCTTATATAATTTATAATAATTTTTATTTAAATAAAGGGGTAAGACAGAAAGTCTGAGGCGCTCGTAGTTCTGTAAGATCAGTAGGTATGTTTCATAATATTTACACATCCTGCCAGAACATTTACAGAACTTGTAAATTCCAGTGAACATAGACAGGGACTACCATGGATTACAAGATTCACTGCACTTACATACTCTGTTGGGACAGGCAGAAGAATTTGTAAACCCTGTGATGGAAGTATCAATACTTCATGATGCTTTAAAACTCTGCTGGGACAAAATCCTGGAACTTGTTAAGTTTAGCGGAAAAAGTTCTTTTGGTATAGTCAGAAAAGCTTGTAAATTATACGTGAATAATACATACAGAAAAAGATCTTCTGGCACAGCTTGTACAGTTTATAAAAAATAAGCATGCAATGTTTGTAAACTCAACAAAGTAAATAAACAGTTATCTTGAGAGGCTACTAACTTACTATTTCCTGCAAGTACCCTCTTTGATGTTTTGCTCCTGCTACAAATACATAATGCTATAGTCACTGTATGCCACCTCCCTGTATTAATGTTTCCATTTCGTTAAACAGAATTTTCCTTCAAACCCAGGAAACGCAGGAGGTTCAAATACATTGCAGAAGACAACCCCCTTACAACATGAATTTATTTTTAGGTAGAGCAATAATTTCTGTAACTTCTGCATAAGCTAGTCTCATAAAGAAGAACTGAATAATTGCCGGGCAGGCAGGTAATACTCACCGTACATTGCTCAAGTTGCTTTTCCAGTGCTTCTGAATCACCAAGGGCAGGCCACTCTTCCTTCAGAAAAACATCCACTTCAGCCATCCACTTCTTCAGTGTTTTAGTGTCATTCTGTGTATTAAAAAGACATTTTATTGCATCGTACAGAACACGACTGGCAATAGTGTAATTCATCCTGGCACTGCGACTAAAACTCACCGCAATGTAATTTCAAGATTATTGAACTGTCTGAAAAATACAAACACAGCAAACAAGCAAAAACAATTTTATCTGGGACTGTTATCGACTCTCTAGCCTGCACTCTGAGCATTTCTGCCCAAGTTTAATGTGTCTATAAGCAGGCAACCTTCTGGCTCTCAAGTTTACGCCCTCCAGATACCATTTGTGTTTAGATGCTGCATATGTGTTCATTGGCTCCTCGTATAGCTTCAGACTACTCATACTCGGCAATTAATTCATGCTCACCTACCAAATCCTCCTGTGCTTCAATTTAAATTTCAGGCTCTTTTTGGAAGTTGTATGCTCTATTGCCTATTTCTCCACCAGAACACAAGACAGGAAAATCTCCCTAACTACTCAGAATGATTTAAAAAAAAACAAACCAAAACCAAAACCAAAACCTGAATCAGTAATTGAAACAGAATCACTCCAGAAACTAAAACCATACAATGACTCAATAAGTCTTTTCAGAGACTGACTCTCAGTTATTCTTTCTAGCACTACAATATTTGTAATCAGTGGTCTTTAATTAACCCTTGCAATTAATAAAAAAAGCTGAACATCAAACACTTGAAAAGAGGGAATGCTACCAGTCCCAGGCAACATTACACAGATAATCTAATATCTTGAAAGGTGGGATGAGATTTCAAAAATGTCACTTAAAATTACCTTAAAATGCCACCTTAGGTAAACAATTAATATCCACGTTAAAATAATAATTCTAAATGACAAAAATTTGAAAGGCAAATTATAAAGCATCAGTACATCAAACTGTTTTCATCAACAGTGAAGTATATATTGGTATTATATGCTAAATGCAAAGTTGAATTAAAGCACAAAAAAGGGCATTTCATCAGAATACAGACGGTGCCCTAAAATCTGTAAAAAAATGCCTTAGCAACTATTATGAGACAGATAACCAAAGGGAACATTTTCCTAATGTGCTTGATAACAGCAGCCTACCTTGGAAAATGAACTAAACTAATAAAAATAATCATACAGAAATTATCAGAATATTTCAGAATGGCAAATACCAAAACACTCTTGAAGTATCTACTGTACATTCCATTATCAGTCAGTAAAAATAGTTCAGAATCATACTTCATGATGAAACTTTAATACCTTTACAAGAATACAGTAAGTGTAGTTCATTAATGCTGCAAAATATAGATTTGATGGGATTTACTTAAAAAGAGATCAGTCTCCAGCTACCAAGGAAGATTGAACGTATGACTTGCATTTTGAGTCAGACTGTAAATGCATTTTATTTGTTGACACTGATTTAATCATATCCCATGCTCACACATTTCATAAATTGGAAAAAAAGCTGAAAAGACAATCACGTTTCTATTAACACGTACTACAATGACTTTTGCAATAAATATAAAGGCTAAGAATGTATGCAACAATAGTTCACATAGCTTTAAAAATACATGCTGTACAGAGCATGGTCACAATGTTCAGGACTTTCTCCTTTTAAGAGCAGTGGGAGAACCTCTAAACCTCTATCCAGAAAATCCAAGGGGGAAAAAAAAGGACAAATGTTTGAATTTCTCAAGCCAAGTGTATTGCTCTGTTTTGTGCCATTGCAAATATTTCATTACACTATTGATAAAAACACTTTCCAGTTTTCCTATTTATATTGAGTTTATGCGGCAAGGTTTTGGCAGCAGGGGTGGCCTTTGTGAGGAGAGGCCAGGTGCTGCCCTGCACTGAACACAGCCAGTTCCAGCTGCCACCAGTGGACCCGTTGTTTAAGTACAGTAAAGCAGACTGGGAAAAAGAGGGAGGGGGAGAGAAGGTGTTTTAATTTTTTTTCTTTGTTCCTCAGTACTCAAATCTATTTTAATTTTCCCCAAGCTGTGTCTGTTTTGCCCATGATGGTAACTAGTAAGCTATCTCCCTGTCTTTATCTCAATCCAATGGCTTTTCCGTCCTATTTTCCTCCCCCTTCTGAAGACAGGGAGTGAGAGAGCAGCTGAGGCATTTAGCTGCTGGCCAAGGTTATCCCCCCACACCATTAAACTTCATTTCATGGCCAACTTCAAACGTCAGAGACATAGCTATGGAGTCAAAGTTACAATTTAGAGAAATGCGGCAATTCGGTATCTAAATTATGAGTGTACTGATAAAATGTTTCATCCTTTTTTGGTCTATTTTGCTTGTCTAAAAACTGATGAAGAGTAACAAAGTAATGAGTACGGTTTTTCTTCTCTAAAAGTTTTTTTTCCTCTACAAAAGCAGAAGTGTAAGACTATTTCAACAGAAAATTTATTCCTGACCAGTCAACTCTATTGAATTAAGCTGAAAATAACAATTACATTTCACATGCTACTGTATTGTAATTCACAAGATGGAGCTAATCATGTTTCGTGTTCTACTACCAGCAAACCAAAGCCAAAGACAGAAATATTTGGTGCTGTAAATAGAAGAAATACGGAGAGACAACACTGAGAAGAAACACACAGTGAGAACACATCTTTGTGTATGCCTGCAGGACCTCAACATTCAGAATCTTCTTTGCAATATCCCTCATGAGTATGCAAGTGTTCATTTGCATGGGGGCAAGGAAAGAAAAACATAGAAAGAAATTAAAAAGATTTTCCCTATTTTTGTGAGTGGTTGATCTGAATTCCTGTCTCTTGAAATGATATAGAAATAGAACAGGAAGATGTTAAAAAATTGACTTATTTTAAATCATATAATATCTAAGTTATAGACATCCCCTGTAATGCTGATACTTGTGATTTATAAATACGCATAAATAGGAGATCCTCACAGTGAAACCGTAAGATTTCAATGCTGTCATTATAAATACCTGAAATTCACACAATTGTCTAAGTCATATACAGTTCCGCTTTCTGGCAACTGCTGCCAAGGTACTACTGTATTACAAATGACTTTAATTACATAAGTGAATCCATCAAAGTCAATATGGTTACAGCTACTTCAGCTGCATGAGAAAGTACTTCAGCTACATTGAAAAAGTAAGGAGAGGAATATTCGCAGTGATTTCACTGAAATCAAAGTTAAATTTTGCTGTTGAAACAACATAGGTAGAAACAGCCACAAAATTAGAATTCAGAGTAAAACCTTGGACCCATCAAAATTAATTGAACATTTTAATATATTTTAGGTACTGTTTTGATATTTCACTTTGGTGTTACTTTCTTGGGTTGTATAAACGTGTTCTGTTCTAGTCCTGCAGCCACAAGCCACTGCATAGTAGTTGAGGCCGAAAAAGTTTGGTTAACCTGGAATCGCTGGAGTTTGGTCATAAGCTCCTCAAGTTTCTGGCAATGTTCCACCAGCTGTGCTGATAATTTCTTCCAGCGGCCAAGGATCACCTCAATCTCTGATCGATATCTTTGGCTGACTTCTGCAGGGGCTTTCCTGGACACGTCTTCCACAGTCGTGCTGAGATAGTTCAGGCCTTTTTGCTGCTCTTGCAGAGAGTTTTGTAGAGCCTATGAATAAGAAGCAAAGAGTATTTGATTCATATGTTGGGCAATACTCTTTGTTTCACAAACATAGGCAAGACTGCTGAAGAAAGGACTGAAAACTAAAAATATAGGTCACCGTTGCTAAAACATCCAATGACAATTGCTCAGCATCTACTGAGCAATTCGGAATTGCTTTCCTCACACAAACGAGAAAGTAGTTTTTTTAGTTGAATTGAGAATATAACCAGAGGTGTTCATACCTGTTAATAGAGGTGATCCAAATATACTTCATTAATTTAAAATAGGAATTTACTATGGCCCTAATGATTATACTTTTAAAAGAATCAGACTATACATGGAGAAAAATAATCAACTTAGAACTGCTTCTATGATTTAACTTTGATAAATTCACAAAACTTTTGCAATTCTTAGACCAAATTTGCTGCATCTCACTTTTTTCCTATATTCTACTTTTTATTTCTGAATGTGCATTACTAGTAGCATCAAAGTACGTGTTCATTAGCAGTCATTTCCATGTCACACTGGAAAATGAAATGAGCTAAACATATACTTAACTACCAAAGCTATTCTCAAAGGAATATTTTATCATGGGGACAAACAAAGGCTTTTCCTTATCATGTTAAATATCTTATAAAATTTGTTTCAATGGTGAAGAACACTTTCAAATCCTTTAACTTTAGGAATCGATATAAGAATTCACTGCCTCCTGAAGCCATTGCCTAAAAATAATGGGTATAATTCACTCAGGATCCATGGGCTTCAGCAGACTCACAGTAACTAAAGGTTCTGGTGCTTTAAACTTTTCCTTTGAGACATTCATTCCCACAGTCTGACCACTCACCTTGAGCTCCCTGAGTCTCTGCTCCATGATTTCATATTCAGCAACTGCAACTTGCGGCATGGATAGTTTAGTTTCTGACTGCTGGATCCACACAAGTATAGTGCTCATTGTCTCTTTGTAGTGTGCAGGAGGCAAACTGTCAAAAACTACATTCAATGGGGAAGGAAAAGGAAAGAAAGAAAATAATATTGTACTTCATTATATGATTTGCTGACAGAAGATATTCGATAAAAGACTGAGCCTTATTGAAGTCAACGGCTATTTTACAACAGATTGCAACATACCCAGTATGTCAGTATCAGGTTTTCCCAAAAATTGTGGAAGGAGAAAACTTTTGAAAATGATTATGATATCTCTGTCATTTTATCAGTTGTGTGTCATTTGATTCTCTTGTTATAGGTCACAGGACAACTTCTATGGCCAAAACAACTAGTTTAAATATGTGTGTTTAGAGATCAATAGACAAACCATTGTACTTAACCCAAAATCTAATTTCAGAAATGCAGTAAGAGATAGCATTCCCTTTTATGGCCCATGTTTGTGTGTTTAATGTTTCTGTTCAAGTAAAATGTTCTGTTTAAGACATCTGTTAAAAGCTTAGAAAATTAATCTTTCTTCTTCATTAAAGCTGAATTTTATTGAACTGTGCTTATTGTGCCAACATTACAGCTGCTGTAAATAGACAGCATCTGGCACACACAGGAGCAACTCATTAGCAGAGATACTCCCTCCGCCCTCAACAACAGTTGCTTCTATACTCACTGAGAAAAGAACAGACAAATAGCATGGCTGGTTGGAAATGAAACATTTCCAACTCATACCACATAATAATGAAGTATATAAAAGCTCAAAAAAAAGTTACACCTATTTGCATCTCCTGTATGTCTCTGGTGTTTCAGAAAGAACCGTACTGAGAAATTATATAGCTGTCCAAAAAGCAATTTTGACAAACAACATTGTTAAATTCTTAAGTGCGAGCTTGCTTACACTCTCATACAGCAATGCTTGGCAGAATCTACTTCAGGTTTTAACCTAATTTTTTAGTTGATCAACCAAATGTTACTTGAAAAAAACCCTTGTATTTTCAGTTAGGCATCATAGCTTACTAAAATCAGTGCATTTTAAGCTCTTTCTTGTGAAGTATGCACAAGTATGTATGTGCATAATCTCCTCGTAAAAACCTTGGCTGACCTGATTTATCACACATATCTGGGGATTTACAAAAGATAGGACTTGGTACCAGAGAAGACAAGAATTTCTTCCCTTGTGACATATCTTGTTTACCCAGAAAGCAATACTAATACATTCTTGGAAACAGAAAACAAACATTTTCCACATCATCAAATAGCATTTAAATCTTTTTGTTTCCTTAGTGAGACATGTCTTGTCTTTGCCTCACATAAACCAAACAATTCCTACTTTAGAATAAAACATGCATTTAAACACATCACTCCAAATGAATGGAGATATAATTTCAACAGCTCAGATATGGTAAAGGAGTATGCAACTCTTAATCTTCAGCTTTATTTAGAAATATGAAATAGAGTTCAGTATTGTGATGCAATGTTTGTCTTCTATAAATAATTTTATCCTTTAAATGGAAAAAACAAATCTTAGGACTAATGTATGACTTCAAGCAGCTGTAGAAAAGAATAGCTATTTTTGGTAGTAGTGAAGAGTACCACAGAATAGGTAAAATCACAAGATTTGCTGTTACAGCACAGTCCACCAAACTGCGTGAATCTCTTAACCTGAAAGTATGCCGGTATAATTTTAAAACATCCAAACACTGCAAATATTTTGTCCTGTTTCATTGAATTATGTTATCTACTATTTGAAGGACTAAATAAGAGTTCAAGTGGGATCACAGATGTTGATTTAATCAAGCTAGTGCCTTTCCAATTTGGTTATTAAATATTCCTTTTAGAAAGCACTTTTAAGTTCAGTGAAACAATAGTTTTCCTCTTTCACTTTTCCAGATTACTAGTGAAATATTACTTTTCAATGCCTTTTGCCTAGCTAGAGTTTTTGGGACTTGCTGGGGTTGGAGATTTTTTTTTTTTTTTGGGGGGGGGGTTTTTTTTGGTGGATGTGCTTGCTTCTTTGAGCTTTTTTTATAAGACAGACAATGTGTTAGCATTTTCCTCCACAAGGAAGTATAACGTTTTTTTGGATAACAAGAAGATCCTATTATTTTTTTGCAACTCATGATGCCAATGGTGAGAATTCAGTCAAACTCCTACAGTGGGATTCACATCACCTAATTTTAGCTGTCTAAATAATTTAACACATTAATGGTCTCTCTATGGGCAGTATGAATCTCTAAATTCCCCATGCTTATAGCATAAACACACAGCCAGACCTGTTAATTTTTTTTTTTTCTAAAATTTTCTTTGTGATACTACTTTTGTGGATTAAAGTCCACATGATAAGCAGAGAGTGCATTAAGACGGATTTTGCTATATTATATGAAAAATTGAATGGTAGTCAGAAAGACATAGCATGTCCACAACCCAAGCTATAGCTAAACTAAGCCCATGACAGAACTGTAACAAAGTATCACAGATGGAAAATACAAATATGTTAGTGTCAAATATCAAAATACAGTTCCCATTCCATAATAGAAAACGCTGCTGCATTAATCTATTCCACTTGTAGGGAATGCATTTTGGTGTAACTACCATTGTAATCCTTGAGAACTGATGGGCAAATACATTTACACTTGCATATTTATCTAAGAAAAAGTGCTTAAATTTGGAAATGCAATGTGAAGATTGACATTTGGTTAGGATATGTTTTTAATAAGTATAAATACTTAAACTTGTGAAAATAGCTTTCCAAATAAGTAAAATACTGTGTTAGTTTGGTTTTCCTCCCAGCTTCCTTTTTTGCACCAGATTTTCCAGTCAAAAATCTTTTCCCAAATCAGAAATGAAGTGAGAATACAATTATCTCAACAACTATCAAATCACACAGGATATGCTGCAATGTGTATCTCCTACAGTGAGGAGAAATCCCACTGTTCATCACATCATTGTGAATGAAGAAAGCCAATAAATACAATCTATGGGATCATTTTAGTAAAGACTTACTCACTTAAATGAACCAACTAGATTGAACTGCATGTACTTCCCATAAAAATCTCCTCTGTAGTAACTGCAGTTTAAAACCGTGCTGATTGTCTCACAACTTTGTTTTGCTTATTTTGTAATACAAATACCTGAAGGTATTTATCACAGTCTTTTTATTGATATTTCATAAAAGCTGTGATTCCCTTCTCCCATATCTTTCACCAGAAACTCTAAAAGTGGAGTCATAAGGAATCTTGTATAATCAATATTCTACAAGTGCTTTGACACTTCCAAATCTTTTAAGTTCTTGAAAGAAATAGAAGGGAAGCTCTTCAGTTCTACAAGAGCTAATGTAACAGTAAATATCCTTTAAAGATACAAAATTTTTTTAGGTGGTTTTATTTCCCATTGTTATAAATTTTCATTTTTATCATGGAGGAAAAAGATAAAGTAACCTACAGAGTGGAGGAGGACATTATCTCATATGCATCAATTTCACAGGTTGCTTTGTCCTTTTGATATTTATGTAAATTGAAAATAATTAATGGAGGAAATGGATGCAAAGAAAAATTAAATTACATGCATGTTACTTATTAAAATAATATTTTCTCTCACATATCTGAGCTGTATCTTCCACTCAAAAGGCACATTCAAAGAAAGTTAAGCAAACTTTATCCCTCAAAACCAAACAGCAATAAATATTATTGCTACTAAATCATAGATGAGATCTTAAGAAAAACTTACAGTTATGGAATTTACAGGACACTTGCTTAATTTTTTTCTTCCTCAAGTATGCAATGATTGGTGAAAATTATTATACATATTATAGCAATTTCACTGTCACTTATAACCCATCTCTAAGGCACTTAGAGCACGAAAATAAGTTAGCAGTTTAAAGTTTAAGCACGAGCAGACAAATGACAGACTAAAACTCCAAATGGTCATCATATTGTTACAGTTACTGTGGTATGTTTTCTTATAAAATTATGCCAAGACTGAGCTGCATGAACTCTATGTAATGCAACCCTCTTTAAGACAGTGTACTAGCAGATTAGGGAGAAAAGTGCATGCAAAATAGCTGTAAGCTTGGGGTGGGTGGGCAAATATAAAGTCTAAAGAATCTTTATGTGACATATGAGGCAAAAACTTTCTGAAGTCCTTCTTGAAATAAATAGGACAAACATTATTTGAATGTAGATGAATAATTCATCATTAATAATAATAATAATAACAACAACGATGATGACTACACCTTTGGGAATTACTGATCCTGCAAAGGTAGAAACAGAAGAAAAGCACAATGCATACATTTACAAAAGAGAGAAAAAAGGAAATAAGCACCTTTACCTCACCTCCATCTGGATATTCTTAATTTCACTTGCCACAAAAGTTTTTGGTTTGGTTTTTTTGTTTGTTTGCTTTTAGTTACTTTCTATAAATCTAATGACACTCTCCAAATCCCCTCTAAAGAACAGTCTCGTCGAATTCAGAACCTGTATCCCGCTGAAGACCACAGCTGGATAAGAGTTCACCGCAGCAGGACTAAACAGCAGATGCGCCTTAATGAAGTTTAGTCCAGTCACAGAGCAAAAGGAATTCTGGAGTGAATCAGCTTCCACCTGGGAGGCAGTTTGAACAGGAGAGTATTCACTTACCTGACACTGACTGACAGCTCTCCCTGGGCTGAGGGGGGGACGGGAGGCTGACCAGGCCGCTCCCTAGAAATGTCTCTGACACATCAGCATTTAAGTTAAAAATGAGTAAATATAACTTTTGATCCCTCATTCTTTACCAGGGCAATTCTAAAACTAAGAATTGCCTTGTGAAATCACATTATTCATATTTGAATTATTGCCATGATTGTTTACTTCGCTCCATTACTGAATAGTTTGAAGCACTGCCTCTCCTATTTTTTCTATATACAGTATTATAGAAATTACTCTAACTGTGTCTGGGGAGGAGGGAGAGCTGGAATGATGGATACACCATCTTCTGAAGGATCAATTACCTATGGATATACAGACACTCTATAAAGTAAGAAAAATGAGGTCATATTTCCTCGTATTTTATGGAGTTGTGTTTCTTCCATAAACAACATTGCAAAATAGTGAAAACACAACAAAATAGTTCTAGAATTTGTTTTAAATTAGGTTTTGTAACTGGCAATGCTAATTAAATCGTGGAGAAAAAACATTTGAGAAAATATGAGTTAACTTTAATAATATTTTACTAAGAAATCTACTGTGCAGCATAGACAAACCACTAAGCACTCTCGAATGTAAAAAAACTCGAATCAAGACCACCACCACCCTCATAAAAACTCCACCAAAACCCAACCAAACAAAAAATATTTGAGGGATACAATCGCCTAGAACTAGAGAAATTTTTTTTTTTTTGGGGGGGGGGGGGGGGGGGGGGGGGTGAGAAATGCTTGTGTGGTGTAAAAAATCCCTTGGGAAACAGAATAGCTAAATACCATTATCCACCAGAAAAGACAATGGAATAATGAAACACTAAAAAACCCCAAACCCTAAACAAACCTACCAAAAACCCCAAACCTATAATGGTCAATCAAAAATCCTTCCAATATTAAAAAATCCCTAATGATCCTAATGATGAATTAAAAAAAGTATCTCCAGCACATGTAGGTTATATGTACAGGGAAGAAAGAAGGAGCAAATATGACCACTGGTCTGCAACACATCATTCAATTTTTAGGAAATTTTTCTAACTATAGAAAATACTGAATTGTAAATAATCTATGCAAATAAAAGATGGAAATATCTAAAATAGTCTAGCAAAATTTCAACATTTTCTATTAAACTAAGGCTAAAATACAAACACGGGATACGACCTTTCCCCCCTCTTTTCAACCGAGGAAAAATAGTCATTGAAGAAAGGAGAAGACATTCAGACTCAGTGTGTCAAATTTTCTGTTTCAGCTTCGGGGTTTTTTCACATATTTTGATTCACAAGGCTTCCAAAATGTGATTAGACCTAACACAGTATCCAAAGCATGATCATTCATATCTAAAGCAGAGTTATGAAAGAAAGTTAGCACTTTGGATAAAATTGTATATAAAATTTCTGAAGATAAAATATGATTGACATAATAATCTCACTTAAAATATCATTACGGCTATATACTGTATGGGATAAAACAGTCTCATCTTGACAGCTGAAAGGTTTGAGATGAAGCACCTGTGATGCAGAGCAGCCACATAAAATAATAACAACTGACCAGGGCTTCATAAAATATTGATTCAGAGTCTTCTGTTCTCTAGCAGTTTAGGAGACTCTCCCTGGCCTGTTCAAAGCTGCCATGTCAGGACAGCTGCTTCTGCAGCTGGCCAGGGCACTGGAGGAGCATACTGCAGCACGGGAATGGCAATGAACAGCTGCAGCCAGGAAGAACTTTACCAAAGCCCCTGCTTTGTGGCATTAACAGTTCAGGCAGTGAACACTACTTCTCTTATGGGACTAACCAACCGGTTTCTTCATGAGGTCTCACTATAGCCAAATTAGGTTAGGAAAAAACAGCAATTACACAAAATTAGATATAGAAGAAATCATAGAGAAGCTAGCATTTACCATAGTTTCGTGTTGTATGAATGGTAACTGATTTCAGCATACAAAACACTGTGGCACTAACAGTTTTTAAATCTTATCCATTGCACGTCTTGACTTTAGAGTCATGAATAAACTTTACAATCCTTAATACTAAATTTCTACACTTCATTCTTTCATCATTTGCTATGGCACACTTGCTTTTTATTTCTTCTGTTTTCCTATGCATCATCTTTAGATTGCGTGTGTGTGCACGTGTGAAACAACTACAGCAGCGCTATAATACAGTCTCGTGGAAAAAAAAAATCCAAACCTCTCCATAGAAGCATTTAGGAAGATCCACTAGAAGGAGCTAGCACTATGTCTAATTTCAAAACAGTACAGCCATTTAGAGACATCATTGGTTTAAAGGGCAAATAATCTCTTTGCTGTTGAGAAAAATTACATTTATATTTTTTTTTGTCTGATACTTTAAGTTGCATAATCACGTACAGAAAGTGTACATCAGTCACTGACACGCTACATATCTTTAATAAGGAATAAAGTCAACTTTCTATTTCAGTAAAGCACTTTCCCCCTTTGAAAAATGCATTTTATTACAAATATTTTAAATAATGTTATAACTAGCAGACATATATTCTGTGTTGCCAAAAAGGAACACAGTTCACCACATGATGAAAAAATAGATACCCAAAAGCAGCTAATCTCTTTGATGAGCTTTACAGAGTTAAATTTCTATTCTATGAAAATCTAGAGCAGATTCACTCCTTCAATTAAAATCTCTCCCCTCTCTACTGACAGACAGCCGTCTTATACCCCAACTAAACAGAGTTTTATGTTGCCAAAAAATACCACTGAAGCTGTCCATAAACATGCTAACAAGAGGAGGTCTGATGGTAGAACTACATTGAGCATAACGTTTGCTCCTGAATAGCGTACCTTCCATTGTTTTCCTATTAATATAAAATACATAACACACTGATAACTTCTGAATGACTAATTCAATTGCAAAGAAGACACCCTGAATTGTACTACTGGTTTAGCATGACAAAAGCAAACACAAAAGTAGGAAAGCAAAATATATACACCTATTCTTTGCACGCTAGTCAGGCAAATTGACTTCTGGTGATGAAGACTTACTGGTCTGTAGCTGCTTTTCTCTAGCATGCATGTCAGCGAGTATTTGTTTGAAATGGCTGGTAAAAGCAGCAAGGTCAGCATCCAGAAACACTGGCCCTTGTTCCTTCTCTTTGAGTGCTTGACTTTGAGCCTTTAGCCGTTCAATTTGGGGCTGAAGGGTTGACATTCGGATGATTTCGTCCTGCACGTTTGAACAAAAACCATTAAGATGAAGCTGTCCAACAAATGAAATCACTAGTGGCATGAAATCATCACTGTTTCAATGCACATTACACAACTGTTTTGCTTCCAAATACTTAATTTACACTAAGAACAAGTTCAACATTTTTAACCTTTTCTCACAAAACAATACCTCTGCTCCTAATATGATGCTCTTACTATTGTTTAAAGTTACTTTTTGCATGACATTATCATGTTAGTAGTGTAATACTCAAAGGAAACAAGACAGATTGTACATTAAACTCCACATGTCCCATAACCCTGGACTCTTCACTGTTAGCTTATGTACTGGCTAAATATCATGAAGTACAAAAGAAGGTGAAGATGCACAGCAGCCCCACAGTAACACAGTACAGGCCAAGCTTAGAGCAGAATGTTTTCAGTTGGAAGGGACCTACAAGGATCATCTAGTCCAACTGCCTGACCACTTCAGGGCTGACCAAGTTAAAGCACATTGTCAAGGGCGTTGTCCAAATGCCTTTCAAACACTGATAAGCTTGGGGCACCAATCACCTCTCTAGGATGCCTGTTCCAGCATTTTATCACCCTGTTGGTAAAGAATAGCTTCCTAAAGGCCAGTCTAAACATCCCCTGGCACAGCTTTGAACCATTCCCAGGCATCCTGGCACTGGATCCTAGGGAGAAGAGATCAGCACCTCCCTCTCTGCTTCCCCATCTCTGGAAACTGTAGACAGCAATAACATTGGGTTATTATACCTTCAGGAGACCTTGTACACACTGTGAGACTTGCAACTACTAAGTAAAAACAAATGAGGAAAGGAAGAGAAATGTAAGTTCATAGTAGAGCAACTCTAAGAGAAGATTTCTGCAAGAAAACAGAGAACCCCTGGAAGCACAATGCCAACTTTGTGAAATGGCTGAAAATAGAAGTAATAGCATAGATCTAAATTTGGGTTTCAAACGTTGTTTTCAGTTTGAGAGCTTCTGGAGCCGGAGATTTCATAAAGTCGAACTTCTACAAGTACGTCATGCAATTTATAATTAATAAATTAATTGGTGTGACTGGTTTTGTACAAGTACTGTAATTCTGTCATATGATGACAGAATAATATTCTTCCATTTGACTACATGATCCACCCTGCATCAAAATTCAGGGTTTGTAGCAAGGACAGTGGTCTGTAATGGCAGAGTTTTGGACTTGACCACAAAGACAATATTCTGGCCCAGATCCTTATGACAGAGGTGATGAGCAACAGTTTCTTAATGAAGAACAAAAGACACAGATTCTTACAGGGGGAAAAAAAAGGAAAAAGAGTTTAGGGCCATAGTTCCCTAGCTTAAGGAATCTAAGTATCCTAAGAACTAAATATTTGGGGCAGAGTTTTAAACACCCACACGCCAGGTTCTATTGCCTCTCTATTTCTTTATCAGGCTTTCCTTTCCTTGAACAAATATTTTTAATAATTACCTTGGAAAGATAAGTAGTCCATTTTCCACTTTCATATTAAAATAGCGTAGGTCATAATATGGCCCAATGCTGGAACACTTATGAAGTACAGTATCATAAAAAACTTGGAGAAGAACTAACCTTGCATTTTTCCAACTGAGTTTTTACTGCAGCAGGATCTGTTGCTGGTGTGGGTTGTGCTTTCAGCCAGTTTTCTGCAGTAATTGCTGTCTGCTCCAGTTGCTGCAGCTGGGAGTAGAAGTCAATGATGTTATTTTGGTACTCCAGCCATGCCAGTCTTTCACTCAACAATTGACAGAACTCAATCCAGCGGCTCTTCAGCTGCTCTGAGGCTTGTCTAATGTTGTCAGCATTCAGACCCTCTATAAAGAAAACAAGAGAAGATGATACTTAAGGATAAATAGATCACAAAGAAAAAGAAAAGTAAAATAATTTAAAAATTCAATTTCTGTATTTGAGAGCTCATAAATCCAGTTAATGATTTATCATCAAATAAGAGTCCTGAACATACAGATGTTACTCATTAGTGGAGAAAGCATTTCAAAAACACTTTAAGTTGCTGCCAGGGTACTTTTGTTGCTATGGGAATGAATTATAAAGTACATTAAAGTACAAGAATGGGAATAAAGCAGAAAGTAGAGATACAATACATAAAGCTAATTAAAACTGCTGTAAGAAATAAGAAAATGCCTGACAGCTGGATTTTGCAAACTATGTCTGGACTGTAATTAGATTTTAATGTACAAGACTGTTGGGTTTTATTATAAAAAGACCGATTTAAATGAATGGGAACTATATTCCGCAGTTATTTTTATGTTTCTGAAAATCCAAACCTTAAGTTTTACATTACATGTTATTTTAGAAAAATCGTAAGCACTGAAAAATAAACATGTGATCAGATCAAACCTCCATCTAGGCCAGTCTCATGTGTCCAACAGTGACCATTAGTGGACATTAAGCAAAGACCAAGCATTGAAAAACCATAGGTGACACTTCTCTATGATTATTTTCAGACAGGGTTTGGTTTCTCTGATATAGTTTGCCTATTTCTGTCTATTGTTCAATAATTATGCTTACATTGAAGTTCATAAAAGAAAATTGACTTTAATTATTACAGACAAGGCAATTACTTAGAATTATTTAAAGGTAAAACAGCTCTATATATCTCGTGAAGAAAGTAAGTCAATACATATCAAAGAAGCAAAGGTGTCCTACAATAACAGAATTTATAATTATTCCAAAACTTGAACTCGGGTTGAGTTCAAAATAGTATTAACTTAAGCTTCTCATTTATTTTTCAGAGGAAATGTAAATGTAACCCCTAACCTGGGATTACTGGCATGACCTGTAATGATACACATAGCAATAGGACCAATATTGATCTAAAAATCAATAAACTTTTGAATTCATTGAGTAACCCCATATACTTAAGAACATCTTTAATAACATCATCATTTAGTCATACACTAGTTAACTGGTAAAACTAAAGCTATGTTTTTATTAAAATAATCAAATTTAGGGCATTTTTCTATTTCTTTAAAACAAGTTTAAAAGCAAATGAAACAAAAGCCTTCAGTGCTGTACTTCTGTGATTTTTTGATATGCTGTCAATACGGTTTATCTTGTTTGTTACGTGTACTTCCAATCTGCAGGAAAATTTCTTTATCAGGGATAAAACCAGCAAAGTTCCTGTCAATTTTTAAAAGTAAGACATAGGAAATGGAGTCGTAATTACGGCTAAATGTCTTAAATGAAAAAAAAGTAGTACTGGAAATTTATTATAATAAAATTTTCTAAGGATTTAATATAACGTGTGCTATATCATAAACCACACTAAATGGTAATGTGGGATCATGTATGCTGTGGAGCACCATAGTTCTCTGGCAAATCCTATTCTGGATTCAGCTCAGGGCTATTCCATTCAGAGTCACCTGGAAACAGCCTGCTTGGAAACAGACTGCAGTACCGATAGCAGTTCCCTGGACATGCTCTGTTTCTGGGATGTAGCCCTAGCCAAGGAAATCATATATGATTTCTAAAAGTACAAGCAAAAATGCAGAAGGATAGAGGAAGCCCCATACAACTGGGAGATAACAGCAACTGTAGCGGTTGGAGCGGCTATACATATATTATACTCTGGAAAACTGGGGAGCACAGTTTAGAGGCTGAGCAAGGGTATAAAATGAACCTTAAAGCATAAAGAGGTAAACAGTACACACATCTTAATAAAATCCAACAGTGGTCTGGTCTTTTGTATGCATATGTTTGCATCTGGAGATGTGCTATGCAACCTACGTGTTCTTAAAGTGCAATGTCTAATGAACATATAGTAGTATGTCAAGGGGCAGCATAAACCTGAATGGCATAGTATGTCTGAATAGCAACAAAGATGACCAGGTACCTAGATACTGAATCTTACCAACAGCAAGAACAAACACATATATAGAAGCCGAGGCTTTAACTATGCTATATTTCAGCATTTTTTTTCTGTTCTGTTGTGACTTTGGTTATAAAAATGTTGTATGCTCACAACAGAGAGCAGGTATCTTTGCCACTGTGTTCATGGTTACCTCTGAACCTGGAAGACAATGCCTGTGAGTTTGCCAGAGTAGATATAAAAAGATCACTTTTATTTATTCCCCTTTTCCTCTCTTTTCAGATGCCACAGTCTCCAAAGTACCCTCAGGCAAGATCATGGTTATCAGGGGAAGGGCAGTCATGGATTCTCCTTCCATAATAATACTTTTCACTGTAGTATTTTCTTCAGGGATTCAGATACAACTGTATTTCACATCAAAATCTATATTCCTTAGATCATTCTCTTTTCTTCTTTTTACTTGTATGTCCCTCTTAATGTAACATTTAAATATGTGAAAATACCAAATATTATCCAATTTTCTTTAACATCTAAACTTTGAGTCTAAATGTGATTCTACATGTGCACAGGTGAACAAAGAAATACTTTTGCTCTGCATGGAACTGAAGTAGACAGTACAAAATTGGAATGTGCAGAGCCACATTTCGTAAAAGATTGCAGAGATTCACCTCCATTAGGCAACCCAATGTCCCACTGAAAGGAAGACTCATTTGAAAATCTCAATAGGATGCATTTTTAAAACTCTCTTAATTCACAGTCCACTCAGATAACTCAAAATTGTCTACCAGATGCTGGTGTGTCATTTCCAGAAGGATATGAAAAAAACGGCCATTACTTGCACTTGAAATCATTTGGGCAAATTTGTCAAAATTTTGTCTTATTTTGAAGAAAGCTAGTCCTCCATCTCATTCAAAATGACAAAGTAATTACTATTTGAGTAGCTGATGCAATGAGGACGTAATTTTAGTGTTTTTATTTGCTCATTAAATTGGTGAAAATCAAGAATTTGAGACTTACTTCCATGATAAGTACTGATTTTTTCATCATCATTAGCAACTTTAGCAAACACCAGCTTTCACTGTTAACATCAATCACCTTACTCTGCTTCACTCATGGCAGCAAGACATACCAAAAGTTGACAAGCAGGCAAAGAAACAATATAAAACCCATTCTCTGGTAAAATAATATTATTTTAGGAATAATGGTTCATAATCTTTCCACGTTTCATATTCTAAAAGCTTCTGATATAATCGGTGAATAAATACACTGTACCCAGAGGAAACAGATCATTATCTGAAGTGTATCCATTAATTTTATTACCTTGTGTACTGTTCATAACAAATTGTGTCTGAATATTTTTAATTGTGTAGCACCTTACATGCAAGTACTTTGGAATTGCCACTTAATATGAAGTATATCATATTAAGTGCATTTATCATTTGCTGTAGTTCTGTGATAGAATAAGGTAATATTACCTGTGTTTTTACAGCTTTTGACTCATAAGTGTGTGTGAAATAGTAACTCACAAGATAATATATTTCTTCCACAGAACAGTGGCACTTAACAATTATGTGTTTTATCACAACAAATTCATTTGTGTTCACTTTAACACTGCCTATCAAAATTCTTTGAGTATTCATTTTGATGCCCTATTTATTTTATTCTGAACTACTATAATGGTCAAGCGTCCACTCAAACTGCTAAACTGCTGTGCTCGTGCATCAACAGACTTGCTAATCTCTTAAAATATAATTTAGGAAAGAAAAATAGAATAGAATTTTTTCCTAGAAACACAGGTAAAGATAAGATCTAAGTTTTCATTGACTGTAATTATCAGACTTCTTCAAAAGCATGGGCAAGGAGAGGCAGAAGACAGCCCATGTAGAAAGTGGGTGGCTGGGTAAAGAATCGTCCACCAAAAGCATCAACGATTTTCCCTGTGGTGGGAAAAGTCCTTCAAGCGGCAATGTCCAAACACACTGCTTACAAACACAAGTATAGCTACACTGTGTGAGTTGTAAGTTTTTTCTAGTGAAAAACACTTTTGCTGACAATGGCTGAAAGCATTTCCATAAGGCATGAATAGTGCCCTGTACAAATACATTTTCTCAGAATATTTTCCTCCGTGCTAAGGAGGAAATAAATGAAACCCTAAATAAACTAACCCAATTCTCTCCAGAATTTTTTACTTATTCCTCCTCCTATCACAGCAAAAATAAAAGTAAGAAAAGAAACAAAAATAATATGATGAAATTAACCAGCATTTTGAACCCTCTCTTATAATCCACCAGAGGTCTTCATGTGTTACATTCAGAATTTGTTTATGAGCAAAGAGGAAGCACATCTTAGTAAAGCCAAGAATTTAGTTATAGCATAATTGGAATCTTAAGAGTCTAGTCATTATTATTACAGATCTAATTGATACACAATAAGTAAAAATAACAATGCAGATAAAACTGTCGTCAGTTGACTTCATAACTGATCTATGCCTTAAATCTGTTTGCCTTGTGTAGTCTTTCAATTACAGATTACATTACAAATGCAGGGCAACCGTCAATTGTATCACTGACTGCTTTCCCTAAAGAAAGTACCACACAGAATAACGATGCAATCATCACCATTTGTGATTTGTAAATTGTGACAGTTTCATTCAAGATAACGTGGTACATCTTCCCGCCACTAGATGTTAAACTGTGTGCCTCCCACAAATCCATAAAGGCATGTTAATTCCAGTTCCTTCCCATGTTATGGAGAAAAAGTTCCAGCATTAATAGAACAAAGTATTCAGGCATAGTCAGTCTGCTCTGTTGACCCTTATTTTGGAGATTCAGCAAAACTTTCCTATGCTATACCCTTTCCTCTTGCTAGTGAATCTAGCAATCAACAACAATAAAACCAACCAGAGATGAAAGACTGTGTGTCTCAACTCAGTTTCTACAAGCCACACAAAGCCTAAAAAGAAACTTAGTTGAATTATTATGGTAAATAAAAGCTGCATAAGGTTATTACAGTTTGAGATGTAGGTTTAAAGTTGAGTCACTTTTTTACATAGCTTTTAGTTCACTATCAATTTAGAGATAATCCACTAATTGCAATTGCATTAGATCATAATGATTTGGAAGAAAAGACAAATAGAAAATTTGTTGTATTTAAAAGTGCAAAGGCCAAGTACGACAGTTAACTTCCTCTACGCTCAAAGAGTAATTTTGGACACCTAGGAAGATATTCCATTTGTAAAGTCTTTGTTAAAATCATCGTACAGTTTTCCTCAACTAATGCTTATTTAATTCTACTATCTACTGCTCCCACCTGGTGGTGATTATTGCATTATTTAATCATTTCATACACTATTCTTCAAATTGAATTTGCAGCAGTAGAGTAGCTGAAAGTCCTATAGACATTTTAGGCTTCAAGTCAAGAGGAACTGTTTCTCTTTTCAAAGGAATTGTTTCCTCCCTAAAATCATGACAAAAAAGGATCTGCATTCTCAAAAGCAGCTAACTTGCTACAACATTCTTGCTATCAAGGCTACCACAACATGTGACACGATACAGAGCTCAGACCAGTTGACAGGAAACAGATAAAGTCCTGCTGGCTTAGCTGGTCTACCCTGTGCTTGCACCCCAACTGGAAGATGTGCTTCTTAATAAAAAAGGTGTGATTTGGGAGATATTGGAGATATTTATATGCACATCTAGCCACAGTCCAGATCATAACATCTATAAGCCATGAATAAGCACGGACCTATGGACTGAAGGAGAAAAAAAGAGAACATTGAGTTAAAAACACAGGAGAATATTTAGGACAGAATGTTAATCTACTTGGTACTAGACATGGTAGGTAGTACAGTACTGGAAAAGTAATATATTTTCTGCAATTAAAACCGGAGTTAGTCACCAGAAAGTGCTATATAAACTAAAAAAAATTGAAGCTGGAAGCCTTGAGGTGCAAGTCTGCATTTTGCCAAAGGAAGAGTAGAGCTTTGCTAAATGTGTCCTAGACAGATTCTGCCCAAAATAACAACCTCAATGTGGCAGCACACAAATTTCAAACACTGCCTTAAAAGTCCCATACAACCAGTTGGCCCAGGCAGAAAACATGTCCAAAACAACTGACAGAATTTTTTATATGATCAGCCATGGAAAACTGCCCAAATGATTTCAAAGAGGGTGCAGATGTTACCAGACTCCCTTCAGCCTATTCACTAAGCCTGGGAAGGGAACCTTTGCCACAGTTGTTACAGTAACGATAGTTAAATATGCCCCACACATTACACATGGTCACTTTTAAAATATTACACCTTCATACTTAAGCAAGGTAATCTTAGGATTCCATCAAATTTGTTTACCTTGGCCAGTCAGTACCTCAAACTCAAAGCATTTCATTTTTAGCAATTAAATTCTTGGTTCTTCATCATGACAATTTAATATAAAATATATATTCTGAAGCTCAGTGCATTCAACATCTCTATTTCTGGTAATCAAATCAGTATGACAGATGTTGGCCCATGTTTAATATTTTATTGCAAAGTTAGACATTCTTTATTATCAAGGACAACGGCATGACTTACACTTTTACTTCCATCTACCTTTTTCTTTTTCCCTTAAAAATATCTAGACGTTCAAAGAACAAAATAACAGAATACTTTTTTTCTTTAAAAATCAATAATAAAAATAAAACTTACAACTAATTTTCTTTTTTAAGAGTTGTATAAGCTTTGACATTTATTATCTCAGAAAAGCCACATGGCAAAAACTTCTTCCAAAAGCCAATAAATAAAATGTTGTATTTTCTATGATACAGAACATTACAGCAATAGGTACATTACAAAACATACATTGTATATTATAATTCAGAAAGCACTTTTTTCAAACTGTTCAGAGTAATGCCTTCAGAGCTTTCTAAGTCAGATGAGTTAATGTTCCTTCAAAAGCTTAGCATACTCAGAAAATAAGATTACAACTTAAGTCTCTGCACAGAACAGATTGTTAATATACAGTTCATTACTGTGGGCAAGTTTTACACACATTTCTTTTCATGGTACTAAAGTGGTAAGATTTTTTTCTCTTTTCTAATTAACAGATTTAACATTCAGAAATAATAAAAGAAATATAAGGCAATATTACTTAACTGTTCCATTTAGAGAGTATTTGCTAATATAATTCTTGTGATAAATATGAACCTGTGCATTTATCAAATCCCTAAGAAGATTATCTAAATCAACTCCCATGTAATTACCATTCACCATCTGTTCCACCAGGGCCTCAGCCGATCTGCTGGCATCTTGTAATTTTCTGTACTTCTCAGGCTTTTCTCGCTGGATGGCCTGCAGCATGACAGGAAAGGTGAGTATTTCAACAGAGGGGTTTAGAGAAAGAAAGTAATTAATCTTAGAGATGTCTTCTGAACTTAATACCATTTAACCTGTCATATTTCCCTGCCAGCCTCCTGATTCTCACTGAAAGCAGAAAGTAACACGTACCATCAGGAAGGGAGTCAGTCAAATGTGTAAAGTGAGAAACAGAACACAAGAGTTGAAAAATGATACGTATCAGTATTTTACAGACAAATAAAAGACATGCAAATTAAGAGCTATTCAAAGCCCAATATTTCAGAATAAAAAATATTTGTTCAACAGAAATTCCTTGTGGAACAATAGATTTGCTCATTTCTCATGATAACAGCAAGAATTGAGCATGCCAACCAAATCACACGGTTTCATAGCACACTACAGTATTGAAGCCATATTCCATTTGATTGCTTACTTTACCCTCTTGTTTGAAAAAAAACCCTGTAAAATGCATATTGAAGTAGATCTCTAATATATATATAAACATATATAGCACATACACGTATAAGCTACAAGAATGAGAGTTAAGAATGAGATTTAACTACAGAATTAACACAAGCTTCTAGTTATGTATTGTACCTCATACTGTCAATTCATGTACCTAATACTGTCAATTCACCTCCCTGTCCTCAAAAATTTCTCACCCACGTCAGGCTAGCACACAGGTTAGCTGGTAATGGATGGTAAAGGCTAGTTGCTAAAGTTTCAGGATATACTAGGAGTTTAAGTCCTCAACTTCATTTTTTTTTGGTAGCAATACAGATGGAAAGTAAAATCATTTTACTTCTGACAGTCTCTCAATGCTGTCCTGTAATTAACATAATGAAGTCACTTCATTGATTTTAAACTAATTTAATTGTATAATTTAGGTGTAATTTAGAAGGTCTAAATCAGGAGCCCAAAGAAACAGCATGGGGCCACAAACAAATTTGATATAAAAAAATAAAACTGACTATATACCTCCCAGAGATCCTGACTGACACAGTCTCCTACTAGTCAGAGTCCTTCACTTTAACGCAGCAGATCCACACATACAAAAGGATATACCACCGCAAATCCTACATGACATGTATGGTAAGATAACACGAAACCCTGGCTACGGCTTCTCAGCCTGGCTGACCCAGCCAGGCGTCCCAATCACTTTGTTTATTTACACAGCAAAGGTATATTCTGTGTGACTAGACTCTTCAGGGGAAAATGACCCTTACAAATGGAAAGAAACCTCAAGTAGGTGTCTAAGAATACATTTAGTGGAATAATCTTATACAGTTACATTTGAAAATGTTATTTTTCAAATAGATTGCTATGCTTATGAAAAATTAATACAAAGATTTTTGAATAAACACTCTTAAAATAACTTTCAAAGCGTGATGCTTAAAATGTCTTCAGTTTAAGAAGAAGCAGCTCCCTGGAAGACTTCCCTAGGTGAGGAGACGCTCAGAACTTTAAAGAGATATTTTCTGTTAAATTCACACATTTTCACAACCTACTTATAAATGCTAATCGTCTGTGCATATAGAAATGATTAAACAGCAGGCTTTTTATCAATATGCCAAAGCTTCTACCAAAAACTTTTCAATAATACAATTTTGTATAAATATACAAAGAAAGAAAATTTAAAGAAGAAATAAGGATGGATAGATTTCGGACATCATAAAAATATCTTTAATATATACCTAAATTATTATTGAAAGATTACACAATTTAATCCCAATGAATTAAAGATGTCTGTATTAATTATTTATAGTTTTTGTAGGTCAATAAAATCTTCTACCATTCCACTGTACAATTTAAATATTTTCTAAATTTAAAGAAAAAAAGTCTATTAATTCTCTTCAGTATTCCAAAATTTCTTATAGAATCTTAATTAATACTACTCTAAGTATAATGCCAGGCATAATTAGCATGAGTCTAACTACAGAGAACTCAAATGAATTGTTGAAACATTAAAATATACTGAAAATAATTTTGCTCCATCTGTAATGCCAGATGTGCAATTATCACAAGTGCAACTGTAGTGAGCACAAATTAATCATAAAAAACACCCTAAAATATACTAAAAATTAGCTTTTTGAAATATAAAAATGAAATGACGTTGAAGCCTGTGGCAGTGAACCCTTCAGTGTCCAGTAATAGGCCACCTATGCAGAAAAAAGTGGAGAAACATTCACCTCTCCTGAAAGATTAAAGTTTCCAGGTCCCGACAGAAAATACAAGCACTATATGTGAAGCCCTTAAATAAACATGAAAATATGGTTCATGTAAAACTTTTTCATCAATTACTTTTCTCCATTTTTTTTTTTAATGTAGTTGGCATACATCAAAAAAATGGAGCTCTAAACACCGGTTACAGGAAGACATATGCTTACACACAGAAAACACAATCCTAGCCAAAGGAGACAAGACTGTTCTCTTGTTCCTCATACAAAGACAAATTACTTGAGCCGGGGAGAAAGGAGGAAATTCACCCTGGTTACTTTCTAGCACCAATCACATAGTCCTGCCACCACTCTGTAAACGTGTTGAGCCTGCAAACTGTGTCTGGGATTTTTGAGCCCCTCAGAAGAACGTTACACGTTCCATAAGCATGTGTAAAGTCCTTAGAAATGAAGGGAGTAGGAGTCCTGGAAACACCTCACATTCATCTCTTTGGCTCAGTTTTCTTAATTTTTTTCCTATAGTGAAAAGGATCACACTCTCGATTCAGGTTTATTTGTGACAGAAATAGGCTAGAATAAGTTTGAAGAGGTTTGTGAAATTTTGAAACTCTTTTATTCTGTACATTGTAATCAACGCTTTTATTTGATGAAAAGTTGTGGTAGCAGCAAAGTCGCTTCAAAGTATTTCCAAATACGTAACTTTCCCTTTTTTTAATCTGTTTTCCACAAAAGATTTTTCAGAAAAAAAATACACCAATATGAGGAAAAAAGTTACCTTTACAGGCTTTTGTCCCATCAGCGATTAATTATCTTTTGGACTATTTTGTAACTCATGATAAAAATGTGTAATAGTCTGGTTTAAGTGATTGAATAACACTGCAAATTCATCTTTAGCTAAAAGCCAGCCTAAGGTGAAGAGGCTATTTTCACAATGCTAAGCATTTTGTTTGACCCCTAGATTCTAGTTGGAATTTAACGACTTCATAACCTAGAAAACGCTAATGGTGCAAGGAATTCAGATGTTATTCGTATCAAATCAACATCCTACTTTGAGAGGCCTAGAAAGGACGCATAGTGGTAGCAGTACTCCCTGACCTCCTGTGACTCTGACCAACTACCCCCGAGAACAGGAGATGGAAACATTATCATCACTGGCTCTGACAGTGATTCAGCTTTCATATACCCAGGCTTAACAAAGCATGCCTGCAAAAGGTCACTAAAACAAATTGAACAAATGAGAATGGGGCTTTTGAGAACGCCAAAAGAACAAATTTAATTGTCTATGATATCTGACATTTTCCCTTACATCTGTTCCTTGTATGTTTACCTTTGATTCTGAATTTCTAGGTGCATTTTCTTGGCTAATCAAAACACCTTTCAAGGAGTTTTACCCACGGTTTATTGAAGCATAGTCTCAAATCTGATTTATTATTAAGCAGCTTTTTCTATCTAGTAAGTTTTAATTTTTTGCAGTTGAATCTTCATATATTTGAATTTGCAATACTGAAAGCTCACTATGGCTTAAGAAAAACAAAAAAGGCCTGAGTCACTGTTAGGTCTGTTTTTAGTAAAATATATGTACTACCTCGAAAATGTTAACAGTGGGATGCAGAGTAATGACGTTTACGACATTAATGTTTGGATGTCTTCGTTATTTCAGAGTAGCATGGTTGTTCCACAATGAAACTTCTATACTTATAGCATCCAGTCTATCTGGCCAGGTAAAGCAAATATCTTTCTTTGAAGCAGGGAAGGGCTATAAATATTTTTGCTTCTCCCCAGACATAGGAATGGACCTTTTGCGCATGTCTAAGATGTTCAATCTACGCAATACCTCTGCCAGATGTTAATTTCCTGCCAGTATCTGAAAAGCAGCTGGCTTAGCAAACAGTCAGTGCATTTCATACAGCCTGCTCTTGGCTCCATCTCTCCCAGCCTCCTCTGAACTGGGATGGGAGCACGCTTTTGAAACTGATGAATCGTCAATGATGGCAAAAGAGCTTTCCTTGTGGCTGTTGTTTCTGAAGTCTGCATCCCTCCAAAATACAGCAGATACACTTCCACTATATTGAGTGGGTCCAGAGGAGTGCCACAAAGATGACCAGGGGGCTGGAGCACCTCCCCTGTGAGGACAGACTGAGGGTGTTGGGGTTGTTCAGCCTGGAGAAGAGAAGGCTCTGGGAGACCTTATAGCGGCCTTCCAGTGCTTAAAGGGGGCCTGCAGGAAAGGTGGGGAGGGACTGTTGATCAGGGAGTGTGGTGATAGGACGAGGGGTGACAGTTTCAAATTGAAAGAGGGGAGGTTTAGATTAGATGTAAAGAAGAAATTCTTTACTGTGAGGGTGGTGAGACACTGGCACAGGTTGCCCAGAGAAGCTGTGGCTGCCCCCTCCCTGGCAGTGTTCAAGTCCAGGCTGGATGGGGCTTTGAGCAACCTGGTCTGGTGGGAGGTGTCCCTGCCCATGGCAGGGGGGTTGGAACGAGATGATCTTTAAGGTCCCTTCCAACTCAAACCATTCTGTGATTCTATGATCATATGGAAGTGACCCCTCATCCAAGGAAAACAATGAGTAGAAGCAAGATGCCACAACAAGAAAAAAAAAATAAAAATCCAACTGTCCTAACCTGTCCTCAAAAGAACAGGAGAAACCCAAGCCATTAGGAAAAGGCCCTAGGACTCGGGACCTACCATGGTGGGCAATAAATTGCAGGTCTGACTTCAGCCAAGCACAAGTGTTCTGTGCTGCATCAATATCTATATTGCCATATAGAGAGAAAAGTAAGTGATAACCAGTAAGGGTAAGATGGGATTCTGCTTGCATGTGTACATGGTTGCACGCGTGCGTGTATAAGCACAATGCTGGAGTATGATTACATATGTCAGTACAATACAATCTTTTCCAATGATCACTACTATATGTTTTCATTTTTGGCATTTTATATTTTTTTATATGTCTTTTACAACTTTACTAGAGATTATAACATATTAAACCTACACTATCTTATTTTCTATTGATTTGAGGCTCATTTTGAGGGAATTAGAAACAAAAAGCATTATCAAGTAACTATGAACCTGCTCAAGCCAATGAACTGCGCAGTACTTCCTGCTTTGGCTACTAGTTTTATGGATAGAGACAGACACCAAACAGGAAAAGTCAGGCCAGGACAAGCTTTAAAACCTAGCATTTTAAAAGCCTGTTGTTTTTTTTGTTTCTTTTTTGGAAAAGAATGTACAAAGACTTCCATTAACTGAAAACCGTTCAATACAGAATCCATGTAGTACTTGTCAAGTGCCATCTTTCAAACTTCTCTTTATCAAATTAATACATGGATTCAGAATGTTTTCTCACTTAAAATATCTAGAAACTTCTACATACATGAATAAAATATTCATTTTAAAAACAGTGATACTCTATGAAATCAAAATCAGTCTTGGTCTTTAAAAATATTTTCAATATTAATGAAGGGTACATGTTCATTTTTCTTACTTATATTTAGTTCTGGATTGTCTCAGACCCCTCTTGATAAAAGCAGACCCTTTTTCTGCACTACTTTTCAGTAAAGAAGCTGGAAATTGGTTTCTTAACATCCAGTTATTCAGTTTCCAAGGATGTCAAAGAAACATCTAAAATATATCCTGCTATCTCCACCATCTTAATTCAAATTTACAATGCCCATGCTCTGGTCAAATTCCACACCTCTTTTCCCTCCCTCCCTTTTCCTTCAGTATTATGTCTATTTTCACCAATCTGAATGAGAACTGAACAAATGTGGTAGGTAGTGGCCTCCCAGCCCCAATGTTCTTCCTCAGCACCAACAAAGGCAAGGCAAGAGCTGCTGGGAACTCCAGCTGGGACAAAAGGGGGGGGTCTGTGGTTCACCTACCTCTGCCCTTTTACTTGTAGCGATCACCACCTCATTGGAAGCAGAGGAAGGAAAGAAGGAGGAAGGTGAACCATAGCTCCTGGATCCTTTAATGCTTTTATAAAGTCTTAGAAACTGACAATATGAGGTGGAACACCATATTGGTTAGGGAAACCTGACAGTGCAGGTATCTGGCTTAATATGTACGTCAAGATGATCTAATTTGCCATCCTTGAAATTCTTATGTTCCTCAAAACGGGAATATGAAGGGGAAACAAGAGTATGTGCCTTTTTTTTTTTTCTTTGTTTCTTTTTTAAGTTTACCTACAATGAAGATTGAAGCACTCAGAAAATTAACTGTATATCTGTTTATGTATTAGATGAATCCCCTTATCCCAGTATGGGAGTATTTGAACCCATCAAATTTTCTCTGTATATTTGATCTATTTTGCATATATTTTTATATTTTTATTATATTTTTATATATATATTTCACATAACATGATGTGGTGCCATGAACTAAATTCAGGATATTGCATTCTAACAGATATTTAATAGCAGCAATGTTATGACAACATTAACAATTAAATTATTGCAAGAAAACCATGATTTAACATGTAACTTTAAAATGTGTATGTACAGTCACAAAATTCAGTGTTCCTCAATCTTATCATAGCTGATTTATGATGGACAAGCAGACAGTGAGAAAAAAACAGCAGCAAAACTAACTCCACTACAGCAACCTTGTTCCATCTGTTTGTGTTCTAGTATGTATCACCATATATTTTAATGAAGTTCCATGATATAAGAGCTAATTATAAAATTATATAATATGTATAAAATTATAAAATAAAATTATTATCCCCTTTCTCTTTACTCAGAAAAGACAGTGGTTTTTGCATCTATTTACAAAAAATAAATATGGAAGAAAATTTGTAATAGTTTAGTTTTCAAGGGCTAAATTCAGAGTGCATGAAACATACACACAAACACAGCTATCCCTTAAGCAGTGAAGAATTAATTTTACCAAAAGTAGAAAAGAACTGTTTCTGGTTCAGGCATAGTACTACAACAGAGGTAACTTAAAAAAAAAAAAAAAAAAAAAAAAGTGGAGACTGGTGATTATCAGAAACATTTTACAGTGCTGAAAAAAGAATTTGATACAGTTTTTCTTTAGCATACACTAAAAGACGACACTTTTCACATCCTTCAATTTATGCATGTACATTGTCAAAGCTGTTAGTATAAAATGATGATGCATATATAAGAATTAATATATAGGCTTTGATTCAACTTTACCAAAGACTTTCATGAATCTAGAATACCTTAATAACACATCAGTATGTATGAATAAAAAAAATATCTCTGTATTCAGGCAGCCTGTGTAGGAATTTTGGTGCCAAAATCTGAAATTCACAGAAATAGTGAGCAGTTCTAAATTTCTTGGACATATGGACAATCAATGCTTGTCAGTTTACATTTGAACTCATTTAAACTTGGACTTTGAAAGCACTTTGACAAGCTAATACAAACTAACACACATATATACGAGTACTTTTTCCTACATTGACTCTTTCTCTGAGATCTGAGAGATTGCCTTCTTTTCGATATATTGCGAACTCGGGACTCTGAAGCACTGCTTCTGAGCGAGTCATCCAGCTATGGAGCTCTGTTGTATCTGAATCAAACCTAAAAGACAGAGAAGCGCAGTAAGACATTTCATTTCCACAAAGTTTCTGAAAATAGTAAAGCAGTAAACATGTTTAACTGGTTGTTTAAACAAGGGAATAAGCAGCAATTTATCTCAGTTTAAAAAGACAGTTTTAAACCCCCCCATATTTCATTAGACAGATCGTAAAACTATTCACTCTAAAATTTTGGAAATATAGCAATACTTTTTAATTTTTAAGGCCCTGATTTGACAGCTGAATAGATGCAACAATTTTCACAATAAGGATCCTAATTTTACAAGCTGATGTTTTTGGAAGACAAAAAACAAGTGGCTCTCAGTGAAGAGAGTGTACTATAAGTCCTGTTTGTTTAGCTGAGGATGTAAGGCCTATCTGGCTGACCAAATGGAGCCTTCATACCTGCAAGATATCTGTCCCAGCTTGTGCTGACGATATTATGCAGGATATTCAAACAGGAAATTTGACTGTTAGAAAGAAGTTTCTTCTGGTTCACTTAAATTTGTTGTAGAATCACTAATCAACAGTAAATTATCATTTTCCTACAGCTAAAACTTTAGAAACTGCAAATTAAGATCCCCAACTCTCTGTACATATTTTTAAACTAGTTTTTACTGTACAGTCCTCTTTAATACTGTCTGGATTCTTTCATCAGCTCCTTGAAAACTGTTCTTAATTTTTGTTACCTATTCAGAAGTAAGTAGCTCAAAATGAAAGTTACCATATGAAAATATTTAAATTACTGATGTGCAGAAAATTAAAAATGTGATTTAGTATCTACTGTAGTTTTCAAAACAAGAGTCTTGAGACAAAGTTTTTTCTCAGTTGTGCCACTGTATTCTTGATTGCATTTCTTTATTGCACTATATGTTCTAATATTTATATCTTATTTGTAACTAATTTCCCTTTTACAGCAATATAATTAAAGCAATAGAACAGAAAGATCTAGAAAAAATAATCAGCTGTATCTTTTAGCTTGCTTTGTAAATATAGGTTGTATCATTTACATAGACTTGAAAATCTATTAAAACCAAAACCTTGAATGACAATTTATACTTGGAGGAACTAATTCTTTTATAAAAATATACTCTGTGTATACAAGAACTAAAATAAAAAAATATAAGGTAAAATCAGGTGCTGTAGAAATCTACATATACAGAAATGAAAACTGAATACAAGAAAGAGTTCCATGTTTGATCTAATATTTATGCCTCCCTTTTTTTCCTTCTCCACTGGGATCTTTATGACTCCATTTAAAAACACAGTGTGAAAGAACGAGTAATAAATAATGAAAGCAGAAGAAAGAATAATCACACACTGTCTTAATCCCAGCCCCATATTCTATATTCAAATTATAAACTTTTAGGAATAATTTTGAAAGAGCAATTCCTAATAATACTATTTGAACACCCATTAAAGGAGAAAAAATATGACTGTCAATTAATGGAAGCTGCAGAAAACTTTATTTTATAAAGAATTACAAATTCAGAGGTGGAAGACAAAAGAAAATTCCCAGATGGTTCACAGAATCTCTGTGCTGGTACCAGATTCCAACCCCTTAAATCAAACAGTACTGCCAGTTAAGAGCTTCCTACCTCAGCTTTACCTCTGATCCTACATGACATTAAATCAATTGTAATTACTGAAATATAATTATATCCTCTGTTCTGCATATAACAACTGCATACTTAATGATCACAGATCACCAGACATCTGATAACAACAAAGACAAGTTTACAGGTGCCTCAGTACTAAACTCCCTTGGCTGCAGGTAAAATTGTATTACTCCTGGTGTTCGCTCCATTGCCCAACTGCAGGTAAGTAGGTCCGGTGAGACCAACTTTCTGAAGAATAGCTTGATATAAGATGGAAATTGACAGAGCAAAATGTTTACCAGTGATCATTTCTTAAACAAAAGGACTTTGCCCTTGCCTCTGCAACATCCTCCCTGGCAGAACAGTGGGAGAATTTCGTACAGTTTCGGTAGTACAACAAAATAACCAGGAACAGATCCTGTGACCCAGAGATTCATCAGATGGGGTAAGTATTAGCCACAGCAGACAGCATCTTGACAGAGCCTAACTCAGTTAACAGATTGCACTGTCATTTGCAATTTTTTCTGTAGATAAATATAACTCCACAAACAAATCCTCCTGCCCAAAAAAGGGCTATAAAGAGAGGGGCTGAAAAGGATTAAAAGACATGAAAGTTAATTCTAAGTAGCTTTTTGAAGCACATAAATATGTTATCATAGAGACATTTTTCAGTTACCTTGGGAAAAACATATTCTCTCTCATGTTCAGCTTGTATAAAACCAAGAAATACAGGTAGAATATGGCATTTAATCATTTTTCTATTATGATTGCACATTTCCCTTCTGATCACAGCTGCAGTTACAAATTATACTAAAACTCTAGACTGATATCAAAGGATCAATACAGTCTTTAAATCTTCTAAGTACAACAATATTTTCAACATAAAAAGCAATGCAATATTACCTTTCTGACCCAATAAAGTTAAGTGCATGCAGAATTTGTTAAAATAAATACAAGGAAGACACTAAAACCAAATCACTTGAGACAATTACTCTAAATAATTACCTTACTTTAACATGCACGTTAGCTTGCTCCCCACCTAAAAATTCAATCTGCAACAGATTTGTTCTTTATGCAGCACTCATGGTTTAGTTTTCTAATTAGTCTTTCCTTCTGCTATTCCACAAGAGAGATATTATCTTTTACTGCTCTCACTGCCCTCTCTCTACAGGTCAGCACGTGCCAGCTGAGTTCAAACACTGTCTCTTTCTACACCAGCGCACATTTGAAAAACCATCTTCACATTTTTAACCCATGCCACTCAAATTTTCATGGAAGTCCCCCGCAAATTGGTTTTCTGGATCGTACTAAGCCATATGTCCACTTCAGATTCATATTCAAAAACTCTCTTGCTGAGACTACCGCATGTACTTGTTCAAAAATTATTCCTTTTCTAGCTTTCCCTTTCTTTTCTGTACTAAATACACAATGAATCTCATCTTTAAGGCATTCAGTTGAATTTTAGTTTCCTCTTTCTGTGCATGGAATTTCTAAACCAAATACTCAGACGAGCATGATACTCAAGTCCTACCACAAGCCCCCTATCTAATCAAACACCTTCCGGAAAACACTAAGTAACAGCAAGTCTTAATCTGTTTGTATTTCATAAAAAACAAATGTAATTTTTATTAATAATCAAAGGGCTGACTGTGTATAAACCTTCTGTCTGCACAATATACCTTATAAGGCCTATTGTGGTTCTTACAGACAACATCATCTAGTGAAAGACAACGGTATATTTTAAACTCATATTTTTGCCTTTTCTTACACACTACTATGGTAAAAGGATGACAATGAAGTAATGTGCATGCACCGACCTTCCACATACAAACAACTTGAATGTTGTACAAGTTCACCTAGGAACACAAGTTGTGAAGTACCCTGCTGTCGTGTGGCCATTGTGGTGTATTCGAATGAATTTCACCTTGAAACTGCTACTGTGTTACTGCTACCATGACTAGACAGTAGTTTCAGTACGTCATTCTTTCAACAGATAGAAAACACTCACAATTTCCTTTGGTGATTTGTTTTCTTCCCCCCCCCCCCCTCAAAAAAAGTCACACCAGGCATGTCACCATTGTGTATCTAGGACCATTTGCCCACATACTGAACTGGCAGGGAATGATACAACTCTGATCCAAGAACCACATTACTGAATTACTGCATTTCCACAGCTGGAGTGTAATGCCCAGCTCACCAGCGGTCTTCCACAGCTTCTAGCTCTTCATTGGCCTAGAACTCGTCAAAGAAAAACTTTACAGTATACAATGTCTACTGGAAGAATTATTCTGTGAAGAACTAATTCCTTGCTGTCTGTCCACTTCTATATCCTCTGATGAGCAATTAGTTGATAAATAGCCTTGTTCTTATCTCCTCATTCAATAGCTTATTTGTCCTAATAGATATTTTTCCCTTCCTATTTTTTTTAGTTCAGTCGTCAAATAATTTTATTTAATTTCTGAATGACATTCTAGACTTCCCACTACACTTGCGATACTACTCAGTTTAGCCTCATCAACACTGGGAGCAGCACATTTCTGCAATGCACACCAAGGCATCAAAGAAAATACTAGATTGATCCCAAGTATAAATCTTGTTCAGAAACTTCACTAGTATCATCTTAGTAGCCTCACAGTTCTCCTTCTTTAGTCAACTATCCATCTTACCACTGGTAACGTATGCTTATAAACCATACCTTCCTCAGCCTAAGCAGCGATTCCTGAATTGTAACATGGAATGCTTCGCAGAAATTTTGATAGATCCACCACATTTCTCATATGTAAGTAAATCATTTACAGCTCATGCAAGTGGAAATCTAGAGGTTACTGTAGCACAGGTTCATTTGCCCTCAGCAAACATCTAGTGGCCAGAGATGCAAAGCAGTTTTAAATCCAGCCATCATGCCTTCCAGTCAGCATCAACCAGCAGCACTCCTATAATATAGGAGGCAATTTCAGATGCAAAATGTGAAAAAGAATACTTATTCTCAGTGCATTAGTCACTATGCCTTTTCTCAGCTCACAAACAAGATAAAAGGTTAAAACCCAATGAGCACTTAGAAGTTACAAAGTGTCCATGTTTACAGATGTCAATATACTTGTATTTACACTCTAAATGACAATTTTTATAAATTATTCCTCTTGTAAACAACAGAAAACTATTCTGTTGTGCTCAAATACTTTCTTTTCCTCTTGCACTGGCTACACAGATACAACACTGAAACGAAGGACCACCAGGAAAACTGAAGACACAGCTTTGCCCTTTTTATATTTGCTAAGTAATGTTAGGTAACAGTACAAGAGGAAAAGCTGCATTTCAATAAGAGTATAAAGGTCAAACAGCCCAATGGAGTTGCTGTAAAAGTGCTAAACAATCATCACATAGATCTGACTAATACAATTCATTGGACGGCAATGGGATGTTTGAAACAATAGCTACCAAAAAATCCACTTTGAATAAGTCATTGTAATTTTTCCTTTGATATATTTTTCTACAAAAATTCTAATTTTTCTAAGTAATGAAGCATTAGATTCCCAAATATAATAATTTGCAAACAAATCAAGACTACCTGGTTTTGAAAAAATTGTTGCTAACACTTGTTAAATGAAAAAAACACTAGATGGAGCAACTATCCTATTTTAACATGCCTTTCACTTCAAAGAGCATAAAGTCTCTTTCAAACCTTAACATTAACATTATATCCGTAATATATTATCCTTGGAAACATTAGGAAGCATGTATAAAGTTATTTACTATATGGCAAAGAAAGGTATCTTTGGACATTATTCAAGAACATTAATATTATAAATATGTTCAAATTAAACGTTAAGCAGCTCTAACCTGTTTGCTATTTAAAAACCTACAATGAACAGAGTAATTTTCAGACTTTTCTATGCTACATAACTGACCTGCTTTTCCCAGAATATGTAAATACCATGAAAACGAAAATGTTACCTTGCAACCCTTTCTCCCATTTACAGTTTAATTTTCATCCTAAAACTTCAGCTATGTTACATTTATCTCTATTCCTAATGCATAATATATACTTTCAAGACCTTTATTATATAGCTCCAAGTATTTTTCCCTTCTCAGTTTCAAATTAATTCCTTTGGGAAAAGGAGCTTTCGTATGACCAGTAACAGAATTTAGCATATCTCTGAATTATTCTGACATTTTGAACCGTTACTTTTGAGGTACTTTTAGATTTTTTTTTAGGGGGTGGAAGGAGAAAAAAAAAAAAAAAAAAAAATTCATCTGCTTCTTATCTCTGCTTTCCACCAGTTACTGTAAAAAGTCACTTTAGGAGGCAAGAAAAATAAACAGCTTCTTTCCCATGCATTTGTGCCATACCAAACTGGGACAATGGACATGTGACATTCGCTCCTGTGTATGATACTGGTCTACAAGTCGGGTTGCTTGTCCTCAATTTCTTCAGTATAAATGCAGACTTTCATACTTCTAATCTTTCCAAAGCACTTGGAAATGTAAAAATAAAAAGCATTCTAGAAAGCTTGATGCTTCCATCTTAGCCACCTGTTGCTTACCCTCAGTAAGTAGCTGAGACCAAACTCTTATGCAGTCCACTAACACAATATTCACAGAGCAGCCAAACTACTCTTTCTTGCTCCTTGAAACTAAGCACTGAGCAATCCAAGCTGCAGGTGCAGCAGATCTTTAAGACATGCGCTAGGCTTTCTGAAACATTTAGATCACAGGGAAGCAAATGTGGAGCACAAACCTTTCCAAACACGTGGCAATGGACCCCAATGCATTTATTTCAGGCATACTCTTTTACAGCAACAATGCTGACTCAAGCTTGAGAACAGATGAAAGAAGCTCACAAAACCTGGAAGCATTATTCACAATCTCAAAAAAGCCCAAATCCTCAGTGTGCCTTTCCCCCACTGTGGCCCCCAAAATACCGGACAAGAGCATACAGCATGTTGTACCATGACTGCAGAAAGCAATCAACACAATTGTGCACCTTCAGATGCTTCTGGCAAGCATTCAATAATTGCTGGAGACTTTTAGTCAAACAAAAACTAAGCAGTACAGAATCATCAACTCTTAGTCATTAAATGCTCAGGGAAAATTTTGAACATAAACACACACATACAATTTAGAACGATGTAGGAGAGCAAAGTTGAGAATCCCCATTCTCTTAGTTTATTTAAAACCTGCTAAGCTATGCAGTACTACATCTTTGTTTGTCCGTGGGTGTAGGTACAATTAAACATACACAAAAAATCCTTAAAGATCTTGCAGCCAACAATGGACACAGAAAATAACTGACTGTTTGGGAATACAACCATGAGGTTCTTCCAGAAAAAAAAGCATTGATGAAAAGGTGTCTAGTCACCAATGTACACAGACATTTTAGCTGAGCACCCAAATTTTAAAATGAGTTGTATTCTCCCATTGTTATGCTTATGTTCAGAATAAATTTATTATGCTGAAGAAACACAATGGCATACTGTCAAATGTATTAATTTCTCAGACTGCATTTTTATGTTTTAATAAAAGCAGGTGCAATAACCATTTTTCTAATCTGAAACTCCTTCCCCAAAGTTTCCTCTCAAAGTATTTCTCTGAAGCTCATTATTGAATGTTTCTCCCACTCCGCAACACCCACTTGGACTTTCTAGAGAGAAAAGGAATATAAGCTTTTTTTTTGTCTGTTCAGTTAGAAATGCCGAAAAATTATCTAAATGGAAAAATGTTGTCTTCAGAAAACACAACCATCATTCATCCTGCTGCACAGCTGTGGACATTTCTAAAATCATTCACTTTGCACATTACCATATTGTAGGTCTACTCACAGTTATTCAGTGAACAGTCGTACTGAACTAGCTATCATATCGTGGTACGATTGCATTGTTAAAACAAATCTAGTAACTCCTGCACACAAAGCAATGTTCCACCCAGTTAGACCATATTTAAGTGTATTAATATTAGACCATAGTAAAGTATAAACAATGAACTCCCTTCTTCCTGCTAGAATTCAGCTTTCTTTCGTACCAGATCAAAATAAAAATCTAACCTGTTCAGCAATGAAAAGCACTATGATTTTAAGTATATATAAGAAACCATAACTTAATTATCTGAAGTCACCTAGACAAAGACTAAGAAGATTGTTGCAAGGTTCATATCTTGACTCTTATCCAAAGGTTAAACAGAACTTATATGGTGAATTGATATATTTTAGATAATAAAACATATAAATCACAACCCCTGGAAACATAGTATGCAACGGCAAAAAACTTTTAACGCTCTGTAAAATTTGGCAGCAGATCTGCCAATAATACAGCTGCAAGCAATCACAGTCTCAAATTTGATAATACAACTTATTTCTGTACAAGGTTCTATCAAATTTATATATAAACTTGCTAGCTGCTATGCTTTAAACAGACAACAGGTAAAACAACTTATAATTCTAAGTTTGTACAAAATGAGATATTTCTGAACATAAACATTTACTATAATCCAGCTAATTCCTGTCCTCTGCTAGTTTCCTTGCATGATGAATAAGTCTGTACTCTACTGTACCCTGCCAATTCTACTTTCAGTATTAAGGCAAAACAAAGAATACAAAGAAGGAAAATATGGACTAACATTACATACTTAGGAACTTCTGCTGCAAATTGCTCTCCATTTTATAATAACATACAGCTATTTATAGCAACAACTTTCTTGAAGAATCGAAAAATATAAGTTTGAAAAAATCCCTCTACCTTATTGGGTTTTAACTAAGATGATGCTTTTCTTTATAACAGTACACTCGCATTTCACTACCCTATATATACATCAAGTAAGACCATCCCTAAAACATTCAGTTTAGAAAAAAAAAATCTGAAAAGTTTTAAAATACCAATTATTGAAACACTTCAAAATTTCAAGGGAATCTTTATTATTAATCTTTGAATTTCAAAATTATGAATGCTAATATTTTCAAGGCAGAGACCATGCCTTAATATAGGTTTACGCTTGCATATAAGACAACAGGGCCTCAATCCTACCTGAGATCTTTCCACATTACGACTGAAACGTTAGCAAGAGTACTAATGCTTATAATGTCTGTGAGGTAAAAATGTTACCATCTAACAATTCCTTGAACAAATCCAAGAATTGTGAGTCTGCTGACAGTCACTGCTGTGCATTATTTTGAGTGCTTGGGAATATATCAGCAAAATATAACTCTTGCTATTATTTAATGGTAACCTAGGATATGTGAAAAAATCAGATTCCAAATCCAGACTTTGAAGATTAGATTCAATTCATTCAAATTTATCTAACCAAGTTACTTATTTAGTCTAAGCACTTTCTATAGTAGTTACCCAATTTAACAAAAGGGGAGTGAATAACTCTTCTTGCATCACTTACATAGTATTCTTAAATAATGAGGCTAAACTAGAAATCTTACTTTTAGAATGGCCAAAAAACATTTCCAAAACAAACATTACAATGAGTGTTTGAAGTCTAGCTTCTTAGCATCTCATTTGGAAATTTAGTGCTTGAGCCAACTCTGCTCATCAGAAATTTTTCTTCTGACTTTTAAAGTGTTCAGTATTAGTCATTTGTAGTTGTGTTACACAGGAAAAAATCTGAAAATAACGATACTGCATGTTTCACCAAATATTAACTCTGCCTCTGCAAAACAGTTACTTCTAGTGCTGACCCACAAGCCAGAAAGAATACAACTTGAACTTCAGAAACTAGGCAATATCTGCACGACTAGTATTCTGACTATTAAAAAATTCTTTTTAAAGAATTAAAAAAGCCAAGGACTAATCAAATGCTTCTTGTCTGTCAAGTTTCAAGACCATGGTCAGCTGGGAACTCCACAATGCCATACATAAGGACTTCTGCTAACTAGAATTACTATCACAATGGTATTGATGTAATGATTATCATTCTATACTGCAAAAGAGTCGGACTAGAAGCACAAAAAAATCCATAACTCATCCTAAGTAAAGTAAGATAATAATCAATCAGTACCTTAATAGAGAACAGAAATACAATTTTAACCTCAAAAAAGTATACAGCAAACTATCACAGTCAAATGACTATTCTTGCATTCTCATCCAAACTCTGACAGTATTCTCCCTCCGTCTCCTAATGATCCTCACCTCTTCCTAATTTCTGAATCCACAAGGAGTTGCCTTTTTTTGTGGGGTGGAGGTGGTGGGAGCTCTTCTTTAGCATGCTTAACCAGGATTTGTTCTCTTGTCGTCACCATAGTTACAGTTTCCATTACAGTTGTCTGTGTTAGTGATGTCCGAGTGTTAGTGGCAGCCTGGGAAATCTGTGAGAAGTATAAAAACAGAGGTCACACATTGTTTGAAAGACTTCAGTAAAGACTGTTTGGAGAAGCAATAGAATGTAATGAGAAACTGCTCCCGTCTGATCATGGGCTGACCTTCAGAAAAAAATAACACTATACGCAACTCAAACCAAATCGTTTTATCTGACTCATGCTGTGTGAATAAGATATCTGCAGAAGTCAATATCACAATCAGAAAGGATCCTAAACAGAATGAATTTACACCTCCCTGTTAAGTCATGCTGAATAAAGAAAAGAAATGAATGGTCAATTTTATTATGGAATGGAATGACAGCAAATACATAAAATGTTGGTATTGCTATATGTTACTCTGCCTCCATTCTGAAAATTTATTCCTTGAGAAGTGATAAAGGCACGGTAATGGCACTAAATTACCAATTATTATTTTTACTGTTTATAATAATTTTCAACTAGAATGTAATTCACCATAACCTACTTGCACAAAAGTGCAGTTAGCTTTCTGTCAGGAAATCTTAAATTAGAAAGCATGCATTAGAAGGCAAATTAATTTGCATCAGTTTTACTCCATAATTAAAAACTAAAGTCAAGGGGCCTTAACAGGTACAAATACACGTAATATGTAACACTCTAAACACTACCAATGTGATGCAATTAACTGTGCCTGGTAATATGAAAACAAGGGTGATGAGAAATATTTTCTGCTCATATTTGTTTGAAAGACACTGCTTTTACATGTACTGCCCGTTTATATTTGTTTCCATGCAACACCAAACTACAAACTTTCCACTTAAATGTAGGCAGCTGTTCTTAAGTCCCTTAATTCATGAGAAATGAGTCACTTCTTTTTTTGGTTTTGTCAGATGATGGCTCATTTGTCAAAATGCTCTAGTTACAGCTCCAATGACCACCTCACACTTTAGGGGCAGTGAAATGGAAAATAAAAGGAAGAACCTATACTGGGAGCAGGAAAAGCTGTGCACCAGAAGAGCCCTGCTTCTTTGCTTATTGCCCGTGTGCAAGAATTAGAAAACCTTTTTAATTTAATGACAGCAATGTCAGTACCTAAATATACACACATACATAAATTATTAGTTATTGTATCAGAACCTCATTAAGAGAACTGAATTACCTTAGTTATTGAGACATTAGTGTTTCTATAAACAATGGAGAAGAGGCATATCATGTAATTAACTATAACACCTTCCCCACAATGCTTTCTTATATTGAAAAAAAAAAAAAGTGACAACAAAAGGGGGATACTGTTCTCAATTCAGAAGGCAACATCAGTAAAGCTAAAAAAACTGAAAAAAAAGCTGAAAAAAAAATTCCTGCCAATGTTGGTGAAGCTTTCACAGAATTTTCTAATTAAAAAAGTCTTTCTGTTCTTTGTCCAGTCAGCCAGCAGAAGTGATGAGTAGGGAAGTCCTGTAAGTTTGGCAGTCTTTCTTACCTAGAGCAGTCAGCTCACTGCTATGGTTCCCCCTCTAGAAATGACCAGCTGTCTAGGCTTTAGAGCAGAACGTGGACTACTCAGAAGACTACAAAATTAAGATTCAGAGCAGAATTTTTTTTTAATCTCTGGATTAATTATGTCAATTGGAGTAAGCTGCTCATGAACTGCAGGGACTTAGCTAACATATGAACTACATAAATTCTTTGGAAGAGAAAAATACCCAGTTGACTTCTTAATCACTACAATATTATGTATTAATATTCTTGTTTTAGTTCCCTCAATAAGATGTATTAACTTTGATATTTTCATCTACAGAAATCACAACAATATTAAGTAAACAATTCCATATAGTTTTATTAAAACTTTATAAGCATTCTTTTTAATTTTATTTTTAATTAAATGGGGGTGGGTAGAGAAAAAGCAAATTAAAGCTTCTGTTGTCTAGGGCTCCATGAAATTTGAAGATAACACCTGATATGTCCTATTTCCCTGAGTTGACTCTGTAGCTGAGAACACTCCCAATAATTGCTTGCTCCTTATATGCAGTTTTGGGTACAGTCTCCCTTTCCTCTTGTCACAAAATTCTTATTACACTCAGTTTTATCAAAAATCAATGACAGGACAATGTTTCTGACACGCGAGGTTTTATCCTGTCATGTTTCCATTTGCTAATCAATACCAGAGTCCAGTTTACAGTGAAGGTGGTGTAAAACTGAATAAATCATAGCTATGGCCCTGTAGGAATCATCTGCAGCATGCTACCAATTACACAGGACTAACAGTTTCAGCTGGTGATTGGGTACTATGCCTCAAAAGCAGGCAGAGCAATTACCATACGCTCAGAGCAGTCAAGTCACGATGCTGTGGGGGGTAATGATTTACATGTCAAAACAATAAAGAAGTATTTTTCACGCTTAATCAATAGGAGTGGAGGTTAAATACTATATACTTCAAAAGGAGAATGGAGATGTGAATTTGATCATTCTCATTAGAGATCGGGTAAGACTAAAAGGTACCGAAGATGCGTTACACCGCAATGTAACTCTGCAAGACGAAGCTGGTTCACATTTAAAGAATGCACACAATTCAATGGGCAAATGACAATCCTTAAAAATATAAGCACAGAAAAGGAAGTAGCTTTTATTATCTTACTTGGCAAAAATAATGACCCCACCTCTTAAATCTAATCAGTGAAGCGGTGTGTTTCATGTATTATTCAAAGGTGGTCTAAATAATAACAGTACAGTTTCCTCATCCATCTCAGTTCCTAACAAGCAAATATGAATGCAAGAAGGAGTGATACACACTAGGCCTTTAACCCACTAGAAAATCATATGGGAAGTGCTAAGGTGACTCACAATGACTTCACATTAAAAGGCTTTCAAAATACAATGCTTGCCTGCAGTGTCACATCAGCAAGCTCATCTTAGAAACATGTTAGAACTCATCTGGTTTTAGAGTGGACACATTTAAATCTTTTCTTTTTACCCTCTACAGGCAAACATATGTACAGTGTGTATATAGCACTTCAGTAGTTTTATGTCACTTTATTTCTCTTTTATATGGTAGCCTACCTTTAATGCCATCATTTATTACTGTCTTTGGAAGTGTCCTCTGTCCTGATAAACTCATAATTTTCCTCAACACTCACTTCTGCAGGTGTCTTCTTTGATGAAATGTATGTATAGGAGTGGGGAAGTTCAGACAAGGAATGGTGTTTTCTTTAGTTTGGGAAGGTTTTCAATACAATTTAGTGAAGCATAATGAACTCACCAAAGGTGAGTTTAGAGTTTCTAAAAGCTGTGCAAGCTGTCCTTATCCTTGATTTCACTGCGTGGTCAACAAAGGAAAGCTGACATTTTCATGACGAGTACAAACTGCTTTTTAGAGGCATCTCTCTCACCCTTGCCACCCACTCATTTGTAGCAGAAGTTTCAGCCATGAGTTCTAATTAGATGCTTAAATTCAGCAGCAATGAATTCAGCTAAATGTAGGAGGACTCACATTCTACTTTCTCCACTTTTCCTTTGGGATGTATGACTGTTTCCTGTGCCTAGCTGGAGAATCAGCTTTGAACTGAGGCTGAGGTTGTCTCTTCCATTTAATTTCTTATTTTTTAAGAAGTTAATCATTTAGTAACACTTTAGTAAGAGAGGGAGAGGATGTAATTCTGAAGGTACTATGTGAATTACTAATGAATGGAATAAAGTTAATTTTTAAGTCAATATCCAAGTTTGATGAATAAAATGTGCGTTTTCTGATTGATTTTAGTGAAAAACACTGTATTTGCCATCCTCTTCCAACTCCCCTCCTCCCCAGTTCATGATCAGAGAGAATAGATCTTTCAAAGGTGTTTTCTTCTTGCCATCTAAATGTATAAACGAGCTCTGTAATGAATAAATGTACAAACTCCACTAATGCTATCTGCTCTGCCTAGATAGAAACACATGGCAAAAAGTATACCATCATAGAGGGCGTATCTGAACTGTGTAACAGTGCCTTAGAATTGTGGTCCTTCAGTTAGCACTGGATGTGCCATGTCTCCAGAATGTGAGGCAATATGCCCACAAGAATATACCAACTCTCTGCCAAGCAAAGTAGCTGCTCCCTGGGGTAAAAGCTTATCAACTGAAGTGTGCTGCTATGATAAGACAATCACGCTGTTTTGGGAATCCACAGCATCTCCCACCTGTGCTGCTCTATGACATATGGCTGTACAGCCTCAGGATCGCTCACTCCACAAGGAGGCTATCTTTCCTGTAATCTAAGTTCCATTTTCAAAACTAGTATCTACTTTTAGGATCAACCAACAATCTAAGTAACTTGAACACTTTGGAGTTCAAATCATGTGACCCTAGCCATCCCAAATTCAAAATGCATCTCTGGGTTTTCCTCTGCATTGAAATAACAGGTTTCCTATAGCAAATACACAAGGCATTACATGAAATTTTCAACTGTTATAAATGTTGTGTAGCACAAACTGGTTTTGTCTCCTGTCACTAAGTGAAATTGCACTCTTTTCCTATTTTCTTCTCTTCTGTTCTCCCAAACTGATTTTTCCAACTTCAGCTACATAAGAAACTGTATCACAGAGCAAACTAAAAGATTAAGGTATGAGTTGGAAGCAAGGTTATTGAGAGGTGTTCAGATCACTACAGGAAGTACAGCAGGTTTCATTTAACTACCCAAACGTAAATTGGTAGATGAATTAGTATATAGCGACAAAAAAGTACAGCATGGTCAAGGGAATGGAATCAAGCTGACCCTCTAGGGACAGAACAGAGGTGCATGCAGTAACATTCTATTCTGTGTTATCACTAAAAAGTTTTAATGGCCATTTCCATTTCACCAGTCATACAATGGAAAAAAAGTACGCTGATTTGGATTTAACTCCAATAACAAAGAAATGCCTACAGATGGCTAGGAAAAATAAATCAGTATGGTTTTGGGTACTACGCCAGAGCTCTGATTTTTGTTACCTGGTTTAAAAAATGTCAAACTTCAAAACCCCAATTGCTTTTATAATATGTTATGGTTAACATAAAGGAGCTGGGCAAAACAATAGCGGATTATATTCTTTTTTCATCGGCATTTTGGCTGCAGTTATGGATTGATTTCTTTATTTTTCCAAGAAACTTGGAAACTCTGGCCCCTCTTTTTAATCTGTAAATCAGCATAACATAAGCAGAAGCAAAACAGTAATTTATTATAAACTTTCACTGGGGAAAAGAAATACAAATAATTTCTCTTTAACTAGCAATCAGTTCTTATGCTAATTTCAGACTAAGAGCTATTCTACAGAGACAGACATAAAAACAATGCATTTGAAGTGACCAACTATTATAGGTTAAAAATAAATTAACGAGAAAGAGTATTTTAATTATGGATTGAATCATCCCTGAAAACATAGCTAACAACTGAAGAAAGTATAAGAAACTATAAAGATAAAAACTAAAGAAATAAATGAAATTCTTGAAAGCTTTATTACAGTTGTATTATGTTGTCATTAAAATAAAATATGTCTTGGGCAACCACGCAGGGAAAAACAAAATAAAAATACGACAAACAGCACCAAAACTACTTCAAGTATTTGACTGGCAAAGGATTTGACTGTCACCAACTGACAAAACGAAGGTTTTAACAAACCTGTTCAGAATTGCTCTCCACCTTCTGCACAAGGCTATCCCAGCGCTGGGCAAAATTTTCAAGTCGACTTTCCAGCTTTTGAGCCACTGCTTTGTTTTTCACAGCTACAAGGAGGTCTTGGCTGAGCGACTTCAGCTTACTCATCATTTGCCTTTTCATTTCTAGATCTGCTTTTAGGATCTGTTAAACGAAGCAACAGCAGGAAGAACAGTAATTCATACTCAAAATAAAACCAAAACAAACAAACCCAACAAACTTAGAAGAAAAAATCCTTAAGAGAGCATCATAAAGAATTGAAAATGAATAAGGGTATTTCATACAAACTCCTATACTCCCATGCTGTTGTTACTGTAAAAACTGCTGGCAGAGATGACACAGTGGAATGGACACATTGCATTTCACAAAGCAATATAACATGACAGGTGGAGCAACTCCATATATCACAGCACGCCTCAGGAGGCGATATAAATCAAAGAGCTAACAGCCATGTGACATTAATGACCTTAAAACTGCACTAATATTAACAACTACATCAACATTTCAAACAACGTTTCTCCAAAGTTTTGTTGTACTTTGTCATATATATTGCATATTAGAACTCACAGGGAAAAAACTGTTTTCTAGAAAAATAATATTTGACCCCAAACCAGGATGGAAAAAAAAGAAAGCTCAAAGAAAATAAGCTTTGTTTTGAACATATTGAAGAATCATATACTCCTCATCTTTGGATCTCAGCAGGCTCTGGTTACACAGCAGCAACCTCCCGTGGAATGGGGAAGCCTTGGGAACCCCGGGAGCATTGCTGAGTGTGCCAACAAAATGGCCCTTCAGCTGTGAGCCTGGAAATTCCTGTGTACAACCTCTACACTCTGCAAGCTGCCATATAGCTTGGATCCATGGATATAATGGAGAAGGAGAAATCATCAGTCTTCACACCTCTACTGCAGTAATCTGCCAAGGGATCTTGAAACTCCTGAGATCTACACATGCAAGCCTCTCTATGAAGTAGTCTCTTCACAGAGCCAAGAGTCATCCATACCTCCAGTTCTCATCTGGGTTTATTTTTTAATGCCTCTACTGGTTTACTCCATTGATTTTCATACCTTCAGCATTCATACCCTACACCCTAATGTGTGCTAACTATGGCCAAATTTTGAACTCATTATGCAGCTGAGGATTGCAATCTAATCCCCAAGGCATGAAAGGGATAATTAAACAAATATTTAGACAATAGAATTCGATCTACCTATACTTTCCTGTATCCATATCATCCAAAATTGTAATCTAAAATACAGCTCAGTAAAAGAAAGATTTGTAGTCTTTGTAATCACTACACTTTCTATTCAGACGTGGTTTGAAACAACATAATTACTGATGTTAGATACAGTTAATATCAAAATTCAAATTGACATGTACCTAAGAAATAGATTCCTAAATATAAAGTGTGTTAGCTGCTGTTTGCATAGTAGCAGATCTGACAGAGGAAGCAGACTAGATGTAAAACAATTTACCATCTTAAAATTTCAAGGATTGCTATATTTGATTTCTTTATTTGCCTAAAGTGTCAGAAAAAGCTCATGTGAAATCCACCACATAGACTGACTGAAATAATCAAAAATGGTATGCTATGAAAGATGATTAATGAATTCTGGACAGTAGTGCTTTATTTCCAACCTCTACAGCCGACAACAGCTGTATAATACACAAGTGAGTTCAGCATCAATCCCAGATACATGGAGCACAATCAGTAAGTGAAACACTAGAAAGAGAACGATACTAAGACTTTCTGTGTCAAAGGTACTGCTCACTACTACCTAATATGCTTTTGTGGTAGCTACAGTTAACCTTTAAAAATATACTGGGGAATTCTGTTTTCACATTTCCTTACTGAAAACTTGTCAATGTGCTACAGTAACCAATAATATGCTCTAGTTTTGTTTTGGTTTTTTCTGGTACAAGAATAGACCTAAAATACTAATGAGCTACCAACAAAATATGAAATTTACCAATCTGCAAGAGAATAAATGGTACTGTTGCTTTATGAAATTAATTCTCAAATAACTCAGTCATAACTTCTGTCAAGTGCATACCGTAAACTCCAATATTTGAACAATACAAAGTGGTTTCCTCCTTTATTGTTAATGTGCTTCTACTGTTTCTTGTTTTCAAGTTTTTAATTATTGCTGGTTTTCTTTTCCTTAAACATCACCAAAAACTTTCTTTGCTTATTGTAATATTCTAATCAACATCTACTGTAAAGTAACTGTTCAGCTGCTAAGAGATTTATTCCAGTAAAAACATCTAATTTATCTCTTCTAATAAGTAAAGAAATTTGCATTAAGTGAAGCAAGAGCAGATTTAACTCCATATTAATGGAAAATCTACTATAACTACATAGACTTAGATTTTGTATACCTTTGGGGTAGATCTCTATACGTTTTATGAAAAGAAGAACACCATCACCTTCATTTCACAGGCTGCAAAACTTAGGCACAGGACATGAAAAACAACGTATCAAGCCTGTGCCATAAACGACAGTAAAATTTCATCTCAGTCTGTCCACTTAAGTTCTACATTCTCAATGCATCACAACCTCCAGCTTAGTCCATGCCCCATGTCACCCTTCCCCTTGTGTAAGAATTCGGGGACAATTATAGTGATAATGAATAAATGGTAGGTGGAAAATAAATAAAAAAATCCAACAGTTGTTTTAAGGAAATATTTTTAGAACTAGAACAGCTAGTCATCAATATCAGGAAAAAAAAATAAAGAAAATTCAATATTAACACATGCACAAAGCAGTAAAGCCTAAAGAAGTTTTTCTGACCTTCAGACTAAGCAGATCCCAGAAGAGAGTTAATGACAAAGGAGATAAATTTTCAGATACAAATACTGCATACATTCTCTAAAACAAGTCATTTGAGATTATTAAAACACAAAAATTCCGTGCAAAAACCAGTTTTGTCAGAACAAAATTTCTTATGAATAGATAGTGTGGATACAGTATATACACTAAGAAGAAATCTAACTAACTTGTTATCAATTTTAACACAATGTTAGAACTGGGTGAATTGCTACACTGACCAAAAATATATTTTACTCATTCATTTCATTAACAATGAAAATTTGACTGAGGGAAAAAGACAAACAGTATCTGTACCAGGTTTACACAACAGGATTTTGGCAGCAGGGTGACTGCTAGGGTGGCTTCTGTGAGAAGACACCAGTGTCTGACGCCCTGTTGATAGCATCAGTTCCAGACGGCTCCAAAACAGACCCACTGCTGCCCAAAGCTGAGCCTATCAGCGACTCTGGTGGTACATCTGTGAGAACAGAATCACAGAATCATTTTGGTTGGAAAAGACCTTTAAGATCATCAGGTCCAACCATTATCCTAGCACTACCAGACCCACCACTAAACCATGTCCCTAAGCACCAATTCTATATGTCTTTTGAACACCTCCAGGTAGGGTGACTCCACCACTGTCCTGGGTTGCCTGTTCCAATGTCTAACCACTCTTTCAGCAAAGAAACCCTTCCTAATATTCAATCTAAATCTCCCCTGGCACAGCTTGAGGCCATTTCCTCTTGTCCTGTCATTAGTTATTTGGGAGAAGAGACCAACATCAGCCTCCCTACAACCTCCTCTCAGGTAGCTGTAGGGAGTGATAAAGCCTCATCTCAGCCTCCTCTTCACTAGGCTAAGCAAGCCCAGTTCCGTCAGGCACTCCTCGTAAGACATAATATCATTAAGAAAGGGTAAAAAATGCTGTGCAGCAGCTGTTAAGAAAGAGGAGTGAGGAAAATGTGAAACAGCCCTGCAGACACCGAGGTCAGAGAAGGAGGGGGAGGCAGTGCTCCAGGAGTCAGAGTGGAGATTCCCCTGCAGCCCATGGTGAAGACCATGGCGAGGCAGTCTGTGCCCCTGCAGCTCATGGAGGACACCACGCCAGAGCAGGTGGGTGTGCCTGAAGGAAGCTGTAACCCTGCAGAGAGGCCATGCTGGACCAGGCTCGTGGCAGACTGTGTGGCTCCATGGCGAGGACCCCACGCTGTGCAGCAGGTTTTCTGGCAGGACCTGTGGCCCCATGAAGGGAGCAGCGTGTTCCTGAAGGACTGCACTCTGCAGAAGTGACTGACATTGGAGCAGTTTGTGAAGAACTGCAGCCCATGGGAAGGATGCATGTTGCAGCAGTTCATGAAGGACTGTCTGCCATGGGTAGGACCCCACACTGGAGCAGGGAACAGTGTGAAAAGGAAGCTGCAGCAGAGACAAAGTGTTATGAAGCCCTATTCCCTGTCCCCCTGAGCCACTCAGGGCAAGGAGGCAGAGAAGTTGGGAGTGAAGTTGAGGCTGGAAAAATGGGAGGGGTGGGGGGAAGGTGTTTTAAGATCACTTGTATTTCTCATTATCCTACTCTGATTTGGTTGGCAATACATTAATCTTCCCCAAGTTGAGTCTGTTTTGTCTGTGACAGTAACTGCTGGGTGACCTTCCTGTCCTCATCTCGATCAATGAGCTTTTCATCTTATTGTCTGCCCCTGTCCTGCTGAGGAAGGAAAGGGAGAGAGCGGCCTTTCACAGCTAGCCAAAGCTAACCCACCACGGCATCATAATCTTTGGGACATCCTGAATGTCTCTTCTGTTAAGACAAGTTTAAAATCATTTTGTCTTCCACTGCCCAGAGTGTATCCCAGCCTCCATACATTGGACTATTCTGACACCAAATTGAATATAAAAGTTTAATTTAAATAGTTTTATTAAAAATGTTTTAACTTGCCTCCTTCTCCCAGTTTGGAAGAATCAGCTCTGAGAAAGAATCTAGAGAGAATTAATATTTGTTAATAATGGTGAGCTTGCAGTCAAATCGCTAGAAAGGATCAAATTTGGGGGAAATGCATGCTTGTTTATATTAAATCAAATAATCAGAATCTGGGCTGCAAAAATCTTCCAGCAATCCTAATTCAGGAATCCATGTATGGAGATTTTGGTTCAGGAACAATCTCATCTTTCTTCTTACTCAAAATCTTTATTACTGTCACAAACTATATGCATAGCAACTACCATTTTAACAAATGTTAGTAAATGAAAGCTTACTTTTAGGCAGTAGTAGTGCTTACTATCAAAAATCCTGTCTTACCTAAAATTAACAATGTTATTTCCTCTCACTTGAGAAACATGAGATAAAATTACTGTGGAGGAAATACTAATGTATTTCTGCATCAGCAAGCAGTAGTTAAATCCTGATTTCTTCAGAAGTATCCTGAACTGTGAATATGCATGAAAACTACTGGTTGTTCTTTCTTATCTTACCTTCTGTTTGTTACTATGTAAAGTAATGATAAATACAATGTAAGAGTCAAAATTTTTTTCATACTGTGAGCATCTCAACAGACTATTTCACTTCAGTCACTTTAGAAGGCTTAGGACTTTGTAGGACGGTTGTAAAATTTCAAATGAGCAGTCGTAATGATAAATGGCTTCATAAAATACCTTCAGAAATTTCCTTTAGGCTTAAGAGACTGAAAACTGACTAAAGAATATGACCTTAATATTGCCAAGTTGTGCATATGGGAGAGACGGGAAAAATAGGCTGGAAGCTCTTGTGCCATATAATGATGTCAAACTTAAAATTCTTAAGATCTAACAGGACAAACTAATACAGTAGCTTCGTGCTGGAAATGATTACACAACTAAGGCATCAAGCTACCACATTGTTAAGAATATAAACATTTTTAAATTAGTAAAAGAATGTATGTTTTTTGCCTCACAGACTCACCTTTACAATTCTGGAACAAGCTGGCCTAATTACAAAGACAATTTTTTGTGACATCTTCTCCTTTACTACATCCAAACACATCTCCACATCCAAAATAACATATGCCAAAAGACACGCATGATTTGCACGTCAGGATCAGTATACCATGATTCCATTTTGTCCTATTTCTAAAAGCCAGTCCAAGAGTGGAAGAATATATTCTGTAACAAGAACTTTCATGTGGGTAATGCATTAATACAAATTCCCTGTGATTCAGAGAAGACTAAAATAATAAATCTTCATCCACAAAACTCCTGGAATATGGAGATGACTGCTACTCAGTCTAAAACCCAACAGAGGGATTCTAAAAGTAGAAAATGTTTTTCTGCCACAAATCACATAGAGTAAAAAGGCAGTGTTTCTCCAGCATACCATCAATATTTAAATATCTGAACCTCTGCATTATGGATCATCTGTTTTTAAAAACGTCAAGTTATTCATGTGCAAAAAAGATTAAGTTGTTATTAATAAACTCCACCTGTTCTGTCAAGGATGACATGATTCTTGTGGAGGTTTAGGGGGATGGAAGAATCACTTTATTTACTCTGCAAACATTCAGTTTCATGAAAGACCACAATGCTTTCATAAGAGTAATGCTTAACAATTTAAGCTAGCAATGTAATTAACTTTGTAAGAGTATGTACTTATTTCATTAACCAAATTTATGAAAATACTACTAAAGGAAAGCATTTCCTTGTTAATATCATATTTCCAAGCAATTCTGAAAGGTATCCAAACTAGTCTCACCCTTAACGCTTTCAAAACACTAATAACCTACTACTTCACAATTTGTGATAAACATTTCAACTCCCAGTTCCTATTTCCTCCAGCAACTTGCCAAAATCCACAAGTACTAATTTATTAAACAAATATGAATTTCTCACCACAAATTTTTCTTCATGAAGGCACTCTAAAGCATCCTGAGTTGCCACTAAATTATTACACATTAATAAAAGCCTGGCTTGAAGTCAACTTCAAGATTGCTTACATGTCAGATTACTAGAATTTCCAAGAAGCGTATCCACTGACTACATGAAAAGTTCCTTTCCTTTAGAAAGAAGTTGACTTAATCTGACTAAATCCTAAGCAAACTTTAATCAAAATCCAAGTCTGTACTTCTAAATATACATTTTTTATTAGCCCCTAGACTTACAGAGGAAAAAAAAGGGGGGGGGAGGCGTGAAAGGGAGGAATGTGGTAACATAATAATTACAGTGCTTTAAGACTATGCCAACAATTGTACTTTAGGGTCTTGAATTTTGAAAAAAAAACAACCAAACAAACAAATACTAACTTCTTACTTCATTCTATGAATCAGCAGAGACATTTACTACTGATTCTGGACCAGCTGCATAAATCAAACAAGCTGTAAGAATTTTATTTTTTTTAAGAAAAAACTTTATACACTTGTGCAGATAAAATATAGCATATTTTAAAAATATCACAGTTACTTAAACTTCATGACATTTGTATTGACCAAAAGCCCAAATGTTTCTACTTTTAATACAGAAGGATAAGAAGGACATAAATTCTAAAATAATTTTTAATAATATAAAGTTGAGCATATTGTATAACCAAATAGTTAAGAATAATTTGAGAATCGCTTATGCCTGAAAATTCTAGTACATAAACTGTAAAACCAAGTCTTGAAATAATGCCTAGGACACTTCCCCCCTGCCCCATTTGACAAAACAAATAAGAGTTCTGTTTAAACAGAAGGTTACAAATTAAGTTCCTATTTACAGCAACAATAATTTACCTAATTTAACACAGCATAGACATGAATGTTTCCTTACCTCTAAATGCATAAACAGTCACTGTTATGTACAAAAGTAACACATACCACACCATTTTCTTTACAAAAGTCCTAATGCTTTAAAACCATTTGCAAGTCTGGGCTGTGACAAGTTTTCCACCTCTACAGGCACGGCATCTTTCTAGGCCAGTCAGACCTACATTCCCTCCATAAAGATGACACCTAGTATTTTCTGAAGAGTGAGGTAGAGGACATGTTGAAAAGGGTGCATTTTATGGATGTAACTAGAGCCCCAAAATACAGTTGAGGTATAGTTGTAAAGTTATACTAATGTCAGCATTTCACAACTTTTGAATCTAGCTTTTTCAGGTTGAAGGAATGTATAACAGGTTTTGCTGTATGATAAGAACTTATGCATATGTCTCTGTACATACACATATATACTCAGTCTCACACACGATATATATATCAACAGCATCGACAAAGAAACTTTCAGTATAAAAGTAAACATATTTTTAAGACACACAAAAGTTCATAAACTTTTGACTGAAAAGACAACCAAGGAAGACATCTGTACCTATTGGTTCCTTTATCAGCAAGGCCATGGACAAACCTATTCCATCCACATGACACAATGTGCATTCTGAAAGTATGAAACAGCTGTTGTGCTAAACCATATTTTCTGATAGTGGGATAAAGCCATATGCACTCAGACTCAGGAATAAGAAAGTTGAACATAAAATAGGAGAATGAAAAATACATACAGCTAATTTGCGTAGATTGGTCAGCATTTCATTTTGATCTTTAAAGCCAGTTATATGAATTTTGCTCACAGCATCCTCTTTTTCAGTAAGCCATGCATCAAAAAGACACTAAAAGAAAATTGGAGAGAAGAGAATGAAAAGGCTTCAGTTAGGCCTTTCCTAGTGCAATTTTTTGAAGAACATTTCAATTTGTAACTGCTAACCTGCTCTTCTGCAAAGTGCTGCCATTTACGAAGAATATCTTGCAGAAGGACCCATCGGTCTTCTGTCCATCTGCAGATGGCTGCCCATCGTTTTCCAAAGTGCTAGGAAGAAAGAAACACACAACAGAGGTTTGGATTTTTTTACATTTTTTAAAAAAACAAGGGAATTTTATTTTCCAAATTACAAATTTTGGTGAAAACACTTTCCTAATTTGCTTTTTACATCCTTGAGCCCTTAAAACACTATTGTGCGTCACACTGAAATGGATCTTACCACCATTTGAGATAAAAACAATATGGAAAGAATAGGAAAAGAAATAGATCCAAACCCAGAGAATTTTAATACCAATCTACACATTTTTCTATTAATGCTTTGGTACTACGCTCTCAAAAAACCCCTCAGTTTAAACACTTTAAAATTCCCAAAACATAACTACCTAAAACATAATTATGGTGGCCCAAAGATGTGATCAAAGCAAAAAAGTATCTTGTTCTTCAGTTGGTCTGTCAGTGCAGTTGATCTAAGTTCTTACCGCTTAAAATACTGCAGTTGAAAAAAAACCAACAAAAAAACCCTTAAAAGCTAACACACCAGCACAAACCCCACTGAGGTTTCCCTGATATTTGCAGTATATGCTACTATATATGTTTTAAAATCACACAAAACATGACCTTGTTCTCTCTCCCTTATTTTAGTTGAAATCAGGCATTATTGCTTTTTTTTAATTTCCTACTAGCCTTTATTGAAAAACATCTAAGACGGAAGATGGGCCTTAATACTGCTGTGATGTTGCGACATGCTATAAAACTTCTACTGTAACAAATTAAAATGATTTAATTACCCCTGAGCATAATATGCAAATTATTCAGCTGCTCCCAAATAATAAATGCTATAAAATCTGCAAGTTATTCTATACAACTACATTCTTATTTTTTCATCTATTTAAATACCACATGACAAAAGGAAAAATAGTTTCTTCCTTTTTTCATATTTATTTATTCTGTCAATGATTCTTATCGGTCCCTTACAATTTGTGATATACTATGATTCTATATTTTTCATAGAGATTTAATTCTAGAAAAAAAGATAAGTTTTAAAAATCCACCATTTGGATGCTAAGTCATTAAAATTTGAACTGTATTTTCTATCAGGAATGAAAGAATTCTATTTTGCACTGCCTAGGAATGAAATGTAAAATTTCAGGCTGCCATTTGAATTTGTGGTTTTACTAATTCAATGTTGAAGTAAAAAGTCAACAGATACCATGTTTTTCATTTAGCGAACACTAAAACCATAACAAATCTTGTAGACTAAACAGACAGCTGCCATGCCATTGAGTTATATCATATTAGATCCTGGTTCAATTTAGAAAAATTAAAACTACCTCTAATCAACCAGCATAATAAAGCTAATTTAAAAACATTACAACTCTTAAGCAGCTCTAATATATTACACAATGAAACAGAGAAGTTTTGCCTTTCAGTCATTTACTGCATAAATAGAAAGTAGGCTTTGAGGAAGTTGCTTTGTTTGCCTTTTTTACGCTTAATGTTAGGATCATGGTTTTAGTATTTATTTACAATTGTGTAATGGAAATTTGCTTTCTTTCCTAATTAGATCTAGACAAAAAACAACCAATCTCGCAAATCTAAGAATCTGACTTCTTTTCACATTAAAAACGTTTGGTGTTAGTGTTCGCTTTCCATAAAACATAATGTGATCAAAGATCACCAATTCAAGGAAACACAAAAAAGTTCCAGTTTTGAATGTGAATATTTCAAAAAGCTAATTTCAATATTAACAGAAACAAATACTTGCTGGTGAAACATTTACACCTTCAACTTATCAGGAAATAGAGTACAACACATTTTACCCATTAGTTTTACCCACTCATCATTAAATAAAATTGCCAAACTGTATGACACAGGACAGCACAGAAAATTATTTACAGCCAGCTACTTCAAATTTTCTTTTTTTTTTTTTTTTTAAAAAAAAAAATACTTTTTTCCTTCTATTAAAAAACCACAACTTCATAAACAGTATTTACTAGCCTCATACGCTAAATACTATGTATACTGTAACGCGTACTCGGTAACAACTTTTCTGCAAAAATTATATTTTGACTAATTTCATTTATTTGAAAAACTAAAAAGCATAATGTAACAAAATGATGAATTGTATTTTAGTTTCATTTCTCCTAAATTTGATTAAATTTTCAGTTTAGCTCAAGACAGTCTCAACACCTCCATCCTCCTTTTTCTCCAAGCCCAGAATACAACCTAGCAGGTCTGCAATATCTAGTACTTGCTCAGTTTTTCATATTAGATTAAAATTTTTTATTTACCTTGACTGCTTTGCTTGCTAATTACTAATTCAAAAATCGTAAACATATCCTTCCTCACGGCTTAGATGCTTCTAATCTGAAACCTGATTAGAGATAGCCTCTGACTTTCCTAATAATTCCCACAATTCAGGACAATTATTATTAGTAAACTACCCAAAACCACTGTACATGATTCAATGAAGTCATAAGAAGTGGTTTCTTGTTATTCATTAACAAGATCCAAGTCTAAGTACTTATTTTCCCTATATGTCCTTTCTTCCCACTATCATAGAAGAAAAATATCTTAATTCCTAAAATTACAGATGGTGAGGTGAATCACATTTGGTTATTTTGGTGCCTGATTAACACTGAAGTTTATGGATGCTAATTATGTACAGCATTTTAAAAATAAATTTACAGGTTTTATGAAGGATTCATAAATGATATCAAAGTTAAGCAGCACAGGTTTTGGCACCTCTGATCTAGATTAATGTTTTTAGAAAAATCTTTTCATGACCAGAAATCTCTCCATTGGTAACGCAAGTGTAGGCCAGCATAAATTACACTGTGCAAATCATACCAGTAGTACATACCTATCTGAAAATTTGAATTCTCATACAAGCCAAACACAAGGTTTCTGACAAGAAAAACATTTTGTTCAAACAGGAATTCTAAAAAAAGAATGAACGGACTCTCATAGACTACATTTTTCTGAAGAAAATTTCATTCTTAAAGTGTGCAACACCATGAGTTATGCAAGCTCTTATATCTCCACATTGCAAAGACACATATAATGTCCATGTACTTACATATACCTGCATGGATGTAGAGGAAAACTTGGAAATGGTAGAAACACACTAATCTACACAAACTATTTATTACTAATTTAACAATAATTATTAATATAATTATTTAATTATTATTAAACAATCAATTAATTACATGAGATAGATAATATATTTGAGATAAACTGAAAATATATTTAAAAGGATTAGATTTTTTTCTTCTCTTTTTAATCACTTTCCAACACTGATTAAAGAATACAAACATTTATTTTTCTAAACTGTTTTCAAGGAGAACGCCCCAAATATTCTCTATTAGAATACAAAGCACACCAAAATTCATCTGAGATAAACTACCTCATACAATTGAGCACCATATTAGACACTTGAGTTCAGCCTGCTTTATGGTATAGACTCAGTCCTAGGATCATTAAATCTACACTTACACAGCTCCTTTCCCACCACTAAGTGCACTTCAGCACAGTTCTGTCTGAGTACATACCATACATAACCGCCTATAAATCAAGTAATGACATGTAATGAATGTCCTGGTCACTGGTATACAGCCATCATTTTTCTTGATAGCAACAGGCATTCACACAGGTGTATTGTCACAAATGTTCTCAGTTACATAATTTTTCCATATGTGGCAGCATGGTGTATTTGATTGCTTGAATGTAAGTTATACTAATCATAGACTAAGCCTCAAACTCAGTTATCTATCTTTATGCCTACTATAAGATAGGCACATATCAGACTTCATAGAAGACTTGTATTATATTACATTCTTTTGTTATTTTGTAAATAAAGCAGTAAATCTTTTATTGATAAAAAGTATTTTACAAAAATCCTCATACCTGACTAATTTTAAAATACCTCACATTCAAGCAGCTGACTTTTCTTAACAGCCTCATAAAGAAATAGTTTGATCTCAACATCTGCAGTGACATCTTCATCACATCTTTATCACTATGATATACCTTGAAAAATACTTTTTGTTTGCTCATCTAGAAAACATCAAAACCCCAAGAGTACAAGATCAAATAAGTCGCTCTGCATTTACTCAAAGAAATGCATTGATTTGCATACCAAAAAAGCTTTACTGAGTCAATACATAATGCTATTTTCAGCATGCGATTTCAAAAAGCCACAAAAGCTACTTTTTTTTTTTTGTCTCAATACTTTGACAAGACACTTTATTTTAATAAAATAAGTAAAATTACCAAGTAACTGCAGTGATAAAAGGTACTGTGATCTGCCTTAAACCTGTTATTTCTCATGAGAGATCATGACAACCATGATACCAAGATACACTGTTTAGTTGAATAGGTTTATGACACAAAGTCCTAAACATCATGTCAGGACTGTCTATTTATAAAGTAGATATTGACTACTAAATCATATGGTGCTCAACTTTACCTCCTTATTCACATCAAATAGTAGTCGATGCTGCAAGTAGCCTGTGTGATGCCCGGAAACATAGACGGCACCAAGGGTTTTTTTTTCCCAGCACCTGGGAAAACAAATCTGCAGAGAAACTGACCGAATCCAGACTAAAAAGCAAAATGCCTTCCTGCTTCCTTGAAATGCCTCTTTTTACAGCCCTAACTGGAATTTTCAGACAAGTCTACATGTAAAAGAAACTTTATTTTGTATTGAGAGGACTCTGAAAGAACATTCTTTCTGACTACAAAGAGCAGAAAATAAAACATTCCTAATCCGCAAAAAGGTCAAAGTAAGGAAACATGAGAACAGGAGAAAATAAGTAAAACCAACTAAACTCTTGGGAACACTGGAGAGAAGGTATAAAAAGGTGAAATAACATGCCTCAAGTCTGCAGCTAATAGAAGAGGTTTTTTTAAAGATGCTTTTCTAATAAGGTAAGGTTATTCAGTCTTTAAAGTAAGGAGAAATTGTGGAAATATGTTTTTGTCTATATGCAAAATCAATTTTCAAAAAAAAGAAATATTTAGCACATGCAGAGAGTTTCTCCCAT